CTGCCTGTGGCCTGGGAAGGCAGTCGAGGACGGCCCAAAGCTTTGGGACCCTGCACCCGCGTGGGAGACCCGGAAGAGGCTCCTGGCTTCGGATTGGCATAGTATCGGCCCGTTGCGCTCACTTGGGGAGTGAATCATGGGACAGAAGATCTTCCTCTCTCTCTCTCCTCTCTGTATATCTGCCTTTCCAATAAAAATAATAAAAATAAATCTTTAAAAAAAATGTATTTAATGAAATAGTAAGGGAAAATTTTCCTAATCTAGAGAAAGAATTGGGAAACAACATCCAGGAGGGACACAGAACTCCCAACAGGCTTGACCGAAAGTGATCTTCACCAAGACACATGATCATCAAGCTCTCTTCAATTGAACATAAGGGAAAGATCCTTAAATGTGCACGTGAAAAATTTAATTGACATATAAAGGAAGGCCAATTAAACTCACAGGAGATCTCTCACAGGAAACTCTACAGACAAGAAGAGAATGGAGTGACATATTCCAGACTTTAAAAGAAAAAAATTATCAACTCAGGATAACGTACCCAACAAAACTTTCCGTTGTCTTTGAAAATGAAATACAGTTCTTCCAGAGCAAAGAAAAGTAAAAAGAATTTGCCTCTTCCAAACCTGCCCTACAAAGGACACTTCAAGATGTTCTCTTGACAGAGAAGAGGAATAGCACCCATGAAAACCAAAGGCAAATGTGAAGAATATCCCAGTAAAATAACAGAAGACTAAATCAGTGAATAGCCCATTGCTAAAATGATAGGACCAAATTACCATCCATTCATATTAACCCTGAATGTAAACAGCTTAAACTCATGAATCAAACATCATAGATTAGTAGACTGGATTAAAAAAGCAAAACCCATGTATTTGTTGCCTACGTAATACACATTTCACCAACAAAGATTAGTGGAAACTATATCTCATAGATTTTTATTATTTTTTTTGTTTCACCTCTTCAAAACATTTTCTTATCATTAATTTCTTCACTGACTCATAGATCATATAGTAGCATCATTTTTTTTCAAGAAGATTCTAGATTTTCTTTTTCATTTCTACAGTGACACATTAGTCATTCAGTAGCATGTTATTTAACTTCACGGTGTTGTTAATTTCTTTTTTTTTTTTTTCCTTCCTGTTGTTGATTTTGTGTTGTGACTTTTTATTTAAGCAGATGTATAGTAACTGTGTAATGTAGACTAACATATCCAGATGTAAGGGTACAATGCAGCATGCATCTCTACTTCCAGACAAAGATGAAGTCCCATTGAAAGTGTTGGATATATCTTGACAATAGGATGCTGGACTCTCTGCCATTGTCCATGATGGACAATAACTGTTTATGAAGAACTATACTATAGTATTGATATAGGGGAATTCAGTAAGGGGGGGAGGGAATTGGGAATGGGATAAGGGAAATCCCAGGGCTTATGGAACCGTATCATGAAAAAAAAAGTACAATTAAACACACACTCACACCCCAATAACAACCTGAAACAAAGTGAAAAGGTAATCAGGATTCTCCCAAGCATCCAGTCTGAACTGCAGAGGGCACTACAAGCTCAATAGATTGTGCAAGTGGAGCCTTAAGCCACGCCCTGTGGAGGCGGGACCTTTGCACTGGTGGCCAGAGGAGGATCCACACACAGGAAAGGTTCTGAAAAAAACTTACTGAAAATAAGAGGTGGACACTGATGGAGAAGACAGTGTTGCTTACAGGCATTGCATGCAGCGTCATGGACTAAGGGGCTCAAGTTCTTGTACTGTACAATCTTTCAAGGGAAATATGCATGTAAGAATCAGCTGTAGGGACTGGCGCCTTACCCTAGCGACTAAATCCTCACCTTGCATCTGCTGGGACCCCATAGTGACTGCTTTGTATCCCAATTGCTCCATTTCTCCTCCAGCTCGCTGTCTGTGGCCTGGGAAAGCAGTGGTGGATGGAACCCTGCACCCACATGGGAGACCTGGAAGAAGCTCCTAGCTTCGGATCAGCTCAGCTCTTTTGTGGCCACTTGGGAGTGAACCAGTGGATGAAAGATTTTTCTCTCTGTCTCTCCTCCTTTCTGTATATCTGACTTTCCAATAAATATAAATAAATAAATCTTTAAAAATAAGTAAATAAGTCTTTTTTTAAAAAGCCTTTGAAAGAAAAAAGAATCAGCATATTGGTATTTTATCAAATTATTTTAGAAAAATTCTATGATGCTACGTTTAATTTTAAAAATATTCTCATTGTAATTCATGAATAGATTATTGTCCTTTGGACAGGCATGGAAATTCCACTATCAGGTATGTTTAAACTTCTCTTGTAGCTAGAATTGATCTATATAAAAAGTTCCTTCAAATTCTTACTTCACATCTTAACCTCTGTGTAAATGATGCTTTCAGTATCATTTACACAGAGGTTACGATAATTGTGCACCTAATATCTCAGTATATTAAATAAGTGTAGCTTACAGATCCTGAAAAACATAAAGTAAACTTGGCTCAGGTGTACTCCGAAGCCTCCACCCCCAGGAGGCGGGGCTTCGCGCCAGTGGGCGGGGCGGCGGCGGCCACGCCCTCCGCGGGTGGGGCGTCAGCGAGCCCGGCCTGCCCCGCGGCAGCAGGCGCGCCCCCGCCGTTTCCTAGGAGATGAAACACACAAGACGCCGGAGCTTCACAAGGGAGCGGACGAGGTGAGCCGCCGGCGCGGGCAGGTAATCCCGAGCGGGCTGCAGGGCCGCCACCCTCCGTGCGACCCGGGCCGGCAGTGTCGCCCCTGCGCCCTGAGTCTGCCGGGACACCGGACCCGGAGGCCGGCAGGGAACGGAGGGGTCCCGGCTGCAGACTGGGCGGCCGGGAGGGTGGGACAGGCTGCGCTCCCCGACCTCCTTCCCACCCCGCTGGATCGCGGCTGGGGCCGGAGGGCCGAACCCCCTCTGGAAGTGCGGGGCGGGAGGCCTCAGAGTGGAGTTGTGAACTGTTCGCAAGTTTAAAAGCGGGAAGAACTCAAACTGGGTCCGAATCCCGCCTTGGCGGGGCGCACCCCGGATCACGCATAGATGGAATGGGGTCCCTGGCGGCCCAGCCTCGGCGACCAGCACCTCGGGGTGCTGGCAGGCAGCCCCAGGACTGTTTCTAAGGGTCCTGGGACCATAAAGCTGGTCCTTTACTGCGGACAGGCCATGTTAATTTTAGGGGACAACGGGTCGGTCGGGAGCAAGAGACCTGTTTCTTAATGGTTAGCAATCCCAGTAGTGCAAAGAAAGAGATTTACCTGACGGTGTTTAATTGCCTTTTAGACGGGAACCAGGCGCTCTCGGGGTGTATTTTAATCAGAAAAAAATGACTCATTGAGTTGCAATGGTGGTGGAGACAGAATTTACCTTTTAGCAGGGTCAGTTTTTTTTTTTTTCTTCTGTTGCAATAATTAGTCCCTCTTTAAATGTCTATAAAGCTATCACTTCGGTAATAATAAATCTTTCTGTTTTGCTTTTTAAACAGTTTAGTGCTCTTAAAAACACCAGTTAGTGTTTTGTTTTACAAATGTTAGTACCTTCAAGGGATAACATCAAACTGCATTCTACAAAGACAAGCTGAACTCCTTGCACCCTCCAGGTGCCCTCTCTGTTAATCTTTTGTAATCCTTTCTAAATCCTTTACCAGCTGGGACAAAGCTGTTGAGAGCCCAAGCTTACAATTACTGTGCACCTAACTGAACATGAGAAAACTAGAAAGGGCGTTTGATGAAGCACTGTGATTGAGACACTAAATAAATGTTGTTTTATTTCAATCGAACACCAGCTTTGTTTAATCCATACGAAGATCAGTAAATATCGTAGCCTGCTGGTAGAAAATTCGAAGTCCCTGAAACAGTTATGTTAATTGAGGATCATATTTCCCTTGTGGTTTTGCTTGGCAGCGCTGCTTATATATCATAATCTATTCGGATATATAAGAAGCCATGTTATGCATGGGTGTCAAGACTTTTTTTTCCGGCAAAATGTATTTTTGTCTTCTAGTTATTTACTTATTTTTTTTACGAACTTCAGGAAGCATAGTCGATTTTGCTTTGCAAAATCAGCTCTAAGTCTACAAAAAAAAATACTTAGAGACGAGTAGGGTACAAGTGTTGGAGAATGATAAACAAACTACATATTTTAATTTACATAGAGTTTTAAAAATTTATTTCAAAGGCAAACAGAGAAAGACCAAGATCTGTGTCCCACCCACTGCTTCGCTCCCCAGGTGCCTACAACATCTGTGACTCGGGAGAACTCTCTCAGGCTTCCTGTGCGGTGGCAGGGACCAGCCACTTGAGGCATTCCTTGCTGCCTCGGCAGGTGCACAGGGACAGGAAATGGGAATCAGGACCAGGACTGCATCCAGGCACTGGGTGTAAGATGGTGAGGGTTTCCTTAAAGAGCATCGTGGCACAGCGCCAAGCACCTGCGCCTGTGTGCTGCCTGCCGGTAACAAGCAGTGTGGAAATCTTCCTGTCCTTCGCTGGTGAATGCAACCCATTTGGCTTCCCACCTCGCGGAGGTTTAAGGTTGTAATTAGGGTTACTCACAAGAAGGCCCAGTAGGGCTTAGGCTGAGCAGAAACAGAACCACAAACGTGAGCTTTATCAAGTCTGCATCGCAGCCTCAGGCTTTACCACGTCACCCTCAAACAGAAAGAAGCGGGAATGGTTGTTCCATCTTCCCTATATATTAGCCCTCCCTGACCTGCAGCGGTCCTCAGCCAGAACAAAATGCATGTTTCCCGTGTTCGTGCGTTGCTCTAGCTTGCCAGCGGATGACTTGAAGACACTCTGAAAGGAAAGTTCATGTTCTTTCGCACTTTTCACAGGGCATTCCTGAGGATGGAGGCACTGTTCCCTTGCCGTGCGCCTTGTTACTCTGTGTCATGAACCTTCACGATCTTGGGGCGGAGCCTCTGTTGACTGGATGAGCGACAACTGTGAGCGAGCAAAGTCGAAGGAAGCGATCCCAGCCCGTGACTCGTGCTACAGTGTTTGTGCACGATGAACCGATATACAACCATGAGACAGCTGGGAGACGGCACCTATGGGAGTGTGCTGATGGGCAAGAGCAACGAGTCCGGGGAGCTGGTGGCCATCAAAAGGTACCGCGTGTGACTCGGACGCTCCCCTCTGATACGCCCGTCCCTGCTCTGCTTCCCGAGAAGACAGCCACGTGCTGAGCGAGCTCTAGTTGAGGTCCCATGCGCATTTGGCTGATGGGTAAAGCCATTGTGGGGAAAAAAAAAAGAAGTTCCCGGAGAGGAATATTCTCCTGATGTCCATGTTATATTATTCTCAGCTCAGTAACACACCCTCCCACAAGTAAATGAGTTATGTTGTTTCGGATTAACATATCGGGCCTAAAGCTAAGCTTTGTCAATTTTTTCAAACTGAGAACAGAGTAGGGTTTATTATTTCTTTAAAATAATAGACGTCCAATCAGCTGGTCTTCATAGTGTCAAATTGAGCCTGGCATACAGGAGAGGGTACCTCGAAAGCAAATGACATTAGAAAAACATTAAAAGAAAATGAAGGTATTTTAGAGCAAAAATAAAGTCTTGGAATGCATATTCATAGTTTTTGCATGAATTGTGCATCTCCCAGGAACTTCCCGCAGACTCCTCCTCTGCGTTCGTTTCAAATGCTTTTTCGTACTTCAATAAATGTATCTATAAATGCCACTTTCTAGGAACCTGTTGAAAGCGCCCTTACTTCTCCTGAGCTTACCAAGCAAGTAGAATAAGGAATGGTTAGCTTGTTTCCTTTCATCTCCTGTGTTTTTCTGGGCTACATACTCAAAAGTTTGATTGGAAATATGACTCAGAGAATCTTCCACCCACTGGTTCCCTCCCCACATGGCTGCAACAGCCAGAGCTGAGCCAGACTAAAGCATAACCCATCCACCACCTACCCTATAAAATGCATTGTTTTTCCACAAATCTTGTAAAATACTATGATCAAAAACATTACATGTGTAAGGAAATAATTTTTTATAAAGATTTATTTATTTTTTATTACAAAGTCAGGTATACAGAGAGGAGGAGAGACAGAGAGGAAGATCTTCCATCCGATGATTCACTCCCCAAGTGAGTGCAACGGCCAGTGCTGCGCCGATTCGAAGCCGGGAACCAGGAACCTCTTCCGGATCTTCCACATGGGCGCACGGTCCCAAGGCTTTGGGCTGTCCTCGACTGCTTTCCCAGGCCACAAGCAGGGAGCTAGATGGGAAGTGGAGCTGCCGAGATTAGAACTGGCACCCATATGGGATCCAAGGCAAGGACTTTAGCCACTAGGCCATGCTGCCGGGCCCAGGAAAAAATTTTATAAAGTATTTCCAAATTATCATTATCAAATGAGTGTACAGTAAGTGAAACAAAAAAGTATCGAAGCAGCATCCCACATGGGTGGCAGCCTTACTAGCTAGCCGAAAGCACGGGCCTTCAGACCTTCTCTGTATTTTTTATACTGCGCACTTAGAATGTGTTTTTGATAATCGTACATGTCTGCTGATGGCCACATTCTGGCCCCTTTGCTTCCGGGCAGTATGTCTGGTCTAAAGTGTGGAGAAGAGGAATAATGCTAGCACGCTCATCTTTTATCAGGGAGTAATATTCCCTTGTCAGGAACTCCTAAGAGCTCCCCCTAGATCTGGTCCCATGGCCTCCCTTACTTCCGAAAAGGATGGAGAAAGTACAGCTAGAATTGGAAATACTTGGGGGGGGAAATACCGCATTGGCGAGCTTGCTGAGGCTGTGTTCTCATTGTTTCACAAACAGTGCCACAGAACTACTGCTTGTATCGTGTTTACTCTGCGTCAGGTGTTGTAAGCAACCTGGAGGTGATTTAAAGTATGTGGGGGAATCGCTTCTTGGCCTCTTGGCTCAGCTCGAGTGTGAGGTGTACGGGGGAGGATGTGTGTAGGCTGTGTGTATGCTACACGTTTGATATAAGGAACTTGAACATGCTTGGGTTATGGTACCAATCGTATGAAGTTGACTGTATTTACTCTTCCAGCCCCTAAATAGTAGCAGGTAGAAGGAAAGAGGTTGGAAGTAGCTTTCTAGCATCCGGACACTATTGGCCGCCCTAGCGCTCCTTGGAGTTGGAGACTGTGGTGTCACTGGGAACTGGGGTGCTGTTCCCGTTGAAATAGTTGAACAGATAAGCCAGATGGCAGTAAGGCAAGGAGTTAATAGGAGGTAGTAGTGGAGTTTTTGAACAGTTCTAAAGTGGTGAAATGACTAAAGTGCTCAGAAAAGGATCACCAGGTATTGGTAAGCGCCCACCTGCAGCTACAAGGGGGGATAGGAAGGTGGATCTCCAGGGAGCGTTTATGTGACCTTTCAAGAATGAAAAGGCTACAGTGGTTGCATGTTGGGAGAGGCGTGCCCTGAAGACATCCGTGTGTGACCTTGAGAAAATGGTGGAGAGAGGCTGAGCATGGGATCCCAGCTGCAGGAGGGAGCAAGCAGGGCCAGGAATGCAGCGGTGGAGACAGCAGAGTGGCCAGAAGGGCAGATAAAGTGGAGTCAAGGGCAGTGGTGGTGACGGACCAGTTGTTATGACCACGCCTCCTGATGACACGGTGTTCCCGGTGTTCCCGAGTGACTGTGGCAGGCTTTGCAGCTCAGGAGCTGTGCAGCTGGACTCCTGGCATAGCTTATCAGTGGACTGTTTCCTCTGGCCATGACTCCTGAAGGTTGTGGACAGTGTAAAAACAAACACAGCTCATCCCAGAAGGCTTGGGTGTTTCGTTCAAGCTGATACAGAGGAACAAACTTGACCTGTAACTTACAGATATTAGACTCCTCATTTTTCCGTTTTCTGGGTTGGTTCAGAGCATATCTCTAATCAGGTTAAGATATTTCTCAAGCTGCAGCAGGAGAGAAAACGTGGGAGAAGTCCTTTCCGACAAAGCATAAACGGATGAGTAGGTGTTAGGTCCCCAGGAACGGGAGCTGCGTGGCGCCCCTTTCGCGTTGCTGCAGGAACCCGGTCCGGATGTGGCACGGGCAGGAACAGCCTGGGCCCTGTGGGAAGGAGATGATTTCCGGTGAAGGAAGAGGAGACTTCCGACTTGCCCGCCATGAATCCTAGCAGAGTAAGGGAGTGAACAGCTCAGTCCTGTATGCTGAACTTTTCCTGATCTGTTTTAGGATGAAGAGAAAGTTCTATTCTTGGGACGAATGTATGAACCTGAGAGAAGTGAAGGTAAGATCCTAGAGAGAGAACGAGGCAGAGCCCTTAGCTCTGCTTCATCCTGAGGCTCAAAACTGAGCAACTTGCTCTCTGTGGAATTCATTCTGAAGATAATTTTATGTTTTTATTTTTTTTGAAGCATTTATTTTCTTACCTTTTGGTTCTGATGTCAGTGAAGAACAGAAAATAATTACTTTCGAACCTGAAAATTTACCCTCACTTGTTTTTTTTTTTTTTTGTTTTTTTTTAAGGTTTGTTTATTGGAAAGGCAGATCTGTAGAAAGAAAGAAGAGAGAAAGATCTTCTGTTCCCTGGTTTACTCCCCAACTGGCTGCAACGGCCAGACCTTAGCAGAACGCAAACCAAGAGCCAGGAAGCTTCTTCCAGATGTCCCACCCAGGTGCAGGGTCCCACAGTTGCCCTCTTCTGCTTTCTCAGGCCATAAGCAGGGAGTCGGAATGGAATTGGAGCAGCTGGGACATGGACCGGTGCCCATCTGGGATGCTGGGGCTTGCATATGGTGGAATAGCTGGTTGAGCCATTGTACCAGCCCCCGCCCCCCACTTCCTAAAAGATAACTTTTTAATTTACGACATACTATTTCCTTGTATTTTATAGTTAGATGACTTGGATAAGTTTTTGAAGTTTTTTGGAATGGAAATGTCACATGATTAAATTAGGAAAAAAGTCAGTCCTGTTAAACAGCCCAAGGAAAAAGGCGATATTGAAGAGTGCAGTAAACATTTTTGCACTTAATATTCATTCCTCACAGGAATGAGTGTGTGCCTTAAATAGACCTCTGGAGAGTTTTAAAATGTCAACTTGTGTAACTTCTCTTGTAGAAACTGTAATGCTTTTGTGCCGTTTCACAGTCTCTGAAGAAACTGAATCATGCCAATGTGATCAAACTGAAAGAAGTTATCAGAGAAAATGACCATCTTTATTTTATATTTGAATATATGAAAGAAAACCTCTATCAATTGATGAAAGACAGGTATGTGATTACCCTATGAAAACTGTCATTTCTCCCCATTATTCCTCATAAGTTCTTGGGATCAATATGTCATCTCATAGAGTAAACCAACAAAACACTGTAAGAAAAAGGTTTTATCATTAATTAAAAAAAGGAAGGAAGGAAGAAAGGAAGGAAGAAAGAAAGGAAGAAAGAAAGAAAGAGGTTTTACCTAGTCCTCTCTGTTGTCTTTGTCAAGGGGTACCAGTAACATCGAAGAGCTATTCACAACATGATTTTTCTGTCACAATTCCTTAAAATTAAAGGTAAATATTTTCACGTAGGCGTACCGACTACCTAGTAATGTGTTTTCATCTAAAAGCCGATCTGTAGTTTAGGAAAAACCTTGGGCAGACTTGGGAAAGTGGTCTTCCTTTCTCTTGTGAAAGGCACATGAGAGAATTGGAGCCAGGAGTGAGACATCTTTCTAGAAAGGATCTGTGAGCGATGGAATTCAGTGCAAGCAGTCCCAGGGAGATTCTTGTCGAAATAGCTACCTGGACAGGGACTCGAGGTCTCCCCCTAGAGGCCAGAGCTAGTCTGGCTGCTCCTGGAGCCGGAAGTCCATTGCGCCTGCTTTGAGGGCTGGAATTGTTCTGCACAAGGCCCTCAAACATTTAGAAATAAAGTAACTTCCCACGGTAATGGTAATCTGTTTCCTTCCCACACATTGAATCTCTAGTCCATTTTCCTTTTTTCAAACAGGTTTTGAATTTCTGATATACTGCAGGTGCTCCCATTGTTATATTAATTTCATTTAGTGGTGACTAAATTTCTTTATTTGATCACTTTAAAATACTTTTATGATGATATATAGTCTTTAAGATTTATTTATTTTTATTGGAAAGGCAGATATACAGAGAGGATGAGAGACAGAGAAGAAGATCTTGCATCTGATGGTTCACTTCCCAAGCGGCCGCAACGGCAGGAGCTGAGCTAGTCATAGCCAGGAGCCTCTTCCAGGTCTCCCACGTGGGTGCAGGGTCTCAAGGCTTTGGGCCGTCCTTGACTGCTTTCCCAGGCCACAAGCAGGGAGCTGGATGGGATTCGAACCAGCGCCCATATGTGATCCCAGCGCATGCAAGGCCAGGACTTTAGCTGCTATGCTATCGCGCCAGGCCTGATATATAATCTTCATACTTACAACAGAAATTATATTAAATGATCATATTAACCCTAATTTATCTCTTTGATCTATTTAAAAGGAATAACTATCAGTAGGAAAAAAGGTTGATAATTGATGAAAAGTTACACAGTTGTTAAGGCTGAAAGTGATAAGGATTATAAAAGTGCTTATAATGAAAAAACACATCCAATTGTATTTGTGTGACTTTGATGCTGATGTAAGGTGCAGGAAGGGAGGTTGTGGTGCAGTGGGTTAAGCCATTGCTTGGGACACTTGCGACCAGCATCGGCGTGCTCTCTTGAGTCTTGGCTACCCCACACCTCGAGTCCAGCTTCCTGCTAATACATCTGGGAGGCAGAGAGACAGAGGATGATGCCCCAAGGATGGGGGGGCCTTGCCACCCACGTGGGAGACCCAGATGAAGTGTCTTGGCTCCTGGCTTCAACCTGGCCCAGCCATTTCAAGATGAACTGGCAGATGGAAGATCTCTCTATCTCTCTTTCACTCTTTCTCTTCTCTCTCTCTCTCTCTGTGGCTCTGCCTCTCACATAAATATTTGGGGAAAATGCACCTTTAAAAAAAAGGTCATGCAGATTAGGACTTGAGTGGGATGCTGAAAAAAAATAAAAACAGAGTTTTAATCATGGATACTGTTCACACTTGCTGAAAAAAAAGTAAGTGCACGAACAAGTAAGTACACAAAAAAACTTTCATCTGATTTTGACTATATACACGGACCTGACATGAACATTGTTAATGAAGTAGATGAATACTCCACAGAACTTAGGTTGGTTTTATTTATTTGTCTTCATTCCACGTGATGGGCGGACAAGCAAAGGCAGGTGTCATGTGGCTTCTGCCACCTGCTACTTCCCCCTGCAGATGCCCTGTAATGCAGGGGCTGGGCCTAAGCTGGAACTATGCTGAGTTTCCCACTCAGGTGTCAGGGTCCCAGGTAGCTGAGCCATCACCAAGGCCTTGCAAGGTGTGCGTTAGCGGGAATTGGCAGTAGGGCAAGGACTGGATTCCAGGCTCACCGCCCAATGTGGGAGGCGGGCATTCGGTGTGACTTCTGAGACATTGTGCCAAACACAGACCCCAGAACCGAGGTTGCAAACATCATTATTCATCCCTGGATTTCTAAATGAAGTTAAAATAAAAGTGACATTGCTTAGACTATTATGTAAATAGTAATGCCCAATAAAACTGACCAGTAACAATTGTATAGGATAAGGATAGTTTAAAGTTAAACAGCATTTGTACATTTTATTTTGAGTAATTTCTTAAATCATTGCATTGAGGATAAAAATGGATCCAAAAGCCTCCTGTTCAAATAAGCTGCTTTTCCATTTCAGCTGAAGGTCAATGTACAAACCTTCTTCACTGACCCTTGTCACCAGGATCTGTACTAATAATTGAGCCTTCAGTGTATAGCACTCTTTCTATTAACTGTCAGCAAGGGTAAAAATATGTCAAAATCTACTTGCTAGTTTATGAAAGTGAATTAAAAAAAAAACAGGTCAATAAAATCTAATCAAAAATATTTTCAAATACAAGATAAAAACCAGTGTTTTCTGTGTCTTTTGGGTTTCTAGCCCATCTGGTGGGACAATTTACAACACGTTAAGAACATGTAACAGGGAGGGATTGGGGGGAATCCCAGTGCCCATAACACTGTGTCACATAATGCAATGCAATTAATAAAAATAAATAAGTTAATTAAAAAGACATGTAACATAGCTAACAACAGCATTTGGAAATGCAAGCCATTTATCACAGGTTGAAAGCATCTTTAATTGTCCCTCTAAATTAATCCAATTAGTCAGTGTGGGATTTAATTCTTGGAAAATGTGTACGTTATGATGAATTTGAAAAGCTTTCGATAATAACTTCTAAAACAATAGCATAGCCATCAGGGTCGAACAATTTTGTGCCGAGGCAGAAATCATTCTGCTTTCAGTCTTAATTTAACCCAACGAGGATCTGATTTAGACTTTACATAAATATCTTATAAAGCTGTACTGCCCCAACCCAGTTGCCACACGTGGCTACCGAGCTCTTGAAATGGCTGAATTGAGCTATGGTTTAAATGTAATCTACCTAGCAGATTCCAGAGATTTGGTACAGACAAGAGAAATTTACTGACTTTATAGTGATTGCATGCCATAAATAATAATTGGTGTGTATTCGGTTAAATAAAACAGATAGTCAGTACTTTATTTCACCTGCTTCTTTTGCTTTGTTAGTGTGGCTCCTGGACAAATTTGAAGTCTTTGACACTGGCACTCATTAGTTGCTTTGCCTGTATTTCTAATGGACAGCCTCAATATGCAGTACAGAACGGGAATATGCATGCTGCAAAATTCCCTTAAAAGCCCCACAGTGCCGAGTGCCACAGCTGGCTGGCTGGTCAGCATCCTGAAGCCCCATAGTGCCGAGTGCCACAGCTGGCTGAGCTGGTCAGCGTCCTAAAGCCCCATAGCACAGAGTGCCACAGCTGGCTGGCTGGTCAGCATCCTGAAGCCCCATAGTGCCGAGTGCCACAGCTGGCTGGCTGGTCAGCGTCCTAAAGCCCCATAGTGCCGAGTGCCACAGCTGGCTGAGCTGGTCAGCGTCCTAAAGCCCCATAGCGCCGAGTGCCACAGCTGGCTGAGCTGGTCAGCGTCCTAAAGCCCCTTAGTGCCACAGCTGGCTGAGCTGGTCAGGATTTACTCTTCCAATTTACTTTGCTCCTCATGGGACTCTTTGGAATCTGGCAGTGGAATTCTTGTACGGTGGTGTTGGATTTGAGTTTTTCTGACCATCACCATAAAAATACTCTTTTTCATTTTAATCTGTGACCTTTAGCACGTTGAGCGTCAACAGAGGCCCCAGGCCGTTGGTGATGAAAGCTTGGCTGGCTGGTTCACAGAATGAGATGACTGTTTATGTGTTCGTTTCTTTGCAGAAACAAATTGTTCCCTGAATCAGTCATCAGGAATATCATGTACCAGATACTGCAGGGGCTGGCGTTCATCCACAAGCACGGTAGGGTTCTTCTGAGTCTTGTTGCCTCTGAGAAGGCTGTCAGGGAACACCCGGAGCCATCTGCAAACTGTTAACTAATGTTACATTGCTTAGGTGTCTATATGCATTCACTTCTTTTTAATTTAGAAAATCTACACTTTCTCCAATGTTGGGGGGCACTGACAATGTCCTGCCCTGTGATTGGCCCTTTGCCCTGATTGGTGTGCCTTGGTGATCTTTAAGCTGATTGGATAGGATTGACATATAAGCTGGGGGCTTGGTGGGGAGGGGCTTCTGCGTAACGGAATTAACGGACATAATGGTTTTAACGGAAGGTCTGAATAAAGCACCTCTGAGAGGCTCTCCAGTGTCGGGTGACTGCTTCCGCGGGACGGGAGACCCCGATACTCCAATACTTTATAAAGTAGAATATCTATGCTCTATAGCCATCTTCGTCTGTCACAGACTTTAAAGGCAAATTTATTTGAAAGCCAGAGGTATAGACAGAAAGCGAGACAATGAGAGAGAGAGAGAAAGAATGAATTTTCCATGCGCTGGTCACTCCCCAAATGGCCACAAAGAGCCAGGGGCCTGGAGTTTCCTCTGGGTCTTCCACATGGGTGGAGGGACCCAAGCAGTTGGGCCATCCTACAATGCCTTCCCAGGCACATTAGCAGAGAGCTGGTACCCATATGGGATACTGGCACCCAGTATGATATGCCAGGGCACTGATTCCCAACCCTCCCAGATGTTTTTTTAAAATTTATTGATTTTTATTGGAAAGGCAGATATATAGAAAGGAAGAGAGACAGAGAAGAAGGTCTGTCTGATGGTTCACTCCCCAAGTGGTCACAACAGCTGGAGCTCAGCCAATCCGAAGCCAGGAGCCTCTTCCGAGATTCCCACATGGGTGCAGGGTCCCAAGGCTTTGAGCTGTCCTCAACTACTTTCCCAGGCCACAAGCAGGGAGCTGGATGGGAAGTGGAGCTGCCTGGATTAGAACCAGCGCCCATATGTGATCCCAGCATGTGCAAGGCAAGGGCTTTAGCTGCTAGGCTACCATGCCAGTAGTAATCCCCAACCCCCAGATTATTTAAACAGGTTTTTCATCAGGCCGCAGCTCAGTCAAAATGTCCTCATCTTGCCATGTCGCTTCCCCTGATTTTGCGTGGAAGTTTTTTCAAGGCTCCGTGTTGGGAAGACTTGGGTTCTTTCATGCCGCATGACCCGTTTCTGGGATTTTAAATGCCTGCAGGTCCCCGTGGTGGCATTTGGCAGCTTCCTTCAGTATTCACATCTGTTGTTTCTATTCCCCAAAGAACCTTAATGCAGGTGACTCTTCTTATTTCCTATACATTTCTCATCCGTATATAGCTTTCACATATCTGTCAAATAAAAAATAATTATTAGTCCAAAAAGTTCATGTTAGTAAGTGAACATTGGTTCAGAGTCACTTTGCAATGTAATAGGTATTTAGAGAACTGTGTGCCACGGGCCAGTGTTGTGGTGAAGTGGCTTAAGCTGATGTCCGTACCCTGTAAGGGCTGTTTGAGTCCTGGGGGCTCTGCTTCTCATCCATCTCCCTGCTCATGGCCCGAGAAAAGCAGCGGAGGACGGCCCAGGGATTTGGGTCCCTATACCCACTTGGGAGACCCAGGGGCTCCTGATTCTGGTCTTTTTCAACATAGACTGGAAGAGTCATTTGGGGAGTGAACCAGAAGATGGAAGATCTGTCTTTTCTTCCATCTCTCTGTAATTCAGCCTTTCAGGTAAACAAATAATATTTTTTAAAAGATAAAATAGAATGTTAAAAAATGTGTGTTTTTTAAGAAGAAAACTTTGTGCTTAGCATTGCTACATTTTGCACACATGAAAACAATACTTCAAAATGTTCTGGAAGATGGAATTAAAATGTAAATATATTCTGGTTCAAAAAGCTTTAAGATCCTTGCGTGCCTTTTCGTAGCACGCTTTCCCAAAAGCTCTCGCAAGGCCCCTGGCGCTGAGTTTGCAATAGAAGCGGTAGGATGGTTGGTTTTGGCAGCAACGCAGCTGCCCCGGGGAATGGAAGTATGGCAGTCATTTCAAATGAAGAAGCTAGTTACCACGTGTGGGGTTCCATTTTTATATGTTGGACTTTTCCAACCAGCAATTCCATTTAAGGAGGCCTGGGTTAAATTACGATGTGAAGGATTGCTGTCTTGAGCCTAACTAGAAAGTCCCCCTTAAGCATTTCTGGCATCACTTAGGTTGTTTCTGCCTGGGCTTCCTTCCCACACCCGAGGGGTACCAGTAATCATACTGTAACGATATTTAGCCCAGCACCTGAGACTTCTGAAGTGAGAAAGGAGAACGTGTTGGATGGCTGTTCGTTTTTACTGATGCATTACTAAGTCATTCTAAAAGCATTTAAAAACTAGCGTATTTGGTCTTGGGTGGAGGAACAAGATGGCGCTGCAGGGTGAGGAGAGGTTTAAACTGACAGGGAATAATTCGCCAGAGTGAAGCAGCGAGGGTGTATTTCAGGAAATGGGAGAGGACAGGCTGACTGCAGAGGGGCACCTGGGGACCCACAGACATGGGAAAGCAGCGGGAACAATGGAGCGGTGTGACCAGATACCCCAGCCGTGGTCAGCCGTCAGGGCTGGGTGATCAGAGCTCTGCCAGCAGCCAGGAGGGAAGGGGAGTTCACCAGGAGTTCACCAGTAGTTCAGGAGGTGAACCAAGAACTACCTGTCCTGCTGATTTATTTGATCTGACCATGAAAGTGGCAGACCCCAAGAGGCAGGTGAATTTCATGTCCCAAACCCCACCAGATGCCATCGTGTGTACTGATGACTGGAGGGACCACAGAGTGAGCTGCGCACGCACTAAGGCGGGAACGAAACGAGCTCTGACTCAGCACGTTACGTGTGTCCCACAGGGAAGTCGGTCCCAACGCCACATCCTGCAGTTCCATCCGAAATAGGTCCGGGTGGCGCCCAGACCTCGTGGTCCACACCCAGAACCCCGCCAGGGCCATAACAGACACCATTTTATCCACTCTGGCAAAGGCTGGGGAGGATCAGAGGAACAGTGAGCTGTGCATGCCCCAGGCCAGGAGCCAAAGCAATTCTGGCTCAGTGCATTGCACCTGTCTCCCGGGGAAATCAGTGCCAATTTGACAACCTGCGGGTTCCAAACAAATAGGTCCGGGTGGCACTCAGACCTACAGGCCAGCACTCAGTGATTGAGGACAACAGGTGTCTCCTTAATCCCAGGCATTGCTGGAGCCAGGAGTGGGAGAAACGCTACGCAGGAAATGGTGCAGGCACAGCACAGGATCACAGGGGGTCGAAAGTGGTGAGCCAGCCATTGGGGCTAGGGGAGCTGTGGTGGAAGCCCAGCACATGCGCACAGGTCTGAAATTCGCTGGAGGAAATGGCACAAGAGATTGAAAAGGAAGACCTGGGTACCAAACACAGTCGATAAAATTGTCCTGTAGATCAGTGCACAACACAGCTTAGAAACTGGCCCTGAGAAGAGGAATCTGCCAAAGACGATAGCAATGACCAAGATCTAAAGAAGAGACAGAAGCACAATGAATATTACTGTTGCCTCCGCTGCAAAGGAGCAAAAGCCTTTATCCACCTCAGAGTTAAGAAGACAGAGAAGATGGAGGATAAAAAATTTTAAAAGCTTGTTATAAAGCTTCTTAAAACACAGTGAGGGGCCCGGCGTGGTGGCGCAAGTGGTTAAGGTCCTCGCCTTGCACGCCCGGGATCCCATATGGGCGCCGGTTCTAATCCCGGCAGCCCCACTTCCCTTCCAGCTCCCTGCCTGTGGCCCGGGAAAGCAGTCGAGGACGGCCCAAAGCTTTGGGACCCTGCACCTGCGTGGGAGACCCGAAAGAGGCTCCTGGCTTCGGACCGGCATAGCATCGGCCCGTTGCGCTCACTTGGGGAGTGAATCATCGGATGGAAGATCTTCCTCTCTGTCTCTCCTCTCTGTATATCTGCCTTTCCAATAAAAAAATAATAAAAATAAATCTTTAAAAAAAACACAATGAGAAGCGCATGTAAGAGTTCAAGGAACTTAAGAAATATGTTATACAGGAAATAACAGCAATGAATTAAACGAAAGCTGATGTGTTAGAAATTAAGAATGCGATGGAGCAAATTAAAAATTCAGTGGGAAGCCTCAATCATAGAATGAGGGAGGCAGAAGAAAGAATCTCAGAGCTGGAAGATATTTCTTGCCACTGTGGGAAAACAATTTAAAAATCTGTAAATGGATTGACTGAAGCCAATAAAAAAAATATTCAAGAATTAAAAGAGCATTATTAAAGGGCAAAATATAAGAGGTATGGGAGTTCCAGACGGTGCACGAAGAAAAGCTGAGTTGAATAAATCTTTCATTGAATAAAGTTGTATTCAATGAAACATTAAAGGAAAACTTCCCTAATATGAAGAAAGAATTGGGAAACAACATAGAGAAGGGGCACAGAACTCCCAATTGTATTGCAAAGCAGTCTTCACCACAGCACATCATGATCAAGCTCTCTGCAGTCGAACAAAAGGAAAAGATTTATAAATATGCACATGAAAATGATCAGGTAGCATTTGGAGGAGCCCCAGTTAAACTCACAGCTGACCTCTCAGAGGAACCCTGCAGAGAAAGGAGTGACTATTCCAGACCATCATGGAGTGAGACTGGAGACAAATAGCTCAAAATACCCAGAAGACATGCAAAGTCTTGCTGACTGGATAGTATGCTGCTAAATGAACACTGGGTTGTAGAGGAAATCAAAGAGGAAATTCAAAAATTGCTTGAAACAAATGAAGGCATCCACACGACATATTGATACTTATGGGACATGAAAAAGGCAGTGTTAAAAGGAAAGTTCATCTCAATCAATGCTTAAGAAATTAGAAAAGCACCAAGTAAATGAGCTAACCTTACAGTTGAAGGAGCTAGAAAAACAGCAGCAAAGCAATCCCAAAATTAACAGAGGGAAAAAATAACCAAAATAAAGGAGGAAAACACCAAATAGAGACAAAAAGAACAATATATAAGATCAATGAATCAAAGAGCTGGTTGTTTGAAACGAATCAACAAAACAGACCACACTGAGGTTCCACCAAACTCCAGTGAAATTAGTCTACATTCAAAACTCTACTAATAACACCTGCTGGCATGGATATGGGGAGTGTAGTCTGGTACAACCACTGTGGAAATCAGTATGGAGAGTGCTAAGAGAACTGAAAATTGACTTGCTGTATGACCCAGCTGTCCCACTTCTGGAAATATATCCAAAGGAAATGAAATCTGCATATGAGAAAGAGATTTGTAATCCTATATTTATAGCAGCAAAATCTGCATAGCAAAGACAGGGAAACAACCCATCTAAAGAGAAGTGGATAAAGAAACTGTGGTACATCTACTCCATGGAATACTGCTCAACCGTTAAAAAGAATGGAATTATACCCTTTGCAACCAAATGGTCCCAACTGGAGACCATCATGCTCAGTGAAACAAGCCAATCCCAAAAGGACAAATATCATGTATTCTCTCGGATATAAGGCAACTTTCATGCAAAATACAAGATAAATATTTCTTTCAATACTGCTTTTGCTACATCTTAGGAGGGGCTGATATTTTTATTCTTATTTTAATTTATTCAGAAAGGTTTTTATTTTCCTTGTGAATTTCCACACCGACTCCCAGGTCACACAATAGCGTTGTTTGCTTCGGGAAAGTCTTTGATTTTTGTTCTTCGTTTCTTCAGTACCACATTGGCCATTCAGTAACGTGTTGTTCAACATCGTGCAGTGGTGAATTTTCTGGTTTTCTTCACGTTGTTGATTTTGTTTTATGAATTTTCATGTAAGGGGATGTATCGTAACCGTGTGGTAGAGGCTGTCACACACAGGTGTGAAGATCCAATGCAGCTTGCATCTCTTTTCCCAAATCAAAGATGGACTCCCAATGAAACTGCTCAGTATAGCTTGATGATAGGAAGCTGGACTGTCTGTCATTGTATCTACGATGTAAGGTTACACTTAAATAGCTGAATGATGGACGTGTGACTGTCTGTGAAAGACTACACCACTGTAATAGTATGGGGTAAATCCTTGAGGGGAGAGGACTTGAGAAGGGGAGGGGAGACCTATGGAACCACATTGTCAAATAATAACATGAATAAATAGATAGACATTTAAAAATAAATAAAGCTTTTCTCTGTACATCTGCCTTCGCAATAAAAATAAATCTTTTAAAAATTAAATCTTTCTTTTAAAAATAAGTAACCCTTTTTAAATAAATAAAGCTATATGTCAACATGATGATTTATTTTGTCTTCTCTTTTATATTACAAAGGCTTTTTTCACAGGGACATGAAACCTGAAAACTTACTCTGTATGGGTCCGGAACTTGTGAAAATTGCTGACTTTGGACTTGCTAGAGAGCTGAGGTCCCAGCCACCGTACACTGACTATGTGTCCACCAGATGGTGAGTAGCTGTGTGCCCGTCTCCTACGGCATGCGGGAAGGTTGAAATACCCCTGGGATGGATGGACTTCCATCTGTCTGGAGGCTCCATGTTTAATATGTAAAACCACAGTCCAGGACTGAATTTAAGATGCCCTGGACATGGAATTGGCTCATGAGTGTTACGATCAATGATGTGAGGCTGTGGTGACAGATTTCAGCTGTTCTGGGTTTTACTTTAAACCCAGCTCTCAGAACGGCACCTGCCACGGGGTCGATTCCCAATAAAGTTTTGTCGAACGAATGACTGACTGTCCATCACCTCCACGATCCCGAATTTACTGTCTTCAGGATTTTTCTAAATCTGACAGTTGTTTATTTTCTTATTCCGCGCCAAAATCTGGTTTCACATAGCCTTTAGTAAAAGCGACTCTCTTTTCAGGAAGCAGCCTTTCCTGCGCTTTCAATAGCGCTGATATATTGGTCCTTGTCTCACGGAGGAGCATCCCAGATCCCTCACACACTTCACCCAGGACATCACTGGCTGAGGCGGAGGGAGCCTCAGGCCTGCGTGGGGAGTCCCCTCACCACAGCTTAGGCTGTTCCCCCCTCATCAGCTGTGCTGCTGAGAACCAGAGGCGCCCACTGAACCAGGGAATAGAGGGCAGGGAGGTGACCTTCACCATTCCATGTCCCTGGACCGGTAAAGGTCATACCCTTTTTTCTTTTTTAAGTTTATTCATTGTTTTGAAAGAGAGTCATTCCCGTAAATGCTCAACAGCAGAGCAGAGCTGGTCCAGGAGCCCAGAACTTTCAAATAAAAATAGATAATCTTTAAAAAAAAAAAAAAACTCACCAACAAAAGACATAAATGTGTTCACCAAAAGACATGTAGTGGTCCCACTGCAAGCCACCTTGCTGTCCCGCACGCTTAGCATGGGAAATTACCTCAGTGAATATTTTACAGCAGAGCGAATGCAGAATCCATGGCTAGGTGCAACCTGGCAGGTGGATCTCACACAGACACGGCTGAGAAAGAGACCAAGCCACTAAAGTGAAGCCGGGAGTCTGGGTGACAGTGTGTTCCGGTTCCGCCAGTGTCTGCAGGTGCTGTTGTTGGTTTCCCTGAACTGCAGTCTTGGGAAGGATCTGCTGGAACACTGCGCATGCATCTTGCTTCATTCTTGGTCTTCTCTGATCAGGTTATGGACACGGGGACAGCAAGCTTATGTTTGCATCTTAACACAAGGCTAAATAGGAAAGATGGCCAGCTATTTGTCATCTCTCTTTATCCAACCCTATCCTAAAACAGCATGACGAAATAGGGTAGGCGGGAGTGGTCCATGGCTAACTCCTCCAGAAGTGTTGGCAGAAGTGTTTGTTCCTGTTTGCCCATCAGCCACATGACACGGCAGCCCCAGGCGCCGGGGACTCTTGCTGTGCCAAGCCGGTTGGTTGGTTCACGGGAGATATAGGCATTGTAGATTAGATGTACAGGAAATAGGGGTGTGCATTTTCACAGTAATTATCATTTTACTATTAATATACAACTAAATTTTAAAGGTTTTTATTTTATTTGAAAGGCAAGTTTGCAGAGAAGGAAAGACAAAGAGAGAGAGAAAGAGACAGAGAGCTCTTCCATCCACTGATTCAGCCACGCCCCCCACCCCCGCCAACAATGGCCACACAGCCTGAGCTGAGCTGATCCAAAGCCAGGAGCCAAGGGCTGCTTCTGGGTCTCCCACATGGGTGCAGGGTGCAAGGCTTTGGGTCATCCTCTGCTGCCTTCTCAGGCCACAAGCAGGGAGCTGGATGGGAAGTGGAGCAGCTGGGACACAAATTCCCCATATGGGATGCTGCTGGCACAGGTACAAGTTTAGCCCATTAAATATGGCACTGGCCCCAGAACATAAATATTGTATTGCGTGGTATTTATACAGAAGACATCTAGGGAGAAAGAAAGATGAAAGCAGAGCCAGAGAAGAGGAGGATGCATCTATAGGACAAAGAACATTAAAAATTGTGCCAACACAGGAGCTAGGAGAAAGGCCGGGTGAGAGCTTGGCACCCTGACACCCACATAGGAGACCCGGATGAAACTCTGGCTCCTGACTTAGTCTGGCCGTCCTCATCAGAGAAATCATCTGAAGAGTGAACCAATGCATGGAATTTCTCTCGTTCTCTCTCTCTCCAAGTCTTACTTTCAAAATAAATCAGTGTTTAACAAATCAACACAAAAAGAGCTGAAGCATAGCTGTAGGAAGCTCTGCCTGCTGAGTTTCTGACTTTTGGGTTCTTTACAAGTAGGAAAAGCAAAGCGATTGTCTCCCTTGGGAATGCACGGGCTGTTAGAGTGGAGGAAGAACCTCACAATGAAAGGATGCCAGCTTTGATTGTGTCCCTGAAAACATACAAAAAATCAGTCACCTTTTTGTCTGGTAACCGTTGCAGTGTTTTCATTGCGGTTCATAGGTAAAGCTCTTAGCCGTTGGTTCTGTGCTCTGTGCGAGGTGGGACATCTGACGTTGCTGCTGTTGCTACTGTGATTTCAGTTAAGAAGTTTAAAGCTGTAGATGAAAGTCTCCTTTTGTAGTGATGTAACAGACACAACCTTTTAGGTTAGCACACTTAATAAAACTCCAGGTGGACTGTGGAAGAACCCAACAGAGCACAAACACATATGCATGGGCTGTGAGACACGACTGTGTAGGCGTTGGGGCAAGAAAGACAAGGACCTTCCATCAGTTCTGTAATTGCACACTGGTGTTGTCAGACCTCCGTAACCAAACTACAGAGGGTTTTTATTATTATTATTATTATTATTAACACCCTGATGTGATTACAGAATATGTCAGATTTGCTTGCTGGCACCGTTGTCAGCTATTGCCTGTGCAGAACTACTTTGTAAGAAAACGTGGTTTCCAGCACGTCTTATGTCTTCCTTGTAAACAAACCTTCTAAAGTTACACTGTATTCGTTCCAAATAATTTGGAAAGCTTCCATCAGAATTTTTGATGTTGTGAGTGCCAAAACCCTGAAAGCTTTGAACCATAGAGCAAATTGGCGGAAAACAAAGTTGGAAAACAGAGAAATAATGATACTTATCCTTACAAAGGGAAAGAAAGAACTGGACAAATCAAGAGCTCCAACGGTATGCTCACTTTTTAAAAATAAAGTAAACGTAGGTTTGTAAAATCTCTTGTAGAAGATCTTAATTTTTAAATGGGTACTTTCTTAAAAAAAAAAAAGATTTGTTTATTTTTATTGGAAAGGCGGATATACAGACAGGAGAGAGAGGAAGATCTTCCGTCTGATGGTCCACTCCCCAAGTGAGCACAACGGCCGGAGCTGAGTCAATCCAAAGTCAGGAGCCAGGAGCTCCTCTGGGGTGCAGGGTCCCAAGGGTTTGGGACATCTCCAACTGTTGTCCCAGGCCATAAGCAGGGAGCTGGATGGGAAGCAGGGCCACTGGGATTAGAACCGGTGACCATATGGGATCTCAGCATGTTCGAGGTGAGGACTTTAACCACTACGCTATCGTGCCAGGCCCAATACCTGTACTTTCAAAATGAGATAAAGATGGTGGGGGGGGATCCCCTCGTCTAGGGTTGTCTGTTAATCTTTCATTTTTGTCCTTTACGTGAATACACGCAGGGCGTGGTACTTTGCTCAGGGCTAACCTTGGGAGGTTCTCATTTCTGCATTTGCTCCTTCCAGTTCCTGTCTTTGCTGTGTGGCTGTTTCACATACGTTTGTACCGTGGTCATGTATTACGGAAAGTCTGCCATCCAACAGGTCCCTGATCTGTATCGTTTGATTGAAACATGTGACCAGCTCGTGGAGAGTCCTGCCTCCCGCCCCCCGTTGGCACTGCATCCGGACAGCCTGACCTGCTTTGTTTCCCGCGTTAGGTACCGGGCTCCCGAGGTTCTGCTCCGGTCTTCGGCTTACAGCTCTCCCATCGACGTGTGGGCGGTGGGCAGCATCATGGCCGAACTCTACACGCTGAGACCACTTTTCCCGGGGACCAGTGAGGTCGACGAAATCTTTAAGATTTGCCAAGTTTTAGGGACTCCCAAAAAAGTAAGTAACCTCCCACCTACATCACTATAGCGTTTGAATATTTCTAATTTGCCAGGTTGCGTTTGGCTTTGGAACCTGAATGTTTGTGATTTGTGCAGGGATTATCTGATATGTTCATCTTGACATAAGCGACACTTTTAACAACTTTTTCAGAATCTGTATTTCCAAAAGGCGGAGTGGGGGAAGGGTTAAGAACCCAGAATCCTACCAAACTGAGCAGAAATGGTGCTTGTCTTGAAGTTGCAGAAAGCATTTGTCTACCTAGGAATGTAACTTGGGATAGCTGGCTAGTTAAGTCCACAGCCGTGCTTGCCCGCCTTGGGGAGGTCTAGTTCATTAACCCCCAGTTTGCTGGACCTTATTATAATCATTTCTTGTTTCCTTTCACACACTCTGCCCTGGATAGTCAATGTCTTCCCAGGTTGCTGAGATGTGCTATGTCTGATGACGTGTTGATTAAATCAGCGTGCTCCTTGTGGTTTACGTTAGATGATTAGATGTCAATATTGACACGACTGAGCACAGCTGTCACTTCCCAGCCGCGAGCCGTGTGTGACACCGGGTACAACAGACGTGTACAGCGAGGGTCTCCGTGGGAACCAGCCTCTTTGCAGAGTGCCAGTGGTCCTCTGTGCAAAGTCGTGCTGGCGGCATCCTCATGACCACCGCCAGCATCGTTAACACCCAGAGTTAAATACACGCAAGATTCTCATATTCTGAAATTTACAGAAGTGCTTTCCCGTCTCCTCCTAATTCAGAGTGGGTCTTTGTTCCCTTTATACTGTTGGCGGCACTGAACCCTGAACTGATGTGATGTTTGTTAATATGCACCGGCATTAAAGTGCTCGCGCAGGAATGCCTTTTAAGTGGATTACTGAAACCACGTCTCTGTTTGTTCTCCCTTACCTGTGCGTGGGTGTTCCCTAAAGAGTGACTGGCCGGAAGGATACCAGCTTGCGTCCTCTATGAATTTCCGTTTCCCCCAGTGTGTCCCCATCAACTTGAAGACGCTTATTCCCAATGCCAGTGACGAAGCTATTCAGCTCATGACCGAAATGTTGAACTGGGACCCAAAGAAGCGGCCAACAGCAAGCCAGGTACAGCAGATCTCCAGCCCACCTTGGGAAAGGGTTGACATTCTACAACAAGAAGGATGTTGTTGTTGTGGCAGATAGAGGCCAGTCTGGTGTCGCCTGTGGGTGTAACCGAGAGATTTAAGCTCCAGGGCATCCGGTGTAGGTGATAACATCATTTCCTAGGCGTGTAGTACCCTTGGGAGGATTGCAGAGATGGCCATTGTAGTGGTTTTCTGGGCTTTGTGGTTCAGGTGGAAGACAAGGCTAGAAGGGATCCATCTCTGATGATAAAAAATGCCGGCATAAGAAAGAGTTGTTAGGATGAAACCTGTTGTTGTGAGACATCTAAAACAGGGCGTCCCTGCATTCTGCGCTTGAGGGAGAGGCACAGCGGTTCCCGGCTCCACGGGAACGGAATCACAATATTGAGCCCTGGCTCCCACAAGAGGGCAGCACTGAGGCACCCACACCTGCTGCCACAGCTGACAGTCTCCAAGGCGAGTCCCACGTTCTAAAACGCCGTGTTTTCATCTGCAGAGGGCTTCAGTGAAGGGCTGATCATCATCTTTCTTTGTATTCTTATATAAATATACATTCTATGTGAAAATAACCAGTTCTTTTGCCTTCCCCTCCACCCCAACTTGAGAAAATGTTTTCTTTTAATTGGCCCCTGGGAGAACAAATGGGAAATAGTCGTGATGTATGTACTCAGTCGTTGGAGAGCGACAGAGGCAGGCAGCCTGCCGTGTCCGTCCTGAACAGTGCTGATGACAGTGACAGTCCTGGCATAGCGAGTACGCGCAGCTCAGCGTTGCAGAACAGGAACGAGAGCGCTGGATGAACTTGACAGTGCGTGAGGGTGTTGAGGGCCAGACAAGGCCAACTTCCCAACAGTTCGGGGAAGAGTAAACTTAGATTCTTATCGTTCGCCACACTTTGCAGGTAAGCCACAGAAGGATGAAATAATACAGCGCTTTCAAAAGAAAAAAAGCCTGAAGCGTTGAACACAATACAGGTGCAGAGTTGGTCTTAAGGTAAACAAAATGAACATAAAAGTAACAAGAGAAAGGGGGACTCCCAGTGAGACTGCTAAATACATCCTGACGGTAGGATCTGGACTGTCAGCCATTATCGGAGCCTGCAGGGCCACGATGCTCTTACTAGCATGATGTTGGACGTGTGGTGCTTGCTGGAGCGTCATACTACCGTAATTATATGGACGAAACCAGTGGGGGGGGAACGGGAAGGAGGAAGAGGAGATGGGGGCGGAAATCCACGCGCCTCTAAAACCGTAACCTGGAAAATAATGGCAACAAACAGCAAGGGATGGAAGGAATCTCCGAGGGAAAGCAGAAAATCTGGCTTTTTAAGGGTTACGTTTGCTCTATTTAAAACTATTCGAATTGAAACACAAGGCAGTAAAAATGACCTCTAACAAACATGGCAGTGTTAATATCCTTAATATGAGCTTCCCGTAATAACACAAACATCTAACACGCATCTCCCCCGCATTTCGAATTTTTCTAAGCAATCATTACTTCTGTAACAAAGATAGGTCTTTGGAATTTATTTTTAAAAGAAAAGTGACGTGAGACCCAAACCATAGGAAAAAAAAGTCAAAGTTTCCAAAAATACTTTTTAATGTTCATTCCTCCTCTGCTCGTAAAATGCAAATGAAAATCTCTTTTATCTTTCTTACTAAAACAATTTTGCTATATATGCGTGTGTATATGTATGTGTTAGCATATATATTATTTATGTATATTATCATACGTATATAACCTTAAAAACAACGTAAAAAACGTTGGATAAAGATTCATGAAATAAAGATTCATGTCCAAAAATGTTCAGAAATTCAATTTAAAAACACTGAAACATAAAAAAAGAAAAAGTGAGTGGTGGTTCTTTGTGAAGTCTGTAACTTACAGAGCGTCCTAGTTTTCTTCTTGAGAACTTGCTATAAACTTCTCACCTTCTGAAATGATCATATACCCTCTTCCTGAGCCGGAAGACACCCATCTGGCCGCTGTTTGGAGTTGACTGTCCTCACCGGCAACTTCAGTTGCTGTAGGTGATGCTTGGCCTAAGCAGCCCGGTCCCACCTCTTGCTACAAAGGAAGCCACAGCGCAGAGGTTAGGGGAGCGCCTGCCCTGCTGCCCTGGCTCAGGAGCTGGTGCTGAGAAGGGCGCTCTGCAGCCGCGCTGCCCCGAGCCTGCAGCTGCTGAGCCCGGACTGTGTTCTCCGTGGCAGCCGTGTCGTGAGCTCCTTGTTGTGCTGGGTTGTTCTGTGCGTTATTCACTGTTCACCTTCATTCCTGGCCTCTCCCAGCAGGTGCCACTAGCACTCCCAACCCCATCTTTAGGGTGGAATGTCTCCCAAGGGGCAGACGCTGGTTGAGAATGCTGCTCTGGACTGTGCCACGTGTTAGGGACTCCCCACCACACACACAGACACAACTGGATGGCTCATGTTTCCAACAGTGATTTAGCAATATATATATATTTCAAGATTTGTTTATTTTTATTGGAAAGTCAGGTATACAGAGAGGAGGAGAGAGAGGAAGATCTTCCAACCACTGATTCACTACCCAGGTGACCGCAATGGCTGGAGCTGAGCCAATCCAAAGCCGGGAACCAGGCGCTTCTTCCAGGTTTCCCACACAGGTGCAGGGTCCCAAAGCTTTGGGAGGTCCTCAGCTGCTTTCCCAAGCCACAAGCAGGGAGCTGGATGGGAAGCAGGGCCATGGGGATTAGAACTGGTGCCAATATGGGATCCTGGAATGTGCAAGACAAGAACTTTAGCTACTAGGCTACCACACGAGACCCAGCAATACGTTTTATACATCCCTGTCATGTATGTTTTTGCTTTGCTAGTGTGCCGGTAAATTCAGTTTTGAGATGCTTGTGCTTGCAGTCACTTTCTTAGGCTGTTTCATTGCTAATTATTCCTAGGTGGACAGAATAACTCTGAATTTTAAATACAGCCATGGTTCATCATTTAAAGGAAACCCCATGTGGAAGGGTTTCTAAACTCACTTCTGATGCCTCTGGATCTATGCCAAGCTTCTCTCAACATCCAGTGTTATACCCTGAATCAGTTACATCAAATTTAGCTAATGTTTATAAGCTACATTCTGTTTTATATGAATTTTTTAAAATAAATAGAATGGTTTCCTTGGATGTTAAACGATGCTTCCCCCTCTTCAATTTTCGATGCCGAACTCCCTTCTCAAGTCTTTTTTCCCTGGTTATCTTGTTAAAATCACGGTGTCAAGGACTGTGGAAGGGAAAGCGAGGCTCTCTCAAACGTTCGCAAACTGTATTTCCGTGCTTTTTGCAGGCATTGAAACACCCCTATTTCCAAGTTGGTCAGGTGTTAGGCCCTTCCACACACCACCTGGAAGCCAAGCAGCCCTTCAGTAAGCAGCTGCAGCCACTGGAACCGAAGTCGTCTGACACGGAACCCAAGGCTCTGCCAGAGCTCGCGGATCAGACCCTGGGGCAGCCACAAGCCGGCCAGCAGCCGCAGAGCCTGGGCGCCCAGCCACCCCCGAGGCAGCCCGGCCAGCAGAAGCCCCCAGCAACGCTGTTCCCAAATATCGTGAAAAACGCACCCCCGGTGAGTAGCCCCAACTGAACTCTGCGGGAGCCAGTCAGATCGTTTCTGTTTGGGGTTGGGGGGGGGCGTTTCTCTTCTCATTCTCATTTCTCTTCGTTATTCTGTGTGAAAGCCCCTGCTTCCTCCTGTTAGAAACATGAGCCGACACTGGCGTGGCTGGTGAAATGAAAAGCTTTCGGGGGTAAAGCCGTGATATTTGCACCCACTGACTTCCTGTAATAGTTACTTTGGTGCAAAATGCCTCAGGTCCCTCCCAGCAGAATGCAAGTTCCATGATGGCAGATTTCAGCTGTTTTGGGTTTTACTTTAAACCCAGCTCTCAGAACGACACCTGCCACGGGGTCGATTCCCAATAAAGTTTTGTCGAACGAATGACTGACTGTCCATCTCCTCCACGGTCCCGAATTTACTGTCTTCAGGATTTTTCTAAATCTGACAGTTGTTTATTTTCTTCTTCCGCGCCAAAATCTGGTTTCACATAGCCTTTAGTAAAAGCGACTCTCTTTTCAGGAAGCAGCCTTTCCTGCGCTTTCAATAGCACTGATAGTATTGGTCCTTGTCTCACGGAGAAGCATCCCAGTTCCTTACACACTCCACCCAGGACATCACTGGCTGAGGCGGAGCGAGCCTCAGGCCTGCGTGGGGAGTCCCCTCACCACAGCTTAGGCTGTTCCCCCCTCATCAGCTGTGCTGCTGAGAACCAGAGGCGCCCACTGAACCGGGGAATAGAGGGCAGGGAGGTGACCTTCACCATTCCATGTCCCTGGGCCGGTAAAGGTCATACCCTTATTATTATTGTTTCTTTGAATGTTTATTCATTGCTTTGAAAGAGAGACTTGGAGCGATCTTTAATCGGCAGTGTCATTCCCCTAAATGCGCAACAGCAGAGCAGGGCTGGGCCAGGAGCCCCGAACTCCGCTGTCTGTGGCGCATTTGCTGGGTCTCCTTAGCAGGGACCTAGACGTGCAGAGAGCGCGGGGCCAAACCTCTGCCCTCCAGGCCCTTCATGTCTGGCAGGGATGGCACAAATCCTGTTTATTCCTTGTCCAGCCTGGTTCTCAGAGCTCTCTCCTCCCTGTAAGCTCCTGTCGTGGTTGTCGCTTGTGCTGCCTGTCATAGATAATGCTTCTTAACGTGTGTGTGTGTGTGTGTGTGTGTGTCTGTCTTATCTCCTTAAGTCAGAAAGTCCTGGAGATTGGAGACTGCTAGATCTGACAGAATGGCTTGTGTGTGAAAGGCATTCCTCAGGTGATTGAAAGCTGTGATGGCTGATTCTCTCCCTCCCCTCTCTGCCACAGAAGCCAAATGGTGCCCTGGGTCACAAAAGTGCCAGGAGACGCTGGGGTCAGACTGTGCTCAAGTCGGGGGACAGCTGGGGAGAGCTCCAGGACCATGACCTTGGAGCCTCGCATTCCAAGAAGCCAAGCATGGGTGTTGTCAAAGAAAAGCAGAAAAAGGATTCTCCAATTCGGTAAGATTCCAGGCCCTTCGATGCCCCGCTGTAGGTTTACTCATTATGTTTAGATGAATGTTGAGCTCAAAAGACAAAAGGGGAGCTAAATATTGTTTTCCTCTATAAAATACAGACCCTAGGGCTCCATGCTTTGCACGGTAATGGATGGGGCTGGGGGGTTAGTGTGTGTGTGTGTGTAGGGCAAGCTTGTGATCCGAGCTTGATGGTGCCCTATGAATTAAGATCATGTTCACTCCCATTTGAAGTTCCTGAGCTCTTTGCAGAAGGCAGGGGCCAACGACCATGGTTACCCTCATATTGCTTGCTTGCTGTTCTATACTTTGAGCATTTTCTTCTGAACCTTTTCTGGAAGGTCCTCCTGTTTTTTTTTTTTTGTTGTTGTTGTTGTTGTTTTTTGTTTTTTTTTCCCAGTTGGGTCACCATCAGTGTATCATTCAAGTTTGGATTTAGGATGGGCTTTAAACTTTGGTGAACATTTTGGAAACTCACTTTTAATTTTCTTTCTTCCTGGAGAAGAGGAACAGGGAAAAGAATTGTCTCGCGAGTCAGGGACATGTGCCACATAGCTTCCTGCACGAAAGGATACGGAAGTCTTCCCTTTGGGGTCCTCAGAGCCCTGGAGATCTATGAAGACTCGCTCAGTGCATGTGCACTTGGAGAATTCTTAGTCAATTGATTTCTGGACCCTCACTGCCATACAGACTCTTCCCTGAGATACCTGACAAGCAAAGCCCGCTTGGCCGACGGAGCCCCGCGGGTTGAGCCATTTCAGGGTGCTGGTGTGAGAAGCAGCCCACCTGCTTCCTGTCTGCAGCTCCCTGCTCGTTCCCAGCAGCGGCAGGCGATGGCTCAGCTCACAAAGGGAGACCTGGATGGAATCCTTGACTCCCTGACTTGGCCTTGGCCCAGCCCTTGGCTGCTGTGGTCGCCTGGTGAGCGAGCCAGCAGGTGCAAGATCTGCGTGTCTGTTTTCTGGTTTTCTTCCTCTGCCTTTCAAATAAGTACATAAATCTTAAACAAACCAAAGTTCTCAGTTCCTCTCCCACTTTCGAAAGCCATCTCTCAGTCACACTCAAGTTTTTTGTTTTTGTTTTTTTTTTAAAAGATTTATTTTTATTATTTTCTCATTGGAAAGGCAGATATACAGAGAGGAGAGACAGAGAGGAAGATCTTCCATCTGATGATTCACTCCCCAAGTGAGCCGCAATGGTCGATGCTATGCCAATCCGAAGCCAGGAGCCTCTTCCGGGTCTCCCACGCAGGTGCAGGGTCCCAAAGCCTTGGGCCATCCTCCGCTGCTTTCCCAGGCCACAGGCAGGGAGCTGGAAGGGAAGCGGGGCTGCCGGGATTAGAACCGGCGCCCATATGGGATCCCGGGCATGCAAGGCGAGGACCTTAACCACTTGCGCCACCGCGCCGGGCCCCACACTCAAGTTTTATACTGCAGTGGGGTACAGCAGCCTTTAAGGTGTTAGGGAAGGGGGAGATCAGAAGACCACGGTCGTGAATTCGGGAGGCTGTCTGTGGCTGCCTTTCTCCCACATACTTGTTTGTCCTGAGGAGAGAACCTTGCATTGAATACAGGCTACGTAAGCCTGTGTTGGAAAGCATAAAGGTGTGACACTACTGAAGCATGTGAGTCAGTGACACGTAATCCTTTAAATGTTCTAGAACATTCGATAGGATCGCTGGCCTTTACAAAGCCCACAATGAAACATTTCACACAATTTGGTGAAGATCCAGTGTTGTATGTAAAGAGATAGTTAAAGTTTATTTTATTGTTGAAGCATTCTGATTGCTGGCAATCCAGACAATGTTTTATATTTTTTTAATTTACCGTTGACAGGTAACAAGTATACTTCATTTATGTTGAAAGTTACAAATGTTAGTTTAAATGTGTACAGAGAACTACATCATTCTCTTAAAAAGGGGTAGGGGCGGATGGCGCCCAGCGCAATAGCCCAGCAGCTAAAACCCTTGCCTTGCACATGCTGGGATCCCATATGAGAGCCGATTCTAATCCTAGCGCCCTGCTTGTGGCCTGGGAAAGCAGTTGAAGACAATCCAAAGCCTTGGGATCCTGCACTTGTGTAGGAGACCTGGCAGAAGCTCCTGGCTCCTGGCTTTGGATCGGCTCTGCTCTGGCCGTTGTGGCCACTTGGGGAGTGAACCGGCAGATGGAAGCTCTTCCTCTCTGTCTCTCCTCCTCTCTGCATATCTGACTTTCCAATAAAAATAATATAAATAAAATCTATAATAATAAATAGAATAAATTTATAATAATAAATAAAATGTCCAAATAAAATTAAATCTTTTTTAAAAAATCATTTAAAAAATAGAAGCTTTGTGTCTGGAAATGAAATAGAAGGCAGTTGGCACTGTATGAAGGCGACTTGAAAAATGATTTAACCAGTGTCATTCTAATGTCATCTGAGCTTTATATTTTCTTTATTTGAGAGGCAGAGAAGAGCGACTCACGTCCATTGACTACCCCCCACTCCTGCCCAAAGGCTACAGTAGCTGAGGCTGGGCCGGGTCTACACCAAGAACTCAGTCTTGTGTCTCCCACTTGGAGACTTAAAGCCATAACCTGTTACCTCCCGAGGTAGACATTAATAGGAAGCTGGGACTGAGAGCAGGCCTGGGACATACCACAGGGACCCTGAGACAGGATGTGGGCTGTCCAGCCTCCATCCTAACCACTATGCCACAGGGACCCTGACACAGGATGCGGGCTGTCCAGCCTCCATCCTAACCCCTGATGTAGTCCTTGGGGTTATTAGTTTGCATTGCTGCAGGTAAGATCTAGAATCGTTTGTTCAGCTGATTCTAGCAAGGGAACAGTTGGTAAATTTCATCAACCTCAATTAGCCCTTACCTCTTGAAATTGTTTTGTTTTTATTCTATTATTTTGATAATCTTTCCATAGTTGATTAGGGCACAAAGGGTCAAGGGTTACAGGAAAGTGAGTAGACCATTGTTTCAGCATTTGTGTGTGTGTGTCTGTGGGGTAAGGAGGGAGACAAAGGGAGAAGCCCCACCCAGCCTCCCACCCCATCCCAGGGACCCCGACCTGGGCCATGCTCCGAGGGCAGTGCTCAAGTGGTCTTGCTAGTTCAACAGTTCTGAACTGCTGTCAATCTCACCATTCCAAGCACGATGAAATCTCTCCAGAAAAAAAAAAAACTACGTAGATATGAACCATTATAAGCATGTATTATTATTATATACATGCTAGTCAACACCTTCCTACACTTTCCTTTTAACTTTCAAATCCCAGTAAAGATGTCTCCACAACAGACCACTGCAAACTCACCGGCTGGCTACTTCCCCAAGCCCGGAAGGGACTTAGCTCAGATCCTCAGCCTCCTGTCTTCTACACCACAGGGTTTCATCAGCAGTAGGAATTCAGATGCTTGGGGAAGCACATGCTCCTTGTCATTCAGCAGCCAGGGCGGCCCCATCAAGAATACAAGAATACTGAAGTCCAAACCTTTTGCTGACTGGTTGCCTTTTTGTTTTAAATCACTAAAAGTAAGATATTCATAGTTGCCTTGCCTCTTAGGAGACATTCTAAATAGACAGTCGGGTGTTAAGCAAAGATCTGAATGTGGTATAGTCTGCTCTCACCCACGCTGGGAAAACTCAAAGAAAAGATAGTAGGACACTTGAAGGGCCCCTGGGGAAGGAACCGCAGGGAGCCCCAAGGGTCCCGCTTGGGGGTGGGCAGGGGAGGAGGGGAGAAGCCCTTCCGAATGGGGAGACTTCCCGTTAGAAATGGGGGTGAGCCCATGCACTGAGGAGAAGGACCAGGGAGCAGAGATGGCGGGCTGTGTCCAGCAAGCAGACCTGCATGGTCTGGGGCTGCCCCTTAGCGCTGGCCAGCAGCACAAAAGCCAACTGAGTGTCCACTTGCAGGGGCGTGGACTAGGTGGGTCAGATGAGGCGGCAGGGTGGTGACTGAGTGTTTGGAGGGAGGTGATAAGGGCTGGGCAGCATATTCAGATCCCAGTCAGAGGGTGTCAGAGAGGAATGTGGGGGCAAGGCGCTCATGGCAGCACATGGAGGGACACCCTAACAGGAGCAGCCCCCATCCTCTGCCACGGGGGCGCTTCCAAGTCCTCCAACCCTAAAGGGGACCCGGGGACAGAGAAGCAGCCTCGGCCACTATTGCACCACCCTCTCTGCCCGCTGGGGACCTGGCAGGCTCTACACACACTGGGCGACACAAGGGGGGCTTGGAGATTCTTTGGCACATCTTTGCCCACTTCTCTCAGGCCAGCCAAGCCGTGCCCAGACGACCCTGCTGGCTGCCCTTGACTCTGATGGGCACGGCTGTGACTGTCCTCTTTGGCAAAGCACACCGACACCCCACACTGTGAACCCCCCAGCTGCCGCAGGAAGAAATACAAAGGCATGCAAATTGCATCTTTGTATCATGGAGATTCGGAAGTCAGAGGCCATGCCATGTGTCTGCTCTCCTGGGGTGCCCAGGGCAAGGGGCTCTGAAGGGAACTGATTAAGTGACGTCACACTGCGTGCTGTGGAAAGCTGGACAGAGCGTGGGTGAGAACTCTCGTGTTTTTCCCCCCGTAACCCTTTTTGATGCTGTCCTTCCAGGCTCCTGGAGGCCTTGCCCTTGGGCCCCCACCACTCAGCACAGGAGAACAAGAGCTTGCCTGCCGCAGCGACCCTAAAATCGGATTCTGAGCTGTCCACTGCGTCCACAGCTAAACAGTACTATTTGAAACAGTCAAGATACCTGCCAGGTAAGCCGAGAAAAAGGACGTGTTTGCTGTTAACTAGACTGTGGGCTCAGCACTTGTGGGCCACTTGGAATCCCTCAGTTAAAATAAATAACCACAGAGCTCTCCACTGGCCCCGCCTCCTGCCAAGGGCTTTCCCGGACCCCCCCGCCCCGCCGTCCCCTGGCCCTGCTGCCAGCCGGAATCTGTTCCAGAAAGCAGAGCTATCAAAAGTCTAGATGAGATGGGGCTTCCCCAAGGTCAATCCTTTCCCACCACAGCTAGGCACTTAGGGAAAAAAAAAAAAAAAAAGACTGGATGTTATTAAAGAATTCTGGATCTTCCTTACAACCTGTTATCAAATGTAGCCTTTTTTCCTCTTGTTTCCAACATGATCTGATGTATGTTATTACAAGTCATGCTGTTCTCTGAGCAGAACATCCCAGGGCTCAGCCAGGGGACAGGGAGGCTGTCAGGAGGCCCCTGCACGTGTCAGGATGAGGGAGTTGATGCAAGCTGCAGAGACCAAGGCAGGTGCAGTGTGCAAGTGTGGGGGCAGTGGAGCAGGTGGGGGTTGCTGGCAGATCAGCCAGGGCCCCGGATGCAAAGCTGAAGGTCGTCTTTGGTCTTTGGGGCTTTATTTTTTCTCAGCTGCAAGGTGGACAGAAGTGATTTGAAGTGATAAAAGGGAGCGTGGACAGGAGGTAAGGGGCACAGGCAGGTGAGAAGATGGGAGTGATGGTTCTCAGGCTAGGGGCTCTAAGTGCCAGGAGGTTTGTCTGTTTCAGTGGAGACACGATGAAAGAGTTCTAGTCTGACGTTCAAAGGAAGGATGTCACAAAGTTTTCAAAACACAAATGTACCTATGGATACGTTTTCTCGGTTAGAAAAAATAAGTAAATAAAAATCACTGGCGTCCCACGAATCAGTACTCTGTGGAAGCGCGCCCCCTGGCGGTAGGAAGGTCTACCATAAATTTTTGGCGATCCCAAACATCGTAGTTCTGCCTAAAATGGTTCTCCAGAATCTTGACAAGGGTAACTGCAACCTGTATGGGCGTTTCCTTTTTAACTAGAATTTAACAGCTTCTTCCAGTTACTTGGGATGAGTAATATGGCCATAATGGCGACTTTTAAATCAAATGCAAAGCTGCAAGGAACTGTTGCATTCCTACACTTGCAGTTACCCTCCTGCTGTTGCCTTGAAAATGGCCTTGTGGAGCCTGAGGATGTTTGACACCAGTTACTTGGGCAAACATTTGTTGAGCATCTGTTGCGAACAAGCAACTTATGCAAAGGGTAGAAACCCAAGCAAGCAGCAAGCCTGAGGTCCGGCGCGGTAGTCTAGTTGCTAAAGTCCTCGCCTTGCATGCATTGGGATCCCATATGGGCGCTGGTTCATCTCCCGGCTGCTTCACTTCCCTTCCAGCTCCCTGCCTGTAGCCTGGGAAAGCAGTAGAAGATGGCCCAAAGCCCTGGAACCCTGCACCCACGTAGGAGACCCGGAAGAAGCTCCTGGCTTCAGATCAGCTCCATTGCGGCCACTTAGGGGGTGAACCAGCGAGTAGCAGATGTTTCTCTCTGTCCTCTCTGTAAATCTGATTTTCCAATAAAAGTAAATAAGTCTTAAAAACAACCCTGCCCGCTTAACATGTGCGCCACACTTACTTTTGTAACTAAATACATACAGCTATTTTTTTTTTTAAAAAAAGAAAACTTTTGGTGGCCACCTTTTGTTAAATCCTAGAGCCACATACAAAAGGTCTAATTAAGTGTGAAGCTTTAGAATGATGGGAGCTCCAGAGATGCACCACGTGATTGCAGGGCACCGTGACATTACACTCAAGGGGTGGCAGATGTGTGACACCGGCCTGCAGGGACAGAGACTCGAGCAGCAGAGTTTCGGAGCAAGACTTTGAGATTCTGTTTTCTGTTACTTACGATGGGACCCCCGCCATCCAGCAGCTCACCCTGTAAGCCTTAGATACTTCAGCAGTGCAAGGTGGTTGCCAGGAAGAGTCCACAGGCCTCAGCCCTGCCCGTTAGTCCCAGGATGAGGACTCTAAGCAGTGCCGGCTGAGCGGCAGCTCGGCTCCTACAGCGTCGGAGCCACGGAGCACGGTGGCTCCTCCTGTACCACTCACCACTCCTGCTTCTGCCCTGCGCACCCAGGGCACTGCGTCACATCCCTAGGAGCCTCTCCTAGTGCTTTGCAGTTCCCTCCCGTGACACACACTCCCACGGAGCTGGCCCTGTCCCCTCTGCAGCCTCTCTTCACACCCTTCCCTGCCTCGCCACACCTCCTGCCTCGCCACACCTCCTGCCTCGCCACACCGCCTGCCTCTGGACTGTTCCAGCACACCGCCCCCCGCGGCGGTCCCCATAGGACCCAAACATTGCCTTCCCCAATCGGCTGTCTTCCCACGAGGCTCTAAAGGGTCCAGAGGGAACAAATGGGTGTACCCAGCTCATCACTTCCCCCCAGTGCCACGCACACTGCCTGGCATACAGTAGGCGCTCAGTAAATACTTGTTAACTGACTCGTTACTCTCCATAGAGCAGAGGGGTTGTCCTCGCATGTTACAATATCAAGTGACAGCAGCCACTGCTTCTCTTAACAGTGTTTGTTGTAGAGAAGACGTATAAGAAAATGCTTGCAGCCCGAAACACGTTACATGATTCTAGAAACAATTCTAGAACATGGGTATTTCCAACAAAGCTGCAATCTGAATAGCTTAACTCTGTGAAGTCAACCAGTTCCCTCCAGTGGTACATGCCTACTTCACAAGCGTCAGTGCTCCGTAGGGATATTGCCAAGGCTAACTGGACTGAACGGAACATTTTAAATATGAAGGGTCCCGTATTTACAAAAGCCTGTTGGTGAGGTTTTTAAGTTGCTCCCTCTGCCTAGCAGCTTGTTTTAAGGGGGAAAAAAAACCTGTAGTTTGAGTGATTCCCACCCCCTGTTACGGCCTGCGCAGCAAGATTCGGGGGACACGAGGAAGGGGCCGAGGGATTGAGGCACCACCAGAGACAGGGATGGTGGAAGTCTCTCGAAGCCTCTGCGAGGCTTCCCTTTATTGCCTCTCTCTTGACCTTTCACCTACTTCTTGTTTAGGCTTTACCCCACACCCTCATTAGCGCAGATTGGCTAAGGCTGAGACCAGGTGCTGCTAGCCCAAAGCCCACCGCCTGTAGTGCTCGGCTTAAGGAGTGCTAGTCATCTCCTTAGCCCACGACAACCCCCCAGCCTCAGGTTGTATTTGTAGATGTTTTATTAGCAGCCCAACCCCATGAGGAGTAGTTTCTTACAAGCTTGAGCCTGTGAGTGGGTCGGTTTCAGGCTCGTTAGCCCTGTTTTCCACGGCAAGGAGGCCCTGCATCTCACTGGTGCGAGTCCTCAGGCTTGATTTCTCCAGCCGCTGCGCGCACAACCCAAAGCCCGAGACTTTGACGCTGCCTTTAGTGTCCCACTATTTCTCTTCTATTTATCAGTAGAAAGTCAGCTCAAGGAGTCTCTTACTTTATAACCCCATGACCAAAGCCCAGGGTGCTTCCCTACGTTTCACAGATTTCAGGAAATGATCAACCATTTGAACCATCCTCTTTTAAACCAAGTACATTCCAGCACCTTCTTTCTAGTTCACAGGTGAGAAGCTGTTTAGTTTTTACTTCTGACACACAGCTAAGCATGGCAGATGAGTCTTTAAACACCTGCTTTGGAACTTGGCAGGTTTCCCTGTGTTCTGGGTCATGTGTGTGGTTTTCCCTTCTTGCTCTAAGCAGTCACCAGGGTTCTGGCCTGAGGTGTGGGCTAAGTAGGGGACATCAGAATGGTTTTGTTTGTTTGTTTGTTGAAGAAAAATGTTAGTGCCGCGTCAATTTTTATAAGACATCTAGCAGAAGCGTCAAATGTGTATTATCGCTTGCATGACTGGAAGTATCTGCTGTTGACAAAGTGCTCGGTCAGCAGTGTTTGAGTTTGTTGTGTGGAGGGCTTGGACTCAGGTGTGTGTTCATCAAAAAGCAAGCGTTTACCGTGCTGTGAGCTGGATGGTTTCCATCCTCCTGCCCAACGTGTTTCTTGTCTCTGTGCTAAGGTATTGCGTATTCCTCCTCTCCCCCGAGTGTATGCACCTTTCTAACCTTTGGAATGCCCGCTGTGTTCTTCTGAGGTGTAAATCCCAAGAACGTGTCCTTCGTCGCCAACGGGAAGGATGTAAACTCGTACCCTTGGAGTCATCAGTTGTTTCCGAAGTCTTTGGGACCTGTTGGTGCAGAATTTGCTTTCAAAAGGAATAACGCAGGTAATGCAGAAATACAGTGAACACGAAAACACACGTTGTCTACAGATGTTTACTCTTAAGCAGCTGGCAGCCACTCCCTTCCAGCCAGGATGCGTGCGCCCCCACAAGACACACACAGATTTGCTAAGCACTGTTTGAGCACAGGGAGTTAAGGGGGAACCTTTGGCCGGATCCTCAGCCCGAGGTCTTCCCCCAAATGCATCTGCCTTAGCAAGAATGCTCTGTTTGTAAAAGAAAGAATCCTCATTGGTTCCCTGAGTGTGAAAAGGCCTGGGGTAAGTAATTCTGATGACTGAATCACAGGTTTATTTTTCAAGTTAGGTTGTTTTTCAATTGTTAGTCCCGTTTGCCATGAACTTTCTGGAGCACCCTTGTTAGATGCGAGGAGTGAGCACACAGGGTGACTGTGCTCTCCAACACAAGAACTGCCAAGACAAGAGTTTGAGGGCTCCCAGTGCAAAGCAGTGATGCGTTGAAGGCAATGGAAATGTGAATTTGATCACTATGCCTCATGAATTAGCACCCTGGGTCCCCCCCAAAAAACATATACAACTATCTGACAATTAAATTTTTACATGATAAAAATTTAAAATTAACAACATGTATGTGGGATTGGATCCTGCCGGGAGGAGTTCTGATAAGATATCAGGCAGCTGGAGTTCTGATCCATTTCGCAGGTTGCCCACAGGTTCAGGATACCCGTGGCCCGGTGCCCAGGTGCCCAGGTGCCCAGGTGCCGGTGCAGCTGCACCGTGGTCTACTTACTGTGTCTCGGTTATCTGAAAATGAACCAGATCCAGTTCACACAAGTCAGTTCAAATGACAGCATGCCAACTTGGAAACAGACACGTGGCACCAAATGAAAGCTGTCACAGCACGTGGGAAAATGGTTGCTCATTGGGGGATTTTTTTTTCCCTGTATCTTTCCATCAATCATCTAATCCATCTTCTTCCGCTTTTCCTTAAACATCCTCCTTACTATTTATTCTTTGTTCCCATCTGCCTCCTCTTTCTAGAAGAAAGCATAATTAAGCCAATTGAAAAACTCTCATGCAATGAAAGCTTACCTGAAAATGTAGAGGACCCACAAGGTAATTTCTGGGCATCGTAGATGAGTGCAAGCTGTGCTTCGAGATTTCTCAGCTAGTTTTCTTCCCAGCATTTGCTCTTGACTCTGTCCTAGAAGGCCCAGGTGACCTGCTTTTAGGGGTCGCCTCGCCAAGAACCTCTTCCTCCTGTGGCTGGGGTTCTCAGCCCACCGGGCTCATCTTAAATGAATCCTGGCAAGTTGAAGAAATCAAGTAAACGATTCTACTGAAAAGTAAAGGAGTATTTTCTAGTTTTGTGGTTAGTACTCCTAGAATATTTTTAAAGTCCTGAAGCCCATTCTCTAAGCAGCAGTAACAACAGTGCCTTTACAAAAAAGAAGTTGAGCGGGTCAGGATCGATGTTGGATCCCCTGAGGTTCAGTGATCCCTGATCTCAGCAGGGCCAGCCACTGGCTCCACCCTGCAGTCTTGTATTTCATAAGGTGACTTCAAAGCCAGGATCATTTAAGACTTCATTTCCATCCATTGCCTTTCTGAGCAATGTTCTCCCATGTGAAGTAGCATCCTATGACTGCTCGAAGTGTGGCTCTTAGAACCTGGCATGTCCCCATCCTGCCCCTCAGAGCCTTTGCGGTTGGGGATGGTACTTAACACTACAGAGAGACAGATCAGAGCTGCCTGCAGGGCGGTTCCAGGAAACCACCGCAGACTCCCTTCTGCTTCGGGGGGTCACTCAGCCTCTGCCGGCCTCAGGCCCCAGAAGCGGCCCCGCCGTGTCCTCCCACGCAGGGGCCTGATCCCGCCTCACTGACCTCCTCCATCCGTAGTCTGTGTGCTCTTAGATCTTCCTGCAGCCACCTTTCCGGCCCTTCTGTCTTCTCCGCAGTCCTTTTGGCCACTTTCTCCTTGACACAGGTGTGCCTTGGGAGTCCCGCAGGGCTCTGTGCATCCCGCCAGCCCTGGGAGCTGGCTCCTGCAAGCCCACGGCTCCCAGTGGGTCCTGATCTCCAAGCCTTGCTGGCCACCCTGTGCTCACTTCTCCAGATGATGGGTCTGCTCCTCTGCGGTTCTTAGAGACCTGCATGGCCGACCAAGCGGCCAAGTCACCTAAGAGGGGGTTCCCCTCTGACCCTCCTGGCTCTGCTCTCCTCTCCACAGCTGCCTCAGTTTACCTCCTCTGCTGCTGTTATTTCTACTCTAATAGTGACCTCCCAACTGGTGTCCTACTTTTAAATTCTCTCTCTTCAAGTTTGTCCTTCTGCTGCCCATGATGATGATGATGATGGTGGTGATGATGATGATGGTGGTGGTGATGATGATGGTGGTGATGATGATAATGGTGGTGATGGTGATGATGATAATGGTGATGGTGGTGATGATGATGATGGTGGTGATGATGATAATGGTGGTGATGGTGATGATGATAATGGTGATGGTGGTGATGATGATGATGGTGGTGGTGATGGTGGTGATGATGATGGTGATAATGGTGATGGTGGTGGTGATAATAATGGTGATGATGATAATGATGATGGTGGTGGTGATGATGGTGATGATGATGGTGGTGATGATGATGATGGTGATAATGATGATGGTGATGATGATGATAATGGTGATGATAATGATGATGGTGGTGGTGGTGATGATGATGGTGATGATGATGATGGTGGTGATGATGATGATGATGGTGGTGATGGTGATGATGGTGATAATGATGATGGTGATGATGATGATAATGGTGATGATAATGATGATGGTGGTGGTGGTGATGATAATGGTGATGGTGGTGATGGCGATGATGATGGTGGTGGTGATGATGGTGGTGAAGATGATGCTGATGGTGGTGATGATGATGATAATAGTGATGATGATGGTGGTGGTGGTGGTGGTGATGATGGTGGTGATGATGATGATGATGGTGATAATGATGATGATGATGGTGGTGATGGTGATGATGGTGGTGATGATGATGATAATAGTGATGATGATGGTGGTGGTGGTGGTGATGATGGTGGTGATGGTGGTGATAATGGTGATGGTGGTGATGATGATGATGGTGGTGGTGGTGATGATAATGGTGATGGTGGTGATAACGATGATGATGGTGGTGATGATGATGATGATGGTGATAATGATGATGATGGTGGTGATGGTGGTGATGATGATGATAATGGTGATGGTGGTGATATGATGATGATGGTGGTGGTGGTGATGATGATGGTGATGATGATAATGATGATGATAGGGGCGACAGCACCAAGGATGATGACACTGATGATAACTGACATTCAGTAAATGCAAAATTCTAGGTCAAGTGCCGTGCATACAGCTTATTCACTCCCTACAACAACCCTTTAGGAACAGATGAACTAATTCAGGGCCTGGGATTCAGGTGCTAGCCCAGTAGTCTACTGAGTCTGTGGAACTCAGGCAATCACTTTCCGGCAAGAAGCCACACGACGTGGGTGATACGTGCCTGGGAGGGTTGTTCTGTGGACTGAACCCGGGCTGTTGGGAAGAAGCACAGTGGAATGCCTTAGAGCACAGTAGATACTCCAGGTGGCCTTTAGAAGTATTAGGGGTAGTATTCAAAGTTATTCAATGGCACTATACCATAGTCGCCTTCTGACTGTGAAACTTTTTGCTGCATCACTAGGAAACCTCGGAAATTATGCTACTTACAACCAGTCAGGATATATTTCTTCGTTTCTCAAAAAAGAAGTGGGGTCAGCTGGCCAGAGGATCCACCTAGCGCCTCTCGGGGGGACGACCGCAGGTAAGGACAGCCTCAGCGTGCTCAGGGTCGGCAAGCAGAGAGAGGAGCTTCTCCCCTTGCTGTTTATTGCAGTCACTTTTCCCCCACTTGCAGTCTTTGTGTCTCATTAATGTAACTGATTTTGGAAAAGTGTCCTATTGTTCTTCCCCTTCTACAGTCTAAAATAATGACCAGAGCCTTCTGAAGCGGTCTCTGTCTGCCAGGCAGATGGGGAGGGCCTGATGGGGTGCTGTCACTTGGTCCTCACGCCCTCTCCTTTAAGAAAGAGGACTCACAAGTGACTTCCCCAAGGTCACACGACTAGGGAAGCCTAGTCTGTCTTTTCTTGTCTAAGAAGCGTGCAGTGCCACAGAAGGTGGCCCCAGCCCCCGGCACGTAGTGATGCTCCAGGGTAAGCTAGCACCTTCCTTGCTCTAAATGCCCTCTTGGCTTGTCCACATTGCCTTTCATTCCGCAGTAACATCCGGACATGGAAGGGTCCATCCCACTACGCTCCCATGCGATGGTTAACCAAGGTGGGCTTGCTCTCCCGTGGCGTTGCATAGAATCGGACCTGCAAACGTGCAGCAGTTTGCCCTTGAAATTGAGGAAGGTAGACCTGTCCTTGAGCCCACCAGACCTGCCCGTGACTCTCCTCTCAGTTATGTCCGTCTGAAATTGAAGCACCTAAAACTCAACATCCAGGCAGCTGATTGGAAGTTTGGTCGGAGACCCACCTGCAGGTTGAACAGGTGGCTGTGAAAGAATCCTCGCTGCCTAATTCGAATCTGGTATTAAAACCAGTGGGAATTGCCCGATTTTGCCATTCACACAAGCACATCTAAAAATGTTAAAACACTGGGTGGCTTTAGGTTTGTTTGTTTTTAATTTCTTAGCACAGAGCTGCTTAAAGGAAACAGTACTTAGCCACCCAACCCATGCAAAGGAGTACTTGCTGAGCTCCCTGCTGCAACTAAAACAAGGAAATGTGTTTGGAAAGCTTCTAGTGTTTTGAACTAGCCTTACCATGAGTCATTCACTGTGACTGACCAGCAGTTTTAAATATAAATGCAGCAAATCTTAACCGTTCGCAGTGCTTTTGTTACCTGCCGGATATGGTAGGCCTTTGTATTTTAATAATTTTGTCAAATTACCATTATATTCCTGCTTCCATTTTTTTAAAGACTTATTTATTTATTTATTGGAAAGTCAGATATGCAGAGAGGAGGAGAGACAGAGAGGAAGATCTTCTGTCCATTGATTCACTCCCCAAGTGAGCGCAATGGCTCGTACTTCGCCGATCCAAAGCCAGGAGCCAGGAACTTCTTCTGGGTCTCCCACACACGGGTGCAGGGTCCCAAGGCTTTGGGCCGTCCTCCACTGCTTTCCCAGGCCACAAGCAGGGAGCTGGATGGGAAGTGGAGCTGCAGGGATTAGAACCGGCACCCATATGGGATCCCGGTGTGTTCAAGGCGAGGACTTTAGCCACTAGGCCACAGCGCCAGGCCCCCATTTTTTTTAAGGAAACGCATTCTTGTAACTTTGCATCTCTTTACTCTGCTCAGCAAATCCCCCTGCAGATGGTGCTAGGAGGAAAGGCAAAAGAAGTGAATGCTGAGCCCTCTCGGGGGGTCCGTGCAAGCCCTTAAAAGAACACTGTTGTGTGGAAGATGTGTCTTCCAGTCCTCCCACTGGGGTGACCTTTGCCCACCAGAAAATAACACCAGGTCGTTCCCAGAGTCACTCACTCGTCCCCGCTCCCCTCCCCGCTCCTTCCTCACCCCCAGGTAGAGGAAAAAGTCAGTATCTTCTTCCTCACGTAATGTGTCCTTCCAAACTTCCTGCCGTCTTCCCATCCCCTATTTTTTAAGTAACCGGAAGGATTTCAAAGAGGGACTGCTTCCAAAACACAGCCACCCTGTGCGGGTGCCCGGCCATGTGCTCCTCCCAGCTCCTTACGGCAGGTGCTTCAGGATCTTCAGCCTGCAGACTCGATGCATTACCAAAGCTGGCATCATAAACATGACACTGTTAAACCCACAGCAGGAACCAAACGCCTTTTCTACTCCCCTTCCATCCGGAATTAAATGCCTTCAAGAGACAAACGCCGTTTTTAAAATAAGCAGCCAGCAAACATCTCAGGGATGGTAAGGTGAAGGGTGTGGCCCAGCCAGGGCAGAGGTGTCTCCAGCCTTGCCAGGAGATCCGGGCTCACTGGCCAGTCACTAGATTCTCCAACAAAGCCTATTGTTTCAAAAAAGAACTGCCAAGCCTCAACATTTACCACCTCCTTCATGTCAAAATGACTCCCTCTGCAAAGCTTGACAAAAGTATAGAGGGCGTGGTTCCACTCAAACGCATTAGGCTATATGTCATGACTCGGGAGGAAGAAACTTTTTTTTTTCCCTTCCTCTCCAAACCTCTCATTTCGAATTCAGAAGCCTCACGCGTTAGCTTAAGAGCGTGTTGTAGTTTGGCAGCTGGGAACAGCCCCGTCCCTCCTCTTTCCCCCCTCCGCCCCATAAGGGAGAAAAGGGAAAAAAGGAAACTTGGAAGCATTTGCCCCACCCACCTTCCCCCACTGTGACTCTCCCACCCTAACCAGTGGTCCTCACGGGCCTGCGTTCTTGTCAACTATGTGAACAACATCAGAAATAAAACGAAAAATGAAATGTGTTGTGGCACAATGACACGGTGTGTTAAGCTGCCACCTGCTTGGCATCTCACGTTGAACACCTGTTTGAATCCAGCTGTGCTGCTTCCAGCGCAGCTCCCTGCTAATGCGCCTGGAGAGGCAGCAGGTGGCTCAGCCGCTCGGGAGATTGATTTCCGTTCTGGTCCCGCTCCTGCTGTGTGGGCAGTGAACCCATGGATGGAAGATCTCATACTCTGTATCTTCCTTTCTCTTCACTTCTGCCTTTCAAATAAAATAAAAATAAATATACAAAGTCGGATATACAGAGGAAAGACAGAGAGGAAGATCTTCCATCCAATGATTCACTCCCCAAGTGACCGCAACGGCCGGTGCTGCGCCAATCCGAAGCCAAGTACCAGGAACCTCTTCCTGGTCTCCCACGCGGGTGCAGGTCCCACAAAGCTTTGGGCCGTCCTCCACTGCTTTCCCAGGCCACAAGCAGGGAGTTGGATGGGAAGCAGAACAGGTGCTGGGATTAGAACCGGCGCCTATATGGGATCCCGGTGCGTTCAAGGCGAGGACTTTAGCTGCTAAGCTACGCCGCCGGGCCCTTAAACCTTTAAAAAAAAAAAAAAAGTCCTCCTGACCTCCCTCGGTTCCCAGCCCCTAGCAGGGTCTCGCTTCGGTCCGTGGTGCTGTTTTGACCTGTGGCGCTCCAGGGTGTGCTGAGTTAACAGACTGAAGCCTGCTACAACTGAGATGTTGCTGGAAAGCATGGTGCTTCATGGCCCTTCCACACCCACTGTCCCATGTTGTTTTTTTTTTTTTTTAAAGATTTATTTTTATTATTTTTTCATTGGAAAGGCAGATATACAGAGAGGAGAGACAGAGAGGAAGATCTTCCGTCCAATGATTCACTCCCCAAGTGAGCCGCAACGGCCGATACTATGCCGATCCAAAGCCAGGAGCCTCTTGCGGGTCTCCCACGCGGGTGCAGGGTCCCAAAGCTTTGGGCCGACCTCAACTGCCTTCCTGGGCCACAGGCAGGGAGCTGGAAGGGAAGCAGGGCTGCCGGGATTAGAACCGGAGCCCATATGGGATCCCGGGCGTGCTAGGTGAGGACCTTAACCACTTGCGCCACCGCGCCGGGCCCTGTCCCATGTTTTTGAGCCCAGGAAGAGTGGGATGAGAGGGCCCGTCCCATCACTGCAGGGAGAGAACTCTTGGCCTCCTGTCCCAGCCAAACCACGCAGGAGTGGGGCTGACCGGCTGGCCCGGGCCACTTCACACTCCACGCTTTGTTCACTTTCAGCCGAGGTTAGCACAGCAGGACCACGTGCCCGCATAGTTTGCGCCCACGCCGCCACTTCTATAGCCAAAGTTTAAGAAAACAACCCATGCCTGGCAGAGCGTGTAAGCTCAGTGTTAACAGCCCAGCACAGTTAGACTCATTTCAGTGGTGACATCTAGAGTTTAATCCAAGAATGTCAGCTACCACACAGTGGGAAAAGATGCCCAGCCCCAGATGTATGAAAAAAGCAAACCTCGTTATTAAAGTTTGGGGACCGTAGCAAGGGGTGTCCACTTCATGGTTATCCTTCATGATTTCTCCAATTTAAAAAAAAAATGAAAAAAAAATATTTTTTGATTCTAAAAACATTTTTACTTTTGAAAAAAAAAAAAGGGATCTGTTATAGGATTTCATTATTGCAGCTCCAGGAAGCTGAAGTTTTGCTAAGATACAACTGGCCACAACACATGCTCTGTGGTGATGGGTGTGCTGGAATGTTACAAATATACATAGCTACTAACCCCAGTGAGATGTCGCTGAGTCAGCAGCACCGTGGGCATTGTCTGACCAAGACTCTCCCTGGGTCTTCTAACTCGCTATTGCTTCTATAATTATGAAATACGGGAACTGTCAGCAGTGTCCGAACTATAAATCTGAAATTGGGGCTTTTCAGTTCCCGAAACTTCAATTGCTGCTAACATAATCCGCACTAGAAGTTTTTGTCTTAAAATTAGAAAAAAAGAATCACTTCGGAAACCAGCACATTAATACTTTGAGAGAAATTAAAAAATTTTCCCATAAAACGAAAGGATGAATTCTTTTATTTTGGATTTTATCCTCAAATGAGTAAAATTCTAATTCCGTTGTCTTTCAGAATACGCCTGGAACACAAAAGCTGGTCGGGGGCAATTTTCAGGAACTACTTACAAACCTACAGCAAAAAATTTAAATATTGTGAACCGCGTGCAGCCAGTCTCCTCGGTGCACGGGAGGACAGACTGGGTGGCCAAGTACGGGGGCCATCGGTAGGAAGGCTGGCGTGACGCCCCCCCCCCCCGCATGGCTCCATCAAATGGACAGGAGTCCCCACCCCCCGGAAATGTCCACAGATGTCTGTTTCTACTGAGTTCTGGAAGAAACTCGCCGTAGTGGCTACTTCAGAGAGCAAAAATCATCTCCTATTTTCTTTCTTTCCGCTAGAAGAAATGCATTTTCTCAGCATCATTGCCCTCCCTGCTGAAATGGGTAGGGCTTTACAAAGTATTGAATAAACTATTTGCCAAAGTATCAAGTATTTGATCTGCCACTTACTAGAACACAGTAAGAAGCTCGGAAACAAAAGGCCTCCGGAGAGTGGGGGAGTGGGTTAGGATGTGGTAGGTGCACCTGCCATCCTAACCTGCTGAACATTTCGCCGAGAGGTTGTGCGACTTTGTTTTTTCCATCGCAGCGAGGCGCTGAGCCTTCACTTGTTTAGATGAGGCTGTGCTCTCCCACGTGGAGAACTGCCGCAATTATCATTTGTTTTTCTACTTTGAAACAATGGGAGCGACGCCAACTCCGGTTCTGAGCAGGACGCGTGTCTTAGCAATAAATTGATCTTTAACAGAGAGTATCAACATCATCCTCCTCCTTGATTTTAGCGGACTTGGAGCAAGGCAATAGCGATGAGTTGATGGTAGCTCTCCAGCCCAGCAGTCGGGTGGCTTCTGTATTAACCAAGTCATGACTCTCTTGTCTGTTGTTAAGAAGGTTCTTGAAAGCACGCTGTTTTTGTTCATTGGACCTTCAGAAGCTTGCTTTCTGCGTTCCTCCTAAACAGAGTGACCTGTGCCAGCGGGGTCGCAGAGCAGACGCTGGGCTGCTGTGTGTCGCTCACTCAGCCAGGCACATAAACTCAGTTGCCATAGCGGTGGCCTCTCTTAGTACATTATTTTTTTTCCCTTAGTTTCATTTCTTAGTATTTAAAACAGACATTCTGAGCTACTGTATTTAAACCTGCCACTTGAAAGGCTGAGCATTAGTACTAGCTACTCTTTGTAAGGAATGATAAAGTTAGCAACTTGTTGGCATTGTTCTCCGTTACGACTTTGTAACAATGCTGATGTAATGGGCTTCATCTTTTAGGCATTAGCAAAAGGCACACTATAATATAAAGGTAATAATAGGATATTTTTGTATCGAACATTCAGCTGTTCAGATTTCAGATATCAAAAAAATGTGAAAATGTAGTTTATCACAGTGGTAATAGTTGTATTTGTGCAGTGTTAATGTCTCTGAGCTCAAATTCTTTTGTATGGAAACTTTTAAACCATGCATAGATGTTTAAAATAAATATGATTAACTGCTGTTTTCATCAAAAGACTTTTATTTTAAGCAGGTTTGGGTTACAGAATTATTAACCGGAAAGTACAATTGCTGTATGAACCCCTCCTTAATTTTCTCCATTTCTCATGTCTTCTGTTAGTATAGCATGTTTCTTACAACTGACGAGTCAATATGGATACTCTGTTACTGACTGAAGTCCGTTTGGACAGGAGGAGTCAGCTCTTCATGCTGTACGTCTGTGGCTTTGGAGAAAATGTATAATGCCAGGCACCTGCCGCTGAGTAGTTTCAGTGGCCCTAAAAATCCCATTCTACTCACGTGCTCACGCCACCTCCCTCTGAACCTCTGGCAGCCAGTGGCTTTTCCAAACTGTCCCCGCAGCCATTCTTCCCCCAGGATATCAACTCAGAGTGGCTTCTTCCAGCTAGTCATATGCCTTTAAGCTTCCTCTGCATCTATTCTTGACACAGCTCATTTGTTTATTGCAAAATAATATTTACTGTTTGGATGGACAAGTTTGTTTTTCCATCTAGCTACCAAAGGTCACCTTGGCTGCTTCCAAGTCTGGGCAATTTGGAGTAAAGCTGCCAGAAACATTGGTACAGTAACGTGTTTTCAGCTCGTCTGAGGGGACGTCAAGGAGGCTGACGGCTGGAATATATGGTAAGAGGATGTTGGGTTTCGTAGGAAACTGCCAAACTGAACTCCAGACTGGCCAACATTTTGCATCCCCACATCCTGCCCAGCACTGCGCCTCCTGAGTGGCCTGGAGCCACTGCAGGTAGAGCAGCGTCTTACTGCTGCCTTAATGTGTGATTCCGTAACAGCTGTCGACCTCTTCATGTTCATCTGCCATCCTCCCTGGGGGGCAACATCTGTTCTCATCCTTTGTCCATTTTATTATTTGAGTGTTTTGTTTCCTGATGGTTACTTGGAACTGTTACTGTGTATTTTGGCCAACAGTTCGGGTTTTCTTTTGGAAACATTTTCTCCAAGTCTGTGGTCCATTTTTGTCATTCCCTTGGGAATGTCTCACAGAACAATTTTCATTCTAGTGAATTCCAACTCAGTTTCATAGACGGCAGTTCTGGCACTGTATCTCAACAGTCATCACTACGCCTAAGGTCGGCTATGATACTCTCTTACCTTCTGGGATTTTTACAGTTTTGTATTTAACATTAGAGTCACGATTCATTTTAGAGGATGTTTGTGAAAGGTATGAATTCTGTGTCTTTAAAAAAAGATTATTTATATTGGAAAGGCAAATATGCAGAGAGAGGGAAGGACAGACAGAAAGACCTTCCACTTTCTGATTCGCTCTCCAAGTGGCCACAGCAGTCAGCTAAGCTGATTCAGGAGTCAGGAGCTAGGAGCTTCCTCTGCATTTCCCATGAGGTTGCAGGGTCCCAAGGCTTTGGACCATCTTCTGCTGCATCCCCAGGCCACAGAGCAGGTTGCTGAATGGGAAATGGAGCAGCTGGGACACTGAATAGGAAGAGCAGCTGCGCCCATATGGGATCCTTGCGCATGAAGGGGGAGGATCAGGCAGTGGAGCCATCGCACTGGGCTTCGTCTTCATGTTTTAAGTGAATTTGAAGAGCAGATAATGCGAGTCATCTGTGGGTTCACTCACAGGGTCTTCAGTGTGGTTAGCGAAGACCCCCAAGCCCTTGTGCTGCCTCCAGTGCACACTTGTAAGAAGCTGGAATCTGAGACAGGGCTGGAACTTGAACTCAGCAGGTATCCCGAGTAGGCACATTAAACGCTGCACCAAAACTCGATTCTTCGTTTTTCATTTTGTTTGGACATTGATAACCTGGTTGTTCCAGCCCCAGCTGCTTAAGACTATCATTTCTCCATTGTCCTTGCTTGGTACTTAACATTCAGCTTAACTATTATGTATACGACTGTCTTCCAGGTCTTCAACTCTGTTCCTCTGATCTACAAGAATACTTCAAAGGGTTTGTGGAAAAAATTTAAGTTCATTTTGTTATAAAAAAATTGATATTCATGCATAGTTTTTAATAACATGTACTTTCCACGCACTTTTAGAAAACCCCTCATTGTTGTCTGTGCTTTGAACACCATACTTGCTCTTTTTAAGACAAAATTTTGATTTCTATTTGAAAGGCAGTTAGAAAGAGAGTAAAAGAGAGATCTTCCATTTGCTAGTTCCCTTCACAAATGGGGTAACAACAGCTGGAGCTCAACCAGGAGCCCAGAATCCCATCTGGGTCTCCAACGTGGGTGGCAGGAGCCCAGGCACTTGGGCCATCTCCCACTCCTTTTCCAAATACATTACCAAGGACAAGGAACTGGATGTGAAGTGGAAGATCAGATTCCAGTCCCAGATCCATCATTCATGGGATACCTGCATCACAAAGGGTGGTTTAAGCCACTGCCCCCCAGTGCTGGCTCCCAGTGCTACCTTGGTGACTGAAGCCTTCAACTTGAGTATTCTCAGTCCTCCAACTTGTTTCTTCCCTTGAATTTTGTTAACATGGGTCTTCTTTTCCACGTAAGCCCTAGAACCTGTTTGTAGGTTCCAGGTAATTCACTATATCTTCCTATCCATGAACATGGGATTTCTGCCCATTATTTTTTCAAGGTCTTCTTTGATTTCTTACATCAATTTTGTAGTTTTCCTCAAAAATATCTTGTATTTCCTAAGATTTAAATATGTGTGAGATTTGGGTTTGAACGTGGAGTTCTTTTGGTGCTAAACTGTATTTTTAATCTCAAAAAATTATTCATTATTGGCATATAGGAAAGCAAGTGATTTCTGCATATTAGCCTTATATCCTAATGCCTACTAAAATGATTTATTGGTTCCAGAGATTTCTTTGCAGAGTGTTTGGGACTTTCTACAACCTTTCTCATGTGCAACCAAAAGCAATTTTCCTTTCTTCTTACAATCTTTTATTTCTTCTCCATGCTTATTGCATGAGTAGAATTCCCAAGACGGTGTTGAATAGGAGTAATGGGAGTGCACCTTCTTGCCTCGTTTCTGACTTGAGCAGGAAAACATCTGATTTCTGTGCATTAAATGTGACTTCACTGTAGGTCTCTTGTAGACATGCTTCATCACCATGAAAAGGTTCCCTGCATCCCTAGCGTGCTGGTGAGTCCTCCCTTCCCTGCCTCTTCTGATGTGATCCAGTTAAGGTGCCATCCTCACCTCATGGGGTTGAGAACTGGACAGAGATCTCTGCGTCAAGGACACACTTAGAGATGCTTCTCTTTGTCTCTCTTCAATGGGCAACCCTCTGGCTCACCCACGATGGATATTTCGCCATGTGGGTTGTTACACACCGGTTCATGAATATATGCTTATTTCCTCATTACTAAACAAATCTTGTCCCTAGCTGTGCCTGTCTCTGCTTAGATTTCTTACCTGCGTGAGGCAAGAACCTGGAATAGATATTAATATGCTCAGGCCCACGCCACTAAGTAGTATGTTGATGTATGTTGCCCTGACACAGTGAAAAAAAAAAAAACCACTGCAGTGTATCTCTGGAATCTTCCTCCAGAAACCTGCAAGCTGCAGTCTAACCCTGAGAAATTCAAGTGCATTCTGTGAAATGCCCGGTCAATATGCCTCCAGTCCTGTCCAGGCTACTCTGCTTCCAAGCCAGCTTCCGCTGGCATGCGCCCTGTGACGATCGAGGCTGGCTCAGGCTCTGCAGTTCCTGCCGCACAAGGAGAGCTGGATGGAGTTCTGGCTTCCCAGCTCGGCTCGTGAGCAGTTAGGAAATGAGCCAGCAGATGCACAAGATCTCTTTCTCCCATCCAGATCCTTGTGGAAGCCTGAGAAAGCACAGGTTAAGACAACATCTTGGTTCCTTGCACCCCCGTGGCAGGCTCCTGGCCCCTAGGTTCAAAGCAGCTCAGTTCCAGCTGCTGTAACCTAGCAGCTAAAATCCTCACCTTGAACGCACCGGGATGCCATATGGGCGCTGGTTCTAATCCTGGTGGCTCCATTTCCCATTCAGCTCCCTGCTTGTGGCCTGGGAAAGCAGTCAAGGACAGCCCAAAGCTTTGGGACCCTGCACTCGCGTGGGAGACCCAGAAGAGGTTCCTGGTTCCCAGCTCCAGATTGGCATAGCATCGGTCGTTACGCTCACTTGGGGAGTGAATGATCGGACGAAGATCTTCTTCTCTGTCTCTCCTTCTCTCTGTATATCTGACTTTGTAATAAAAATAAATAAATCTTTTAAAAAAAGAGAGAAAGCCTCAGTCATTTAAAAAGCAATTGTTGGGCCCGGCACAGTAGCCTAGCAGCTAAAGTCCTCACCTTGCACACACCAGGATCCCAGGATCCCATATGGGTGCCAGTTCGTATCCCGACAGGGACAGTCCAAAGCCTTGGGACCCTGCACCTTCATGGGAGACCAGGAAGAGGCTCCTGGCTTCAAATCAGCTCAGCTCCAGCTATTACGCTCACTTGGGGAGTGAACCATCGGACGGAAGATCTTCCTGTCTCTCCTCCTCTCTGTATATCCTCCTTTCCAATAAAAATAAATAAATCTCAAAAAAAAAAACCAGTAAATGCCCATCCCATGCAATATATCATCGGTCAACAACTTTCCTTTGTCCTGAAGTCATTCACAGTAGACCATTCCAGAACATAATTTTAGCAAATGACATTCACTTTTCTCTGTTGTCTTCCCTGCTATGCAGTTTATTCCATGTTCTAGACAGCTGCGGTAATGAAGACACTACAGAAAATATTATTTATAATTTTATTTTCAGTGATATTTCATTTCACATAATTTCCAAGTGGGTCTGAGCTCAAGCTGAGACAAAGAGCGTTTGTTCCCGTCGCTCTGAGCGGGGGGCCAGCGCTCCCCAGTGTTGACACCTAGCATCTCACACTGAGATGAGACGGAGGCACGGGGCCACGCGGAGGCTATCACTGAGTCCTTCCAAATAGTTGTGACGGTAACGACTAGTTCTTCCTGTCAGGTTCAGTGTCTTTTAAAGGTAAAACATCATACTATGAAAAAATGCCACATTTTATTTCCGGAATACACTGGAAACACTGGAGTCTGGAGATGTTGGATTCTCCCCGAGCCCAGGGACAGGACGCTTACTGATGGGGTCTGTCCAACATACTAATTCCAACTTTGGCGAACATCAGCAAGCTGTTCAAAAAAAAAAAAAAAACACACACAAACAAAGCATGTCAGGGGAAGGACAGATCAGCTGCTGCTTTGAAAGGGACCAGAACTCGGCAGGCCCCTCCCTACTGCACAGGGTGGGAGACCCCACGGGGGAACCATCAGGGAAAGAAATGTCCACTGCTGCAAGAATGGAACAAAAGATATGTCAAACGCCACTCTAAGGACCCAAGGCTCCTGGCTACACAAGGGGCTCCCGCCATGACTGAGAAAAGATGCAGCAGAGACCAACTGTGAGGACAAAACCATTCCTACAGTGAATGATGTGGCCATTCTGATACTAAGCCATCGGTTTTTATGCCTCTCCTACTTGTGTGCAAATTACTTCAGCTGATGTCTAGACTTGGGTACAGTGAAACACATTTCTGAATGCAGGAAGTATCTCTATAGTTATTCTCTCTATGTTGTTAAAGAAGAAAAACAGAATGGCAAGTACCTGGCACCTGCAATTAAACCCGCAGGCATGAATTTTCCCGAGTGGTAGAATCTCATTCCCATGATGCCAGCCAAGGTCCCGGACGTAGCTGCAGAGAAGAGGCAGAAACGCGTCAACATCTGCACGCTCAGGGCGACGAGCAGCGGGACAAGCCCACCCTGGCCTCCAGGGCGAGACCCCCGCCTGGCCTCGGACCAGGATGCCTGACGCTGCAGCCACAGCCCGCGGGGCTAAGCACCAACACGGATTGCATGGAGCATTTCACAGCCCGCGCCTGAGCCTCCATTCAGCCCTTATATCTTAACGCTTTTCAAAAGCCACACTTCAACCATAAATGCCCCCGTTTCCTCCAAGACGATGGGACATTTCTCATGCCTCACATATACTATTTCCTTTTCCCCCGGTACACTGTTCACGCTGAGCAGCTACCAAGCCCCAAGGACCACCGCGCTGCTGGAGGGCCGTCTGCCCTCTCGCGGTGTTTCAAGTGTGATGGGGGGAACAGTTTCACGAATCACACCAATACACACTGGGAAATGGTGCCCCAAGACTAATGCCACACGAAACGACAGGGGTGCAGAGTCAGGGAGCTCGCCCGAGGACTAGCCCGGGAAGGTAAGACGGAACAGAGACTGAAATCAGAACAAGCAGCTAACAGGCCAGGTGAAAGATGACAGCAGGGTAAAGACGCAGGGCAAAGGCAGCCGGGCCAGCCTAGGAGAGACACCTGCCAAGCAGAGCCACCAGAAGCAGGGTCAGTCAACACTGAGACAGACACAACTGGGGACCAGACTGTTATGACCCTAGGACAAGTCCCTTAAGGCGGGGGGCGGGGAGGACTGCAGCTGAAGAGGGAAGAAGTTTCGAGAATGCTCTTTGTTTTTTCATAAACGGGTAAGAGCAGCAAACAGGATCATCAAAGGAAGAAATATAATGAATTAAATATCAGCATCTCTGACAGCACAAAACTTCCAAGGGGAGAGAGATCTACAGCGAGGAGGAGCGGCCCCGGACATGGACGCGGGCCAAGGAAGGCTGGGAAGCTGACGGCTGGAAGGGCGTCCCAAAACCGAGCGTGCAACAGGGGGCTCGGCAATGAGCAACTCGCAGTCACCAATCCGTTCTGCAGCACGAGAAAGGAAGCTCGGACAGACCCATCTTCCTTCCTGGACCCGGGGGGCCGTCACGGCTCCCCCCGACCCCTGCCGAGGCTGCTCAGGGCACACACTTGTTCTCCCACACTTCCGGGGGCCTCAGCTGCGTCTGTCCTCACCCTGAGAGGTACCCACACTGCTGGCACTGCATCACACGCAGGTGGCACCTGACCAACACGTGCTGGATGCCACCCCGAGTAAGACAGGATCTTCCCTTCCCACACTTCTCACTGTGCACACAGGGTGCCTCCCAGACCCACAAAAGCCCCTTTCTTGGCCATGTGTTGCTTCTCCAGTCAACCCGAGGGTACCCCAAAGGCCAGGCCCCTGCCTTTCAGGGCGAGCTGACTGCTGAGGAGGTGAAGGGATTTTCAAAGGAAAAACGCAATCCCCAGCCCGGTGCTGCTGCTGCTGTAACACTCACGCTGACCACCTCAGCCATGGACCACCCCAGCAGCTAGCACACGCATTCCGGCATGCCACAACCTTAGCAGCAACCTCTCCAGGGAACCCTGAATTCATAAGGCATGAAAATGTTCCACGGCCTAACATGCCCCTGGAGACGGCTCAATCTTTAGCCTAGCTTAAAGACTGTCCCCCCAAAGACAACGGTCTCTTCATCACCCTGGTCCCATCCACTTCAGGCGCTGCTGGGCTCTGCTAGGCTGCTTCTTCCCCAGAAGATGGGAATAAAACTTCCCTTACTGCAAAAAGTAAATAAATAAATAAAAGAGATGCCAGCACAATTCCACCTGCTTTAAAACTTCCCTTGGCAGCAGCAGTGAGCCTGAAGTGTCAAAACTCTGCCCTCTCCCACCGAAGCCGGGTTTACTGTAGTTCTCCGTTTGCTTTCCCTTTTGGCGCAGAGTACTGTGGCCACACCACTACCCTAAGGAGACACGAGCGAGGCACCTACCCAGGAAAACCCACACGTTCCTCGGGTCCTGAGAGAGCTGGTAGGCCCCCAGGCCTGCCAAGCTCCCAAAGAGGAGGCCTGCAGCCAGGGACGGCACGCTACCTAGAAGGAGGACAATACAGTGAGGCCGACACTGGTGTTACCCACAGCATCCACCCGTCCACAACCAAGCAGTGACGTGTTCCCGGGAGACCAGGGCCCCAGTACTGTTCCCAGGAGACCAGAGCCCCAGTGCTGTTCCCGGGAGACCAGGGCCCCAGGGCTATTCCTGGGAGACCAGGGCCCTGATGCTGTTCCCAGGTGACCAGGGCCCCAGTGCTGTTCCCAGGTGACCAGGGTCCCAGGGCTGTTCCCGGGTGACCAGGGTCCCAGGGCTGTTCCCGGGTGACCAGGGCCCCAGGGCTGCACGCTGCCCTTCCCAGACAAGCAGGGCACTTCCATTTCAACAAGACAGACACCCTGCATCTAAGAAGGGCAACAGCTCACCACTTTACTGACCGGTCCTGGTTGGCCCATCAAGGGCTGCTCGTGTACAAGGGCGGGGAGGGAGACAGAGCCAACCCACTTAGAGAGAGAACTGGAGAATCCGCTTTGCGCTGCCCACTGAGGCAGGGTTGCGGGCAAGGAGGCGGCCACGGGCACACCCCCCACGGAGTTCAACGTGAAGTTGGTGAGTGGGAGAGGTTTTCTCCCACTTGAAGAGCCCAGAGAAGACGCGCTTCAAGGCTGAGTTGTGGCAGTCATGATAATGACCATCTGCTACTCCCCCCACCTGCAGATAAGGCAGCAGGAGCAGACGCCGCCGCAAGAAGGCTGGCTCGGCTCTGCCCGATAACCCGAAAGTGGGGGCCCTCGGGGCATGCCAAGGAGGCCTGCTCCCAAGGTCGGGGCCCCAAGGACCCTCATGGCTCACGGGGGCTGCTCCCAGAAGCCCCCTGCCCTGCAACAAGCACCCAGATGCCCTACCTGCTCTGGCATAGCCAATGATTCCACCAGTGGCCACCAGGGCCGCGTAGCCAAAGCCAAAGTAGTGTAAAGGCACTCTGGAAAACCAGGAGAAACCGTTGAGAGATACGACCAAAAAACACATCCCACACCGACGGGAAGGGCCGAAAACGGCCTTATTCTAAACCCATCCCTGTGCAAAGCCTCGGCAGGGCTGGTACTCCAATGCAGGCTTCTGCTCGGCCCCAGCCACTCGTCCACACCGCCTGGGGCCTCTGCACTTACAGCGGGCCCGTGTTCTTCTGCATGGTCCTTCTCCTCCTGTGTCAGGCTGCAGGAGTTGACAGACACCTGGCCCACACCTGTGGACGACAAGTGAGGCCGAGATGCAGCAGCCGCCCCGGGCGGCCACGCAGCAGGCAAGCTCCGGGACCTCACCCGGCCCGGCCCGTCTGCTCACAGTTAGCCCCGGCTGAGCTCCCGGCCAGGTGTGACACGTGCAGGCGCTTGGCACACTGCAAAAGGCAGACCCGCCTTTGCACAAGACAAGCCACCCTCTCCGCAGGTTAACCGGATTATTACCAACTTCCCGGGCTCTTGGGTCAACCAAGAGGGAGGGAGGGTGCTGCTTCTCACCTCTGCCCTAGGAACTTAATCACTCCAAGACACCCAGCCCACAGTTCACCGTCACACTGGGACAGGGAGATGGCGCCAACACGAAAATGCAAGTTGGCACCGCCTGCGTCACCGCACCCCTGGGACACGAGCTCCCGTGTTCAGGAAGCGTCCAGGGCGCCTTGCAAACCCGTGACGGCGGAGCTTCCCCTTCGGGCTCTGCTTCCCTAACACGGGGAAGGGTGGAGTGGGGCACGGGCGATGGGAGTCCCGAATCGCGAGTTCCAAGCTGCGAGGGAGCAAGAAGCGTAAGGCCACGGAGCGACAACAGCCTCGCGCCGGGGAACCTGCGGCAGAAAACACGCGCGAGGAGCAAAGCCCCCACGAAGCGGCCTGCAAGTCCTCGCCGGCGCCCAGGGCACCGAAGCCCTGAACACAGGTCCTCACAGTCACTCCAAAAGCACAACCCCAAGTACCGGAATCGCCCTCCCGGAGTCCTGCGCTGCAGGTAGAGGGCACGCCAGCCGCCCGCAGGGATCGCAGCGCCCGCCGGAAACGGGAACCGGGGCGGGGCGAGGCCGGAAATGCTGGCGGACGCCGCTGCCCTGAGCGGGGCGTGACCGAGGTGTGGGCGTGGCCCGAGGTTCCCAGTGGAGCTTGTGGGCGTGGCGTGCCGAGGGGCGGGACCCGAGGAGCTGTATCCGGAGAACCAGTGCAGGCTGTGGGCGGGGCGTAGGGCATGGCGCGTAACCAGTGGGCGTGGCCACGTTGCCTCACCGTCCTGGAGACCCAATGGAGCCTGTGAGCTTGTGGGCGGGGCGTGTGCGGGGCCGGCGCTGGCACCCACCTGCTCCAAAGTTCCCAGGCTTTGTATCCTGAAGCTGGAAAGCCGGCGTTTGCAGCGCTCCGTGTGTTGGCGAACTCCAGTGGAAGTCAGCACTGCTGGGGGAGAGCGTTTGAGGCTGAACTTTGGGAGGCCCATGAATGAAGGGACTTGTTAACAGGGTGTAAACCAGATGCGGGGCCTTCGGGGACGATAAGCACTCCGCCCGGAGGGACTCCGTTCAAGCTGCACGGAGCCGGCGCCCATGAGCGGCACGGTGTGGCTCACTCCCGTGTCTGCATTTGCTTTGCGGAGGGAGGCCGCTAGGGAGGTATCTCCACGAGCAGAGTAAGGGCCCCGTGTTCCCATTGAGGAAACGGTATCAGGCTGGCCTTCGCCTTCTCTGTGGCCGCCTGCATTAACAATATCAACCAAAAACAAACCTGAACTTGCAGTTTGAAATCAATTCCTAACCAGTATGCGCAATACTTATTTCCACACTGCATGGCTTTGTAACAGCAAAATCATCCATTCAGTAATCCTTGCTCCAATAAATTAATAGGGGACATTATGGAAAAAAAAATTTTTTTTCTCAACCTGCTTCATTTGCTACATGCTTCTAAACCTCCTCTTGTTGGAACTGTAATAATAATGTTAGCAAAAATGTGCCACGTTTCAGCGTGGCTCAGCCCTCGTTTGTAAAATTCAGTCACAAATACTTTGGTTCAGGCCTGCCCAAGTTTGCTAACCTTCTCTTTATACTTCTGTACAAAATGCTTTCTCAGTTTCCTGCTGTTTAGGCCAGATCACAAGGAGTAACACACCCTGCTGGAAACCCTCGGCTCCAGGAGTCAATATTGTGTGTTTTATTCACCCATTGTCCCTATGGCTGTCTCCTGTTGCTGCCCATCCACCTGGTTCCCGTGGCCGTATAACTCTCTCCATAAAAACCCATCTAACTCTGCTTTGGGTCACTCCCTGAAGGAAAGGAGAGCTGACCCCAGCCGGTTGGTTGGTTAGCCTGCCTCCTCAATAAACTCTGCTGCTTTGCAGAGCTGTCTGGGCTGTACTTCTTGGGGAGAGGCTTGGGTTGGATGCTACACTCTCCCTCTACCTTATTTTTTTTAAGATTTATTTATTTTTATTGGAAAGGCCGATTTACAGAGAGAAGGACAGAGAAAGATCCTCCGCCTGCTTGTTCACTCCCCAAATGACTTCAATGGCCAAGGTTGAACCGATCCGAAGCCAGCAGCCACAAACCAGGAGCTTCTTCTGGGTCTCCCATGTGGGTGCAGGATCCCAGGGTTTGGGGCCATCGTCCACTGCTTTCCCAGGACGCAAGCAGGGAGCTGGATGGGTAATGGGTAGCCAGGACATAAACTCATACCCACATGGGATTCTGGTGCTTACCACTGGGGGGAATTAGGCAACTGAGTGCCATTGTGCTGGGCATGAACACCAAATACTTTTATTCAACAGCAAAGAATTCCCAGTAAGGGCACTTTTGTCTAGTACCCAGCTTTTGCACAGGCTGAGGAATAGGATAAACAGTCACTGTTAGAGTAGAGCACTGGAGGACAGCCTCATCTGTCCCTGATGCTACTACGAGTCCCATGAAGACCAGCTGCCCCGCACACAGCTCTAGTTGGGGTGTGAGGGAAGCCAGTGATGCTGGGGCTACCTTGCTGAAGAAGCATTTTAAAAAGACTCAATCGTTGACAGATGAATTGTGTGAAAAACATGTAGTAGTGTTGGCCCAACGGAGAAGGCCCCAGACACCTGCATTCCATAGTCAGGTGTCTGGGTTTGGTTCTCCGCAACCTTTCCTGACTCCGCCTTCAGCCAGTGGGTAGTGGCAGTGATGGCGCAAGTCCTGGGCTTGCTGCCACCCATGCGTGAGACCATCACTCAGCTCCTAGCTCCCAGCTTCCACCTTAGCCCAGCTTTGGCCTGGCAGACACTGGGGGGGTAGTAAGCGCCTGGGCGCAATTTCTCTTGCTGTTAGTGCATATATCTCAAATAGATAAATAAAAATTTTAAAGACCAGGCCCAGCGCTGCTCCGACCAGCAGAGCCAGTAACATGTACAGGGAGAGGGTCTGGGGATGAAGCACCGACAGGAGACCAGTGATGGTAGAAGTCTCTCCAAAATCTCGCTTTATTGCTCCTTCACCTCTCCTCATTTAGCATGACACTGGATGCAGATGAGTCCAATTAGTCTCGGTGTTTTCAGCCACAAGCCCAGTTCCTGTTCCTGCCCAGCTCAACCAGCACTAATCAACTCCTCAGCCCACAACACAACGCGGTGGCCCAGTGAATAAAACCTTACACGCACCAAGATCTCATAGAGGCATCAGTTTGTATCCCGGCAGCTCCACTTCCCATCCAGCTCCCTTGTGGCCTGGGAAAGCAGTAGAGAATGGCCCCGAAGCCTTGGGACCCTGCACCTGCGTGGGAGACTCAGAAAAAGCTCCTGGCTCCAGATCGTCATAACTCTGGCCATTGCGGCCACTTGGGGAGTGAACCAGCAGAAGGAAGATTTTTTCTGTCTCTCTTTCTCTCTGTATATCTACCTTTCCAAATTAAAATAAAACAAATCTTAAAAAAATTAAAAAGCATGTAATAAGGGAGAAAACACTTGTGAACCATGTATGTGCATATAAAGAACTCAGTCACACGGACTCAGGTAAAATACTGGCCAATGAATTTAAGCACACTGGCTTATCACTTTATACTTACTATGATTTTTCAAAAAGAAAACGTAGGCTTAGGAACGCCATGGAGAAATGGGAACTCTTGTATACTGCTGGTGAGGGAATGAATTGTTGCAGCCGCTGTGGGAAACAGGAAGGTGATTCCTTCCAAGCTACCCTAGGACTGCCTATGACCCAGCAATCCCACGCCACGGCATACAGCAGTATAACTGATAACAGGCCCTCGAACAGGCATTTGCAACAGTATGCGTGACAGCCACAAGGCAAAAACAACCCCAAGTATTCATGGTTTCTTCCTGTTAGGCACTGAAGTTCTGAAATGTGCTACAACATGGATCAACCGACAGTCTTTAGCTACAGGACAAATGCTGATTCCATTGACGTGAAAAGGTCAGAACAGGCCGACCCTGGGCCCGGAGGCGTGGCCTGGCGGGTAACGTCCTCACCTTGAACGCGCCACTTCATATGGGTGCCGGTTCTAATCCCAGCAGCTCCACTTCCCATCCAGCTCCCTGCTTGTGGCCTGGGAAAGCAGTCGAGGATGGCCCAAAGCCTTGGGACCCTGCACCTGCGTGGGAGACCCGGATGAAACTCCTGGCTCCTGGCTTTGGACTGGTGCAGCACCGGCCTCTGCGGTCACTTGGGGAGAGAATCATTGGATGGAAGATCTTCCTCTCTGTCTCTCCTTCTTTCTGTATATCTGACTTCGCAATAAAAATAAATCTTTACCAAAAAAAAAAAAAAAAAAAAAAAAAAAAGAACAAGCCGACCCCTACAGGCAGGAGGGGCTGGAGCTGCGACTACAGCCTGCAGCAACAAAGGAAGACTTGGAAACAGCGGCAGTTGCTGTGCACCCGGGTACTTAATGACACTCCATCACACACTTAAAAATAGCTGAAAAGGAAACGTTTTACAATATGTATATTAGCAGTTTTAAATTGTCAAGGGCACTTAAAGAAAAATGGAAAATCTTACGACCAAGGAGACATGACTGCTAACAACATAACCTGGCAGGGGTCCTGAAGTGGCAGAAAGGAATTCATGTAGTAACTGGCAAAATCTGAAGAGGCTGCATATTAATCCAGTTAATTTATTTTCTTAAAAAAAATTTATTTTTATTTAAGAGTCAGATATAGAGAGAGGACAGACAGGAAGATCTTCTGTCCACTTATTCACTCAGCCAGAGGTGAGCCAATCTGAAGCCAGGAGCCAGGAGCTTCTTCCTGGTCTCCCATGCGGGTGCAAGGTCCCCAGGGACATGAATTGTGATATATGTGATCCTGGCACATGCAAGGTGAGGACTTTAGCCACTAGACTACTGCACTAGGTCCAGTTAATTTCTTAGTTTTGGCAAATGTGCCATAGCTGGCGGAAGGGCATGTGAAAAAATCTGTATTCTTTGTAACTTCTCTGTAAACTAAACATTCAAGAACAAGGGGCAGGCCTTTGGCACAGCAGTGACATCACGGAGACTGTCCCATCCCGTGCCTGAGTCGCTGGGTTAGGGTCCCAGCCTCGTGTCCAGTTTGCATGCAATGGCTCAAGTGCTTGGGTCCCTTCCCGCTGATACGCAGCCCAATGCTGGCTGTCGTGGGCAATTGGGAAGCTAAGCAGAAGATGGAGGCTTCTGTCTCTGGCTTCCAAATAAATGTAAATTCTTTAAACAAGAAACTGCTTGGAAGTCACATCGTGAATTGCTGAAACTAACTGACACTTCAGATTCAATGTTGCATTATTTGCCGACCTACCTAAAAATCAGCACGTTTCCACACAGTTCACCGTCTATAGTTAACACGGATCTGCGATACAGACTTTCATCTCCTGATTGCTACCCCCACCGCCTCTTCAGTTATGGAGCCCTTTGAAGCTCGCCACCCTTCCATCTCCCAGACATCAAAGAACCTGGTATCTGTTAAGCTGCCATTTCTTCCAAATAACAAAAGTATGCTACGGCGACGTGCCAACGGCCACGGCCAGCCTTTCCAGATGTTCTTCTAAGCGCTTTACCTCTACTGGCGAGTTCAAGCCGCACGCTCACCCTGCGAGGCAGGGAGGAATTCCCACCGTCACATCGATGGTGACGCTGAGGGGCGCAGTAGCATGTGGAGCAACATCTAATACCTCTAGTCTCGGATCAGAGACCAGGAAAGCCATCACCCAGCCAGCAGCTCCCAGTTCTCAGAGGAGGTGTTAAGACACGCACTCTCCAGACTCCAAATCCTCCCAAATTTTGAACCCAGTCTGAAGTGCTTACAGGGCAGAGCTCAGCAAAATTAATTCAATCGAAGCCGACTTCATCAGGTGATGCTGTGGTGCAGTGGGATAGGCTGTGGCCTGTGTCACCGCGGCCCCAGCTGGAGTGCAAGTTCCAATCCCTGCTGCTCTGCAGCCCATCCAGCTCCCTGCTAACGAGCCTGGGAATGCAACCCAAGATTGCCTCAGTATTTGGATGTTCAGAGCCCTCCCACTACTGGGAGACCTAGAAGGAGTCCCAGGCTCCTAGCTCTGGCCCAGGCCCAGCTAAAGCAAACATCTGGAAAATGAATCAGCATGTGGAAGCTCTGTCTCCCTCTCCCCCCTTTAACTAACTGCCTTTCTAATAAAGCAGCTAAATAAGTCAATCTGACTTTACCATAGAAATCAAGAGACCAGTTAACATAGCCTACTAGTCAGGATATAGAATTATCTGTGCCCTGTGGGAATCAACATTTTTAAAGATTTATTTATTTTTGTTACAAAGTCAGCCATACAAAGAGGAGAGACAAAGAGGAAGATTTTCTGTCCAATGATTCACCCTCAAGTGACTGCAACGGCTGGAGCTGCGCCAATCCAAAGCCAGGAGCCAGGAGTTTCACCGGGTCTCCCACACTCTAGGGCTTTGGGTCGTCCTCGACTGCTTTCCCAGGTCACAAGCAGAGAGCTGGAAGTGGGGCTGCTGGAATTAGAACTGGCACCCAAATAAAATGCCAGTGTGTTCAAGGCGAGGACTTCAACCAGAAGGCTATCGTACTGGGCCCAGAAATCAGTAATTTAACAACAAAGGCTCATGCACACAACAGAGAAAGGTCAGCCTCCAGCCAACAGTATTGGGTAAGCTGGTGATTGACACACACAAGAATCAAATTGGACCTCTACCTCGCCCTACACCAACTGAAAATGGATTACATGGATTAAAGACAGAATAGGGCCTGGCGGTGTGACCTAGCAGATAAAGTCCTCGTCTTGAATGCGCCAGGATCCTATATGGGCGCTGGTTCTAATCCCAGCAGCTCCACTTCCCATCCAGCTCCCTGCTTGTGGCCTGGGAAAGCAGTCGAGGAGGGCCCAAAGCCTTGGAACCCTGCACCCGCATGGCAGACCTGGAAGAGTTCCTGGTTCCTGGCTTCAGATTGGCGCAGCACCGGTCGTTGTGGCTCACTTGGGGAGTGAATCATTGGATGGAAGATCTGTCTCTCTTCCTCCTCTCTGTGTATGACTTTGTAATAAAAATAAATAAATCTTAAAAAAAAAAGACTTAGAATAAATAAGCCAACTAGAAAAACTGGGTACAGGACTGCAGCGCTATTTCCAAGCATGCAGGGCCGATCAGTGCTGGCTCCTGACCCCAGGATGTGGGGGCGGTGGCAACATCCAAATGGGTAAGATCCTGCCGCTGCAGCAGAAGACGGGGACTCTGCTTGTAGATCCAGCTTGACCCCTGGCGCAGAGCCTATGCAGGCGTTGGGGAGTGAACCAGCACACGCTCTCTCTGCTTCTCAGGTTAGGCACAGCCAGTTAAGCAGCCGCTTGGAATGGCTACAGCCACACTGGGGAGGCCCAGCAAAGGGCAGGCGTGAAAGAAACCTCCCGGCTCCTGTTTATAGGAGACATCACTTACCGTGCGGGGTTTCTTACTCTGTAGATAAACTCCTACACTGTAAACTGGAGAAGAAATAAGCAAAGTTGAAACACAGAAAAGACAAAACAGATCAGCAAAATGAAGCTGTTTTAAATAAATAAATTTGATACACCTAACTAATGAAAGGGGAAGGGGAGAGAAGACTCAAATTAACAGCTAGGCATGAAAAAAAAAAAAGAGATACACTGAGATGAAAAGAATCATCCAGAAGTATTACAAACAGCTACATGCCAATAAATTGGAAAATCCAGAAGACAAACTCAATAAAATTCCTAGCATGAGGGGTGGGTATTTGGCGCACCAGTTGTGATGCCCCTGGGATGCCCACAGCTCGTGATGGCACACCAAGCTTCAAACTTCATCTCTGCCGCCGACTCCAGCTTCCTGCTCCTGAACACCCAGGGCGGCAGCAGGCGAGGGCACCCGGGGACCTGCTCCTATATACCCAAGGCGGCAGCAGGCGAGGGCTCGGGCACCCGGGCACCTGCTCCTATATACCCAGGGCGGCAGCAGGTGAGGGCACCCGGGGCCTGCTCCTGTACACCCGGGGCGGCAGCAGGCGACAGCTCGGGCACCTGGGGACCTGTTCCTGTACACCCGGGGCGGCAGCAGGCAAGGGCTCGGGCACCCGGGGACCTCCTCCTGTACACCCGGGGCGGCAGCAGGCGAGGGCTCGGGCACCCAGGGACCTGCTCCTGTACACCCAGGGCGGCAGCAGGCGACAGCTCGGGCACCCGGGGACCTGCTCCTGTACACCCGGGGCGGCAGTAGGCCAGGGCTCGGGCACCCGGGGACCTGCTCCTGTACACCCGGGGCGGCAGCAGGCGAGGGCTTGGGCACCCAGGGACCTGCTTCTGTACACCCGGAGCTGCAGCAGGCGAGAGCTTGGGCACTCGGGGACCTGCTCCTGTACACCCAGGGCGGCAGCAGGCGAGGGCTCGGGCACCCGGGGACCTGCTGCCCTCGGGGAAGCCTAGATTGAGTACCTGGCTCCCAGGTGTGCGCTGTGCCAGCCTGACTGGTGGAGGCGTGTGCACAATCTATCAGCAGATAGGAGGCAAATCTGTGTGTCTCTTTGTCTCTCCTCCAAATAAATGAAACAGAAAAACATTTTAACTTAATTTATTTGAAAGGCACAGTGACAGAGAACGAGACCATCCATCTGCTGGGGCTGTCCCCTCTGTAAGTTATCTTGCCCTTTACTGCTGGGAAGAAGTCATAGTTTAAACAAGTTTGGCACTCTTAGAATATTCTTAGTCCTCAACTCAAGCACATGTCTGCTTCATAAACACATAGTTTGTTTAAAATACTTAACATTTTTACAAAGTTTTACTTACTTCTTCATTTGAAAAGCAGATAGAGGAGGGTATCCCCCATCTGCTGACTGACTTCCCAAATAGTCCCAACAACCAAATCAGAGGAAGGGAGCCTGGAATTCCATCCGGGTCTCCCACAGGGGTGGCAGGGACCCAAGTGCCCGAGACAGCTGCCACTTTGTCAGGTGCACTGGATCTGATACGGGACGCTGGCACTGCAAGCGGCAGCTCAGTGTGCTGGACCAGAACACTGACACGGGCAGTGTTTGAGTTTGCTGTAATATACTTGCTGGAATGACAATGTTTTTTATAACTTTTGTTACCGAAAATACAAAATTTGCACTAAAATTATTAGAACCATCTGAAGAAGCCAGCGCAGGGCACCTTTTTTCATAGTTTCCTCATCTAGAAGAAAAATAACACTGTATCCACTATTGGTAAATAATGTTTAACATTTTTTTTAATTATTAAACTATAATATTTTGACAAAAAAGTCTTTACCTTCATACATATAAAGTATGTATAGTTTACTTTGTATGTTACATATTAACACACACAACCATGATACATAATAAAGTGTTGTCTGCCTAGAATAATTTTTTACCATTGTTAGAAAAAATACCAAGGTACAATTTCTCCATAGGAAATTCCTTGCTTTCAGTAGGAAAAAAACAAACAGAAGCCACCTTAAATATCTAAAAAGAATGATTCGCCTAAAAACCAGTTCTCTTAAGAAGGGAAGCCTGGGACTCACGCCATCAGGTCTGTTTTCTGCTTTTTCCTCTTCCTCCTCCCCAGCGTTCCCACCGCTTTCCTCTTGCTTGCCACCAGGCTGACTCTGTCTCCCGCTGTTGGCTTCTCGTGGCGCCCTGCTGAACCACGTGTCTTTGTTGTAGGTTTTGCCTGCACTGCTTCTTCCTGCACTGCCGTGGCAGGTTCCTTCTTGATGATCTTGGACTGTTCTTTATTTACTAAAACATAAAGAGCATATTTAAGGAATCAGCTCATTCCCCTGGGATGAAATAAACATAGGATGAAAGTCGAGTGTTGAGACCAGCTCCACTTCAATAATTCCAAAGGTACAAATCGTGCAACAGCTTGTCTTACCAGGAGCGGGCTCTGCCCCTGCAGGAAGGCTTTCCTGGGGGGCCGCTGCTGGGTCCAGCCACACCCCAAGGCACGTCAGCCTGGCCCCGGTGTTCACCTCACAGAGCAAAGATGGCGGTGCTTTCTGCAACACAAGAAACCCGTCAGCACAAAGTTAGCTAATTTTAAACTCACTGTATTTGCTAGCGTATAAAATACTTTCAAGTAACTTATTCTCTTAACTCAGGACCAAGATTTGGCCCTTGGCTGCTCGCAGAACTGACCTTGAAGTACTCAGCAAGGAGCAATTCCAAGGCAAATGGCCATGTCTCATTTATGTCCACAGTTCAGCAAGGAAGCTTACACAGACTCAACACTCAGCAAGCCACGTTCACACGAGAGAATGAAGAACAGTACACCAAAACCACAGAAGGGAATTTAATGTATTAATTATCTGCTTCAAAACTATTTGTTAATTGCATAATCAATAAGGAGGCCCAAAACTTCTCTTAGTCATGGCAGTATTTTTACCCAAGGCTTTACAGAGCATCCCAATATCTGAAAAAAATAAGTAGAGCGCAGAGGGAGCTGGAAGATTCTACCAGCACCGACCCATCGAGGCTAGCCGTGAGGAAGACTCATGGGAGCCTCCCGCAAGCACTAACAACCCTGCTGGCAGAGCTCCTCACGGCTGGCTGAGCGCCCCACACAAGCCCCCGCTCATTTCAGTGACACCGTGACAACTGTCCTGCACGGGGTGTGCGCGTGCGATGGACACGGACCTTCTCCTGCTGCAGCCTCCACATCTTGATGAAGCCATCACTTGACGCAGTCACAATGACATGGTGCTCTGGAGTCTGAAAACTGAACATGTCTTTGACCCTAGGACAGAAACAGCAGCACTGTAAAAGACAACTTCCTGTCAGATGGTGCGACACTGAGCAGCACGTACACGGCCTCTTGCTTCCTCAATGCTCCAGGCGCCTGTCCTAAGTGACCAGCACCTCCACCGTACGTTCACACGAGTCGCACAGCTTCACGCCGAAGGCAGCGTGGACATCCTTTATCGGCCCCAGTGGCCTAATGGCTAAGAAGGCAGCGTGGACCTTCAACCGTCGTAAGGAACAGTGGCAAAGATGACGATAGCTAACTGCGCTCAGGGCGTCACAGAGGAAACACAGACACAGGAAACAAAGTCCCCCACTTGGGTAAGGAAAGAAGACAGCCACAGCGACGTCCAAGGCCGCTCCCGTGCGCCCGTCTCCCTCCTCGCCCTGCCAAGGCCACCACCATGCTGCCATCATTTCCTTCTGCATTATGAAGGGGACTAACTGGTCTACCTCCACTTTGTTTCCCTTAAAATTCTTGACAACATGAACCAATTATATCGGTTTTATATTACAGATATGTATATATACATATATAAATTTTATTTCTCTTCTACAAAGCTGGGATTTGCTTTAAAATAAAAAGAGAGGCAGAAGTGGCTGGGCACACAGATGAGGTCGGCCTTCACCGAGGCTCGGTCATGTAGTGAGGGGGAGCTGCTTTATGCTCTTCCGTGAGAGTCAGACACTCTGCACCAGGCAGGTGGCCGGGATCGGCCCTCCACCTGCCTGTGCCAGGCACTCTCTCTGCTCACTGTTCGCCCTCAGTCACACGGGCCTGGAGCCTGTCCCTCACGCACTCCGAGCTCTCGCCCCCTCAGGGCCCGTGCTCTGCTGCCTTCCAGAACCAGCTTCTTTTTTGTCTTTTTTTTTTTTTTTTTTGATGCTGTCTACATAATTAAAAATGATGCATGCCCTTGAGGACCACCGATTAAAACAATATGGGATGCTCCATGAATCTGTGTGACATCCTTGTGCAGGGACTATGCTAATGTTTTCTGTATCGTTCCAACTTTAGTGTGTGGGCTGCCAAAGCGAGCACCATTTTATTTTTAAGATTTACTTTATTTTTATTGCAAAGTCAGATATACACAGAGAGGAGGAGAAACAGAGGAAGATGTTCCGCACCCTTTTCGTCTCTGAAGGCCTCACTCTCCCCTTCCTCAGAATCCTACCTCAATGAATTCACTTTATCATTCTTGAATCATACTATTTAGCTCCTAATTAAAACTACATTATATGTTTACCCAGACTACACACACACACAGAGTAAAAGTGAAAATACCTGTTTTCATGAGCTTTAAATTGACAGAGGCATGTTAGAGAATCGCAGTCGAAAAACCGGACAGCCTCTTCGTCTCCAGCCACGGCGAGGACAGATTCCTAGGGGACAGAGAAAGAAGGGCAGCACCCAGAAATCAGCAGCTCTCAGCAGCCCACGTGCGCAGCGCGCCTCCAATCACGTACTGAGAGAAACCGAACAGAAGCAACTCTCTTCTCGTTCGTGATGGTCCCGCTGACGGACGCCGTGTCCAGCCGGTACACGTCTATTTTATTCAGCGTGACAACTATGTATTTCTCTCCCTTGGGTGACCATTCCACTATGTGAGCATCTGCAAGTTAAAAAACAGTTCAAAACAGTTCAAATAAGGCTAGCGATAGTCCAAATAGTTGAAAGTTAACACAAGCAAAATAGTTATTAAACAAAATGATCCAAGTAACAAAATCTCCCACCCATTATCCTACTTGGTCTTCCCGGTAAACTCATGAGCCACTTCTTGCGAATTAAGTTTTAGAAAAGAAGCTGGACTCAAAGTAACATCAAAAGCCACGTGTAATTGGTACGTGGCAGTCATGACAAGAATCCAGACACAGAATGGGAAAAGCCACTTAAACCTCCCCTCGTGCAGTCGCCATCGCCAAGGGAACCATATGCGCATGCGCACATGCTCAAGAGACATGAGCATGCGCGAGGGGGGGACTGCAGAGTTCACGCAAAGTGGAAATTACAGAGAAGCTTCATTTGGGTGACCCCCAAAAACGTCAGCATCCAGGCATATAACACATCTATTTTTCATGAACTTACACCCATATTCCATTCAGTTATCAGAAAACACATTTCAAACCACCATACTCACTTTGTTTTATATTTTTTATGAATGCTGATCGTCCCTCCACAAGATTCCATGTTCTACAAAACAGAAAGCTCACTTATAATATGATCTCCAGTGAACACGTATTAAAAAATGAGCATAATGAAGATTTACTCAAATGGCAATTTTACTGAATAGTGACTATTTAAAGGCTCTGCCATTTTCCTCACAGTAAGCCTGAAAAGCTTTATGACCAGGGCTGACACAAGAGCTCAACTGGCTAACCTCTGCACCAGCATCCCACATGGGCACCGGCTCACGTCCTGGCTGCTCCCTCCCCTTCGCTGCACACCTTACAGAGTCCAAGTTTAGAGTTATATTTTTCTTACATTGAAGAAAAGACTCACTGGTGTTCAACCGTCCCTCTGTACCACTATGACAGTAAGAGACTCCCTGGGGTAAAAGACCACCAACTCAGTAAAGTCACTCTTCAGGCACGAGCAACTCACCTTAGAGTCTTGTCGGTACCCACAGACAGGGCCAACTTGCCAGAGGGGTGAACAGAGAGGAAGGTCACGTGTCCCCTAAAATGAAGCCAACAGTCAGCCCCCGTCCGAGTGGCACAGGGACAAGGCCACGGGCACGAGCCCACTCACTTGTGAGCCTTAATCGACTTGAGGCACTCCCATTTCTTCGCATCCCACACACAGATGAGTCCGTCCTCCGCTCCACTGATTAGGTGCCTGTTGCCATGGAATTTCAGGCAAGTAATTGTTCCTGACAAAAAAGAAATGAACATCATATCCACTTGAAATGCACACTTCATTTCTGCTCTGAAAGCTATGCGACAGTAAGGAGAGCATCCAATGTCTTAGTATTACTGAAACTTATTTTAAAGTCTAGACAGAAGAAAATAATTTTTCACATAAGAACACACGATTCCAAGTCCATGCAAAGCACGTCAGCTGAGGGGGTCTCTCCCTCTCTCCTTTCAAGAGGCGCCCTGTCTCCCAGTTCCCTCCCCACTGCCAGGAGGCACTTGTCCCTTCCGGCCTCTTTTCCTATTAGCTTATTCACTTCGCAAATCAAATGTCTCTATCTGCAAACACAACACAACACAACAGCTGAGTTTCTCCAGCTGTAGAAATAGATTTGAACTAATTAATTCAGGTCCCGATAACACATTTAGAAAAGGCTGTCTAAACCAGTGTGGCCAGACGGCGGCCGCAGCCTGCCACCTTGGATGCAGCGAGTGGGAACCTCACCAGCCACACCCTTTCACTGCTGTGCCTGCAGCCTGGCATCCAACTACTCCTCTGGGAATATCACCACAAATCCCTGACCCTGCACTGCAGCTGTGTCCTCAGGAAGCCCCTTCCCAGCTAACACACCTTTCTTCATCTTCTCATTCTCACAAAACACTCACTCTCCTCGGCCAAAACCGAAACTGGCTCTCACATTCCCCAAAGAGCTCAAATCAGAGAGCTGACGCCGGTTTGATGGTCAAGCAGCCCAGCCGCCGTCCAGTCCCCAGAGCAGGCCACACCATTCCCGTTCACTGTCCTCGGACCCAGCCAGGCGCCAGCCCCTCGGCACCTCGTGGCCTGTGAAGGCAGTTTGCTGGGAGAGATGCAGAGACTCAGGTACAGAACGTCCAATGGCTGCTTCTGCAGAGCAGCAGAGCTGGGACTCTACCCCAGTCCCAGAGGGGTCCCACGGGGTCTGCCGCCTGGCCCGGGCTGAGCAGAGTCTGGACTCCAAGCACGCCTCCTGGTCAGCCCCTCATGCTGAAAGGTCTTCGCTGTGCAGTATAACGCGGCAAACCATGAGTGCAGGAGTAACACATGGGCTGCCGGACCACCTTCCTCGCCAGGAGGAACGGCAATGTTAACCCTGGTCTGTGTTCACCTCTTTCTATAAAATCCCACTTCTTCCTTTGGAAATGTCTCCTCATCTCTGCTTCCTAGCAAAGAACTCCTCTACCTGCAACTGTGAAACAGGCCCCTACTTGCTGCATTTCCCACAGAGAATCCCCTCTAAGTCCGCCTTTTCTTGTTAAACACAGGTATTTCCTCCAAGCCTAAGACAGACAGAAGTTTTTCTTGAATGACCCGCTATTGGGAGACAGCGAGGAGAGCAAACTGTTTAAATCCCTTAGCCCGACACAATAGCCTAGCAGCCAAAGTCCTTGCCTTGCATGCGCCGGTATGCCATATGGGCGCAGGTTCTAATCCCAGCAGCCCCACTTCCCATCCAGCTCCCTGCCTGTGGCCTGGGGAAGCAGTCGAGGATGGTCCAAAGCCTTGGGACCCTGCACCAATGTGGGAGACCTGAAAGAGGCTCCGGGCACCTGTCTTCAGATCAACTCAGCTTCAGCCGTTGCGGCCACTTGGGGAGTGAATCATTGGACAAAACATCTTTGTCTCTGTGTCTCCTGCTCTCTGTATATCTGACTTTGCAGTTAAAATAAAGTAATCTTAAAAAAAATCCTCTGGAAAAGCATGACTCTTGGGAACATTCAACACTCTAAATGTCCTGCTAGAAACGGACGGCTGATGTGGATCTAAGCTTAGGGTACCGAAAAGGACACTGCTCCTGTCTTTATAGCAAACACATCTCCATGGCTGACTCCCCCAAGCCAAGTACATTCTACTTGATCCTAGTATTTCGAGTTCTTCCTTTCCTTTTCCTTCTCAAAGAAATATCCAACTCTTTTGCTCTGTGCCCTGGGGGAAATGCGAGCAAAGCCATACAAAACATTCACTCCTGAGGCAAGCTGCTTACCGCACCCACCATTCCTGCCAACAGCCGTGCCAACTCCACCATCAGCCAGGAAACCCAACCCAGGGTGGGGAGTTAGCACCCCGATCTCCACCCAGGCCTCCTCCACTTACAGCTGGGCCCCACTACCAGCTAACACTGCTCCTCATCCAGCTCTCACTCCACTTGTGCATTCCACTGTTTACCAACCCACAGCTGCCCAGGCCTTCCGTGCCTCCCTGCCTTCATTCCACCTGCTTTTTCTTTAAAAATGGCAACCTGTTTTCTCCAGCTTGCCCCTTAAACCACTCATTCACCTTCCTCTTCAGTTCCCTTTAAGTCAATCCTATTACACACACTAACCAACCTATATCAATCTCTCTCCCTACAGAAAGCCTGTGGCTCACTGCTGAACAGACTCAGAAACTCTTCAAACTAACCCTACTTAATTTCCAGCTTCCCACTGTAACTGGGCAGTCCTTGTGCTGGCTGTCCCTCGGCCCAGCACCTCTCTCACAGCCAAACCCGCCCCTGCCCACCCCTCCCAGCCCCTCTCTCACAGCTAAGCCTGCCCCTGCCCACCCCTCCCAGCCCCTCTCTCACAGCCAAGCCCACCCCTGCCCACCCCTCCCAGCCCCTCTCTCACAGCCAAGCCCACCCCTGCCCACCCCTCCCAGCACCTGCTCTCAAGGACACCGGGCATTTGCCCCACCCACTTCTGTAGCCCCTCCCAATGCCAGGTCAGCCTTCCCCTAATGCCTGCAGTTCCCTGTGGACACCAGACTTTAGACCTAGCTTCAAGCTCCAGTTGCGTTATTTTGTGACTCTGGCTAAGACATACAGAGCATTTGAACCTGGCGTTCTCTTCTATAAACTGAAGCTGTACCTGCCCCTTGCAGGCTGGGAACGTCTCCTTCAAGGAAAGTGGGCAATGAGGATGCCGCTCCGGAGTCTCCTGCCGCCCTGCCAGTTCTATACGGCCACCAGCCACCAGGCTCTTCAGATAAACAGGCATCTTCTGACAGGAGGCCTCACTAGGGACTGCCTGTCCTCGCTGAATTTACTACTTCCTCTCAGCTCCAACTACAAGCACCCTGAGGGCGAGGAACCACTTTCTTTTTTTTCCTCCCATTTTTACATCTCCTAGCATAGGATCGGTGACACAACAGACTCACCGAATCCCTAACCTGAAGTCACACGGTAAGGGACGGTCAGCAAAGCAGCGTTCTCACCGTTGTGGTGCACCAGGGCCCCGTGCTCAATCTTCTTCTTCATGTCGTAAATGTGGATTGTTTCATCTTTGCTCCCGGTGACCACGAAGCGACTGTTGACTGCCACAGCCGACAGGGAGGCGGTGTGGGCGTGGTGGGTGAAGTGAGCCGCCGCGGTCCATTTCTGCCAGAGAGGAGCATCACACTGTGAACATGCCAGGCCACCCTGCCAAGGCTTCCCTCCCACGGAGATCACCAACGGATCCTGCACATGGAGAACCCCTCCACAGCCCGCGGAGGTCATCAACGGATCCTATACATGAAGGAGAGCCTCCACACCAACACGTGCATTAGACCCAAGGGCAGGGACGGACAAGCACAGAGGGGACAGTGCCGCCCAGCGGTCTCCCTCCTGCAGAGCAGTGCCTGGGCTCCATCCCCACCTGAGCTTCCAACCCCGGCTTTGTGCCTGAGCACAGCCAGCAGGCAGCAGGCGACGGGGTAGGTAGCTGGGCTTCTACCAGCTAAGCAGTGGGATATCGGATTCCAATTCTAAGCTCTGGCTTTAGTTTGGCCCAGTCCTGGCTAACGTGGGCATTTAAGACAATGAACCAGTGGCCAGATCTCTGTGCCTGCCTTTCACATAAACAACAACAACAACAACAAAATCTTACAATAAGCACACCTCAGGACTGAACGAAGAACGGAAAGAAAAAAGCAAACTCAGCTGCATCATTTAACAACCAGGGCAGACACAAAGTAATGAGCAGCAGCCAAGTCACTCTGTTGCCATTTTCTGGTTTCATCCAGCCTGACACCAGACAGAAAAGAAATTCCACAATGTTCCGCCTTTGTCTGGAGCACAGTAAGTCCCCAGGAAACCCTGAATAAACTCCTGGGGGTCCCTGGAAACCTGACTCTTCGTGCCCTGTGGACACTTCGTCTCCAAAGTATATCACACGCAGCTGGCATCTCCCGAACAAGCACCGACCCTTCCTGACCGGCCCTCTCCCGCCGGGAACCTCACCTCGCGGCCGCCGCTCGCCTCCCTCTCCGGGCTTACGGTGAACCCGAAGAGCACCTGCTCGTAGCAGCCCGCCACCAGCTCCATGCAAGCGCGCTCCGTGGACCCTGCACAGGGAGGAGAGCCCGCGCTGCCAAGGCTGGCCTCTACAGAGGTCAGCAACGGACCGTGCACAGGCAGAGGACTGCCAAGGCTTCCCTCCCACAGAGGTCAGCAATGGATCCTGCACAGGGACGACAAGTTCCCACTGCCAAGGCTTCCCTCCCAGACTTCTCCGCCGACCCGCACGCCGGGAGGAGAGGGGGCCTTCCTGTCTGCGCGCTCACATTATACGTCATGACCTCAGGCCTGCCTAAAGGCGCCTGTGTCCGTGGAAACGGTGTCAGCGTTCCGAGGTCGCGCGAGCGCCCCGAACGGAGAATTAGGAATGATATGCCACATGAGGTGGTTTCCATCGCAAACAAAAACAAAAACCACGGGGAGAAAAACAGGCATATTCTAGGAAGCTCCAGCAAGCGGAAAAACTCTTGCCCCGACTTCCGTGACGTCACGAAGGGGCGGGGGCCGAGCCGCCTCCTGGGCGGGGCGGGGACGGCGGCCGGGGCTCCCGGGTGGCGGGTCTGTGATGTGGGCCTGAAGGGGAGGTCGAGCCCGGCTCTGGCAGGGCTGACGGCAGGGCTGATGGCAGGGCTGATGGCAGGGCTGACGGCAGAGCTGATGGCAGGGCGGGCTGGTGTTCGCGGTGAGCCGAGCAGGCCCGGGCCGCCTCAGCCGTGGCTGCTCACCGCTCCTTCCAGGCTTGGCCCGGGCGTTCCAGCTCAGGTCAGACTGTCCAGCGTTAATGGCCAGCCCTCCGCACCCCCACTCCCCAGTGGTGGATATTATAACATAGCGAGTGACTGCCCAGGATGGCCACCGCAGGCAGCTCAAAGGAAACCTTTGTGTCCTGTAGACCTTGGCAGCTGCGCGAGGCAGGCCGGCCCAGCCCGAGATGCTGTGGTCACAGTGTGCTCAGTGCTCACTGGACCGCGGCCAGCCATGCTCGGTAGTGACTCCTTGGCTTAGCTCTTGTCCTCAGCAGCCTGTAAAGTCACAGACTCCTCGCGGCGCGCCTCCAGGGTCTTCTCTAACTGTTCCTTGCAGGCTGCACGGCAGTCAGGGAAGCCGCTGAAGAAGTGGCGTCCCAGGGCATGTCCCCTGGGAAAGAGGAAACAGGAAGTCTCCTACGTTATCTTTAAAAGCAGCACCGGGTGCCTTTGAATTCTTGAGGTACCCAGGTCACTTTGATACAGTAATAGTTTCTCCGGATTTTTCTTAAAGCACAAAACTTGGAATAAAGCTCTTTCCAAAACAGATTTTTAAAAAAATATTATGTGGCTTCACGAATGCCCCTGGTACTTGCCTCATTAGCTGGACCGAAACCTCAGCTACTGTTTGAGAAACATTAATATTTGCCTAATATGTTTTTTTTTTTAATGAATTTTAACTTGCCATTGAAATAGGGTAATTCTTGTGAAAAGGACATTTTATTTAGACAAGTAAATCAAGAGCAGTAAAGTTGATTTGTGCAAAATACAATTTACCAATCGGGCAGCCTCAGACTCCCGCCAAGATGAGACCATGTGTGCAGAAAAATGGAGGCCAAGTCCACAGAGTGACCTAATTGGCTAGGGCTTAGTCAGTCAGTCACCTGCTCAGAAGCTTAACTTGTTCCTTGGCTTCAGGGTCTGCTGCACAACTACATTATTTGGGTTATCCAGCCAGAATCCATGGCCTCCTATAAAATTTTGTTTAGCAATATATTGAGTCTGTTAATCAAACTTTTACACTTTACCTATTTTTATTATTTTTCAACAATATTTATGGGCCCAGCATAGTAACCTAGTGGTTAAAGCCCTTGCCTTGCAAGGATCCTATATGGGAGCTGGTTCGTATCCTGACTGCCCCACTTCCCATCTAGCAAACTGCTTATGGCTTGGGAAAGCAGAAAGGGATGGCCCAAAGTCTTGGGGCCATGCATCCGTGTGGGAGACCTGGAAGAAGCTCCTGGCTTCTTGCTTTGTAGCAGCTCAGCTCTGGCTATTGCAGCTACTTGGGGAATGAATCAGCAGATGGAAGATCTTTGTCTCTCCTTTTCTCTGTAAATGTGGCTTTCGAATAAAATAAATAAATCTTTAGAGAGAGAGAGAGATAGTGAATTTCCATCTGCTGGTTCATTCTCCAAATGTCTGTAACAGCCAGGGCTTGAGCAAGGTGGAATCAATAAGGTTCCTGTGTGGCTGATGGAAACTTTGATGGAAGCTCAGCTGCTTGACCCACAGCTGCTGTTTGCCAAGGTCATGACCCGACATTGAACCCTAGCCGTGTGAGGTGGACTTGAGAGTCTTCAGAGCATCTCACCTGTTAGGCCACACCCCACCTCGGGTGCCTCCTTGACAACAGTGGCAAGAGACAGTCTTCTGTTCAAGCTGGAGTCACACAATAAGGTTGGCTGTAGGAAAAACCAGAAACTGATGGAGCCAATCAGATATCAGAGGACTTCATGGCCACTAGTAGAGGTGGGGGCTGGGGGGGGGGGAAGAGGGCAGGCATTGGGTTAATTTCCTGGGTTTTGAATCCCTTGGAGTTCTGCACAAAACTGTAGATGTAAATCTTTGGAGAACTTGATAAACATTTTGAAAGATTAGTGTCTCTAGGGTTGAGACCCACAATTCACTTGTTCAAAATACGGAAATGTGTCCAGAAAAGCGAACTTGAAGAGCGGCTGACAAACTGGCAGGAGAACCAGTACTATTGCCATATTTGATGTTTCCTTGGCCTTGAACATCCTGTTTCACAGAGAAGAAAGCAAGGCATTCTTATGTTATCCATGGCCACAGCAGTCACTTCCTGACTTTTTCAGATTGTAGGTTTTCAATGTCTGGAAAGAAAAAAAAAAATCGGTGCAGAATGATACACTTGTTCACCTGGGTTGGAACTGAGCACACTTCCTCTGAAACGTGTTCTTCCAAACACAGGATGTTAAAAAGCCTTTTCAGTCTGGCGACAGCCGCGCTTGCCAAGGAACAAGCCAACTTGAAAGAGTTCATTCATCAACACAGAAACCCGACAAGATTTCGGTGTGTTCTGTTTTGTTCACTTTTCAAATGAGTGATTGAAAGGCCTTTTGCGCTTGAGCCAAGATCGATGTGTTCATTGTGTCTTTACTGAGGGCTGGCTTCCTGTGATCTGGCCAAGAGAAAACAGCCAGATGCCTTTCTCGGGTGATGGCGTAAGAGCAGGTGACAGCGGCCCAGTGGAGCGCTGCTAAGGGCGCTGGAAGAATCTACCTGCTTTCCCCATGCGACAGGCAGCAGCTCCGTCCACTCCTCAGGCTGGACGGGTTAGGCGGGTTGTCTTCCCGGGCACCTTTGGTTTCTTCTATGGATAGAGCTACAAGAGAGAAAGAGAGAGAGATGGTGCCCTGCTGACCCTGGGCACTGTCCTTAGAGCCCGTCCTGGTGGAAATTTGCCTCAGTCGGCTTCGTGGGACTAACGCGAGTGCAACATGAGGGGTCTGCCTAAGGGGCTTTGACAGAGCAAAACCGTGTGAGTCCTTGCTTGTCACTGCTGTCGACTCAGCATTTGGATCGTTATTCAGTGACACTTAGGAAGGCATGTTGAGGAAGACCCCAGTGTGGTCTATGTGCCGTGGGGTCTTGCAGTGAGAGAGGAGAGCCTGGCTCAGCTCACAGCCTGGGCAGGCAGGAATGCATCGGCAAGGTGCAGGGGGAGCCAGAGGATCGAGACCTGCCAAGAGGGAGACATCCCAGCTAAGGAGGAGCCTGGCTAGTTGGAGCTGACAGCACGCTTGCTGGGGCAGACCAGCATCACCAGATGTTGCCCACAAGAGCTGCAAAGGATGAGGAATGGGGTATGAGGTTGTGCCGATCGGATATCAGGCTGGGGGACCCAGGATACTGGTCTAGCAGGAGTCTTGGCTAAAACTGGTTTCTGAGGGCCTGGCAGAAAGCCCAGGAGCCCAGCTGAAGCTTAAGACGGGGAGGGACTGGCACCACCTCATGCCATATTGGCAATCCTGGGCCCGAGTCCCACTTTGATGGCTCATGATATGGGTTACTGACACCATCATTGAAGAAGTCCCAGGCTGGGTTCAGCGCTCCCAGCTTCAATCTGGCCAAACCCCAGGCTGTTGCAGACATTTGGGGAGTGAACCACACAGTAGTGAAAGATCTCCTGTTTCGCCTGCCTTTTGAATAAATAAAAAGAAGTTTGGCTAACCAATGAATCTGTCAGGATGGAGTTTTCTTGTTCATGACTAGGAAGTCACCTTGATGTCACCTCATAGGCCAAGATAGCTGCAGAGTAACTTGCCTTCCGCCATCACATCTATGATCCCCTCATCACACTAGGTTAGGGGTCAGGATAAACATCTTCCTTCTAGCTGTGCAAATACACTGCCTGCTTAGTTTTCTTCAATCCCCATCCTATGACTCACACGGGCCACCTGGCCACACCTGGGTGCGAGGGGAGAGCCATAAAGTGTAGCCTTTAGCAGCCCTGCGTAGAACCAGGATTCTGTTACTATGGAAGGAAAGAAACCCATCTGGGGTGGGCCCCTAGCAATGTCTGCCCCTGCTGGCAATCAGCATCTCCCTGGAAGACCCAGAGCAGTCCGCTGGGCTACAAGCACCACTGTATACCCGTGCCAGCTGCCCGGCCTTGAAAATGAGGGGTGAGTGACATCATCTGGCTTGTTTCAACTCACTGTGCTCATGATTTTGAAACATTCTAGTAAATATCAAATACATCACAGAAGAGTTACTGACACACTTTATGAAAAAGACTGAACACTGAGGGTCTCTATTTGCACTTGAAGTTTCTCGCTTCGGCACTGCTGCTTGGAAACGGGCGGTGGCGGGCAATGCAGGGATGGATGCTCCCCTGTGAACCTGCAGCCCCAGAGCCCGCCTCGTTAACAAGGCGCCCGAGTAATTGGAGTGTTCAGCGAGGTGTGGGAAGCAGGGCTTTCTTGTGCCTCTTCAAAATAAAGAGCAGTGAGCCGTAGAAGCATTGCTTTCCAATTTTCCCCTGTACGTGTGCTAATGACAAAAGTATGGGACTCTACACTCCCCTGCTTCTTGAGTCTGTAACTGCTTGGCGATAAATAATGAGTTCCATCTGCAAGGGATTAAAAATAAAAGTTTCCAGGTACAAATGCCAACAGTTAACAGATAATTAGGGAGGAGACATCAGGCTACGGCGTGTGTCTTAAGGTTCTAGTTTCTAAAAGTGGCCTTTGGTCTGTTGGGATGGTGGTGATAAAGGGTGGTTGGCAAGGGCTGGTGCTGAGGCCTGGCATGTAAAGCTGCCAGCAGCATGCCAGCATCCCAGAGGGGCACTGGTTTATGTCCTGGCTGCTCTACTTCCTATCCAGCTCCCTGCCAATGAGAAAACAATGGAAGATGGCCTAACTGCTTGGGCCACTGTACCCACATGGGGAATTTTCTGGGAAAGCTCTGGGCTTTTGGTTTGAGTCTGGCCCAGTCTGAGCCATTGTGGCCATTTGGGGGATAAACCAGTGGATGGAATCAATCTCTCTCTCTCTCTCCCACCTTTGCTCACTGTAATTCTGCCTTTGAAAAACAAAAGACTCCACCGTGAACATTTCCCCACGCCGTCCATACCCTGGGTCCCGCTGGCTTCTCCGCGCCTGGCTGGAGAACGCATGTGGGAAGAACAATCTGCAGGCCACCCCAGTGCACCCCGCCCCCACCCACACCTTTGACCTTTGACCCTTTGTCAAGAAGCTCAAGCAGTTGATTGCCTACCAGGAGTAGCCACTCAGCCTAATTGCTCTAGCTCTGGGGTGGTTTTAAGGGGCGTCGGTCAGGCTTTGCCCGCACGCTGGAGTTTTCGTTGCAGAAGTAGGAACCGTGGGCTCTGCTGTCCCAGAAGCTCCTGAGCGCATGGCCAGACGGGAAAGTTTGGCAGGTTGGGGCAGAACTCGGCACAACACCTACTACCGCTGTTGGCCAAGGTGAGTAATGAAAGCCGGTAGCGTTCTGTTCCGTGACGTTTGGCAACTGGCGGTTTGCTCTTGCAGGGAGCTGTTTTTCAGTGGCTAAAGCAGACAGCATTCTTGGAGGGAACTTTCCAGAAGCAAGGAGGAGTGCAGAGGTGGGGGGCGTTGGGGAACCATTATCGTCTCACTGCTAATGCTGGGCACTGCTGTTCTTTCCCCTGCCTGCAGACTGAAGCTGGCATTCCAGCTTAGCCCAGGGTACCAGCATGGCTGCTGGTATGGACGCCAGCATGGCGCATATGTGCTTCCTGCCTACAGCAATGGCTGTGCGAGAGCCAGGGATGGAAACCACCTCCTCCGTGCGTGTGCCATCCCAGAATACGCAGCTGGAGCTTTGGGTATGACCAAGATGCCCCTTGTGAGAGTCGCTCGCTTGCCCAATGAGGTAAATGTGCTTTCCTATCTTTACAGCCCCGTGCTTCTCTGCTTACATTTCCACAGCCACCCGTGGCTTTTTTCCCCTGTTTTACTTTCTGGGAATAGAATTGATGACCTAAGGCGGAAAAGTTCTAATAGATTTCCTGAGCTGTAACTCCTCAAAAAAAAAAAAAAATCAAAACTTCAGTACAAGTTCAATATACTCATTTTTGTGATTTTGGAGTTTAGGAAACTTGACTTGCAGACAGAGAGAAAGTCTTTTCTGTTTTCCAGACACTAAATTGGGTTTGTTTTTACTGTAGCAGCAGACATAAATGTTGTTGTATTTGTTAAGCTTTTTTTTTTTCCCACCACAAATCCGAAAGCCAGACAAGTCACTCAAGGAGGTCTTTATTTCAGCAGGGGAAGTGGCCACGGGGTGGAGAGAAAGCAGAAGCAGACAGAAGAGCAGAGAGAGAGAGCAGGAGGAAAAAAAGAAAAGGGCAGAGGCATCTTTATAGCCTCCAGGTGGGCATGGGGGTGCCAGGTCAGGGATTGGCACCCCACACATGAGATGAACCCCGGGGTAAATGCCTCCATGGATTGCTGCAGCGCAGTCTAAACCTGAAGGTCACTCAGCTTACTTAGGCAAGTGGGCCTTAAGGGGGCCGAGACCTAGGAGATTTATGGTAGTGCTGGGTAAACAGGTACTCAAGGGGACCAAAAGCTAGGGGATTTAAGGTAGTGCTGGGTCTTGGGACGTGGGGGTCAGTGCGGGGATGCTATTTGAGTCTGTTCTTACAGTATTTCTAAACCACGTGGAAATAAGCTGAAGAGAGAGCTGAAGTGTCTCTTCCCTTCTCCCCGCTGGAGGAACACGTGATGGCTGTGGGTCTGTGTCTTTTAGCTCTTCCCGGCTAAGCTAGCTAAGTACAAGTGGCCAGGCTGGCTTTCTGGCGGGGAATGGAGGATGTACAGTGGAGGAGAGCTGTTGGATGGAGTGGTCCTTCCTGCTTTGCCTCTGCCTGTGGGTGTTGCTGTAAAAACTGCCTGGGTTGAAGTCACTGTCGGCCCCTCCCTTATCTGACATTTGTGAGGTTCCAGCCTCCGGAGGTGGGAGGGCTGGCTGACCTTGTGACTGCGGTGTGAGTTTGCAGTCTGTGCCTGGGGCCGGAGTGCTTGCTCCATCTACATTGCCTGGGACAGTTTAGCCAGCGGGATGGCAAGGAGGGCACGTGGCTTGAAGGGTAAAGATCTGTTAAGGGGTTCGTTGGCATTCCTGGGCCCTTTGCTGAGGTCCTTTGCTTCTGTCATTTTTCTCCCGTTATGTATGTGCAGTGGTGTTTTCTGCTTGAGGAATACCAAACTTCAGCTTACTATCTCCACTCTTGATGTTTTTTTTTTAATTTGTTTAATTTTTTTTTAAATTCATTTGTATTCATTTGAGTGTGGTCAAGAGGCAGATAGACAGACACAACCCCTATTTTCTGGTTTATTCCATCAAGTTGCCTGTGACCTCCAGGGCTGTGCCATGCTGAACCCAGGAGCTGGGAACCAAATCTAGATTTCCCGACACACATGGCGGGCCAAGTACTGGAGGCATTCCTGCTACCTTCCAACCTGAGCAGGAACTTAGGCAGGCAGCCCACGCTCAAAGCCCAGCACTGACACAGGGTGCAGGCAGCCCACGCTCAAAGCCCGGCACCGACACGGGGTGCAGGCAGCCCACGCTCAAAGCCCGGCACCGACACGGGGTGCAGGCAGCCCACGCTCAAAGCCCAGCACTGACACGGGGTGCAGGCAGCCCACGCTCAAAGCCCAGCACTGACACGGGGTGCAGGCAGCCCACTGGCGTCTTGGCTGCTGTGCCAAGCACCTGCCTCCAGCTCTCGGTTCTTAAAACCTGTATTTTCTTGACAGATTTTGACCCAGAGTTTTTGTTTTTGTTTTCTTTTCCCTGAAACTGTTTGACTTGTGCCTCTTGTATAGAGCATCTTGTTAATTTTATTTTTCTTTCAGCAGATGTTTGATACTATGTCACTTTTTCCCTTTTCTCTTTTTTAAAATTTTTCCACTGTTGTCTGGATCTTAGCACAGTTTTTTTTTTTTTATCCTTTCCTTTCCATTTTTTTCCTGGTTCTTTTTGGGCTCGTCTTTCTGGCTACTTATGGCTACTTCTGAAGACTTATTTGTTTTTATTGGAAAGGCAGATTTACAGAGAGAAGGAGAGACAGAGAAATCTTCCATCTACTGGTTCACTCCCCAAATGGCCAAAATAGACAGAGCTGAGCCGATCAAAAGCAAGGATCCAGGAGCCTCCTCCAGGTCTCTCACATGGATGCAGGGTCCCAAGGCTTTGGGCCGTCCTCCACTGCTTTCCCAGGCCACAAGCAGGGAGCTGGATGGGAAGTGGGGCAGCTGGGACACAAATTGGCACCCGTAAGTGATGCCAGTGCTTCCAGAGAGATTGGCCAACTGAGCCATCGCACCAGCCCTTACTGAGGATGACTTCTACATCTTGAAATAGGGAAAGTATAAGCTAGGAGTGTATTGTCTACTTCAGCAATAACAAGTTTTTCTTTCCACTCATAAGAACTTGAGAAAATTTCCTGGGGCCAGGCTCTTGTGATGCCAGTATCCCAGAATCCCTCTTCCCAGAATTCGCTTCCTGCTAACGCACCTGGGGAAGCAGCAGATGGCCCAAGAGCTTGTCCTCTGCCATCCCCGTGGGAGACCTAGATGCAGCTCCGGGCTCCTGCCTAGGCCCAGCCCAGCTGTGGCTGCTTGGAAAATAAAGGGGTAGCTGAAAGTTTGTCTCCACCTCCTCCTTCTCAACTTGCCTTTCAAATAAATCTTCAAAACAAATGAAAACCAACGTCCCCTCTTCCTCATTCTGCAAAACCCTTCTGTCTTGTTCTTCTTGGCACATGCTGGGATTTTTTTTTTAGTTCCTTCTCCAGTTGGAGTATGCCTGCGTCAGGCATTCTAGCCTTCTTGTGGCCATGCTCAGCTATCTGCCTGCCGTGCTGCTGGGTGTTGCTTCCTGGCAAGCCGGGCAGCCAGTGGAAGAACAGAAGGCTCATGGTGGGTCTTGTCCTCACTTTGGCCTTTTCCTAAGAAATTGTGTTTGCTGTGAGGTACCAGGGCCCAGCGTCCTGTTTCCCCCAACGCACACACACACACCCCACATAGCACCCCCCCATCCCTTCTGCGTTGGCCTCTATTCCTAGCTCTTATCTCCAAATTAAGGGGTTGCATCCCCAGAGTGCCCTGTCCTTGACATTAGGGGAAGTAGATGGCTTGGACGTATGTTTCAGGTCTTTAGGATCCGTCAGCATAGCCTTCCTGGGCTATCACAGTGACACCTGTTGTAGACAGGCTGTCCCCATGCGCAGCCGCAGTGTGTCCTGCCCAAGGCGCCCTCAGACCGGGGCGAATGCTCTGTCTCCACACAGTGTCAGCTCCCGCAACCCAGGACTTCAAGGAACTCAACTGACAGGAACACACAGAACCACAGGGTTGCTTGTTCAGTGTGTTCTATATAGGAAAGGCCTCCCTTAAGCCCAGGTTCTTGGCTCCTTTCTTAACTCAGTGCAGTTTGGTGAAATGTGTGGTAACTGTATCCTTTGTTTTCTAAACCAGGATGTATTTCAGAGTGAAGACAGGTGCTTTCAGGTGGTGAATCTTCATCTCCATTTTTGCCTTGCTAATGAAGGGAACCTTAAAAGCAAGCTCACCAGCACTGTGAGCCGTAGCATCCCTTTCTGGATAGGGTAGACCTTTGAGGACAGAGGGGCGTGCTTAGAAAAGATGAGTTCCTAGCAGGTGCCCAGAGAAGGGAGTCACAAGTACATTTGCTGCTGCAGCATGGCTAACGGGTTCCACATCATCCAGTTGAGACAGACTTCACGAATGCTTCTGGAATTCTCTCGTGGTGTAAGAGTGCGATGGATTGGTCTGGGTCTCCATGGCCTGCACCCTTCATGGAGCACCCGGCATCCTGGGTGTGTTCTCAGCCAGGGGTGAAGGCGTGAAGAGGATGGACTTGTGGGGTCTATGCAGGTTGTCTCTGGAGGGAAGGAAAGGGAAGCCTTTGATGGGCTTGCTGCATCTTTGTGCCTTTTCTTGTGCCTCAGTTTACCCATTCCATAACTGCGGTATTATCATTGAAAGCTTCTGCTCAGAGAAAAACAAATGAAATTTGATCTATAGGGGGAAATGAGCACTTTAGACATTGTTGAGCTATAAATTGCCAGCTCATCCCCATTGCGTGCATTGAGTTTAAACATGTAGATAATAGCACTTGTTCTTAAGGGACTGATTTTCATCATAGGAAACCACAGGTCTGGCCAAAAACCAAGATGAAGACCCACTGGAAGGTAAGGCAGGCCTGGTGTAGGGGTGGCTGAAAACAAAACCAAACCCCACTTCTAGTTTCCTCTTCCCCTTCACCTGTTAGAAACTAAACTTCATTTCTAGGTTCCTCATTCACTAGTTAGAAACAGAACCCCTATTGGAAAATGTCAACACTCATGTGCCTAATCTGTCTGTGATAACTGATAATCTGCCTGCTGGCATGAGCTGCTGCTTGGGGAACTATGTGAGCACGCTTCACTCACCGGGTCCTACCTCCTGCGTCAGAAAGTAGATGCAGTACCAGGAGGTGCCTGTGGCCTTGACCGCCCAGCTTGCTCCAGGGTGGTCGGCATCCAGGGTCCTCTCGTAGCAGCTTATGCCAGTGCTGCTTGGTTTTCTTGGTCTGTTTGTCCAAGGAGGGCCCTGTATCTACATGCATCTTATCTGAGGAAGGGAAGGAAGTGAGCTGCTTCGTTCAGTACAGTTACAAGAAAGAGGAACGGCAATACGGGGAGCAGGTCTGTGCTTTGGAGGGTCCCTGTGATCTCCTTCTCCAACAGAAGCCCCTGTCCCCTCCAGACACACCCACGTTCATGGCTTTGGTGATTTATATGTATGTTTTATAGATATGTCAGTCTCTGTGACCCCGCCTGCGATGGCCAACAGCATTTGCATGTTAGTAGATGCTCAATGTTGAAATGAAATGAACTTAATACATTGTAAAGACTGGTGTATTTGAAAGTCAGAACTACATAGGGTTAAAGTTCTCGCCTTGAACGCCCTAGGATCCCATAAGGGCACCAGTTCTAATCCTGGCAGCCCCACTTCCCATCCAGCTCCCTGCCTGTGGCCTAGGAAAGCAGTGGAGGACGGCCCAAAGCCTTGGGACCCTGCACCCACTTGGCAGACCCAGAAGGAACTCTTGGTTCTTGGCTTCAGATCAGCTCAGCTCCAGCCATTGTAGCTGCTTGAGGAATGAACCAGCAGATAGAAGATCTGTCTGTCTCTCCGTAAATCTGACTTTCCAATAAAAATAAATCTTTAAAAAAACGAAAGAACTACATAGAGAAAAGGGGAGTTGGATCTCCCTTCCACTGTCTTAGTCTCTCGATGGCTACAATAGCCAGGGTTGTACCAGGCCAAAGCCAGGAGCCACAAGTTTCATCTGGGTCTCCTCAGATAGATGTAATAGGGGCTCAATTACTGTTCCATCTTCTGTTGGTCTCCTGGGGGCATGAGCAGGCAGCTGCATCAGAAGTGGAACAGCTAGGATTCAAACCGGCACCCACATGAAGTGCTGGCGTCACAGGTGGCAGTTTAGCCCACTGTGCCACAAAAGTGACTCACACTGATTGATTTCAAATTACATACTTGATATAATTAATTACATCAATATACCAATTATATCAAATATATATATTTCAAATTATAAAATTTGAAATCTTCCTAAGCTATCAGGTGGTTCTCGTTTTTAGTACTATGATTTACATAGGAACTAAGGGTGTTTATTTCAGTGCCGGGGAATTTCTTTGAGGTTAGAGTGTAAGCCTGCTCTGCCTACCTTAATCAGATCATCAGTTATGCAGATAATCTACAACAAATGGAGTGAAAAAGACCCCCTCTGGATCCAGGCTCGCACTTACAAGCCCTACAATTCCAGAGAAATGTCTGCAGGGTGGTGTTGGTCTCCCCTTCTGCAATGGGAAGACATAAAACATGTGTGAGGATGATACCTAAAGTGTAGCTGTATTCTTTTTTTTTTTTTTTTTTTTTGGAAAGTGGATCAAATTTTGAGGGAGAAGAGACAAAGATATTACATCTGCTGGTTCACTTCCCAAATGGCCACAACTTCCAAAGCTGAGCCAATCTAAAGCCAGAAGCCAGGAGCTTATTTTGGGTCTCCCAAGTGTGTCTGGGCTCCCAAGACTTTGGGTTATCCTTGGCTGCTTTCCCAGGCAACAAGCAGAGAGCTGGATGGGAAGTGAAGCAGCTGGGACATGAACCGGTGACCATATGGGATCCTAGAAATTTCCAGGTGAGGATTTGGCCATTGAGCCATTGTGCTCGGCCCACGTCTGCGTTTTCCTGAATGGTTTCTGACATATAGTAATCCCTCAACTGTCAGCTGGCCATCAGTCTGGCGTAACACTGTCCAGCAGAAATGCACTAGGAAGCCACCCACACAAGGAATGTTATACCTTCTAGTAGGCCAGTTCTAAAGAAGAGAAAAATCCAAGAGACAAGTACAATTTTAATACTTCATCTAATCCATCCATTACCAACTAAATGTTTGTGTCCCCTAAATTCGTGCTGGCCCGAAGCCCCCAAGGTGAAGGTTTTGGGAGATGAGTTTTCTGGAGCTGAGCAGGGTAAGATGAGGTGGTGAGGCTGGAGCCCTCGGGAATGGGATTGGTGCCTGCATAGAAGCCACGAGTGTGCTGTATACTTTCAGAGGGCTCCATCTGGGGAGGGCGCAGCATCCAGCCTGTTTGTACCCAAAAGGCCTTCACCAAAGCCTAACCATGCTGGCACCCTGACCTTGGCAACTGTGGAAAGACTGTGTCCTGTTACTACTTTTTTTTTAAGGTTTATTTAATCTTATTGGAAAGGCGGATTTACAGAGAAAAGGAGAACACAGGTCTTCCATCCACTGATTTACTCCCTCAATGACTGCAACGGCCAGAACTGAGCCAGTCCAAAGCCAGAAGCCAGGAGCTTCTTCTGGGTCTCCCACGTGGGTGCAGGGTCCCAAGGCTTTGGGCCGTCCTCCACTGCTTTCCCAGGCCACAAGCAGGGAGCTGGATGGGAAGTGGAGCAGCTGGAACATGAACTGGCACCTCTTTGGGATGCTGGCATCCCAGATGGTGCTCAACCCACCGCATTGCCGGCCCCGTTGTCTCAATTCTCAAGAGGAAATACAGAAGGCTCCTGCACACTTGGCTGGGCCTACTGTGGCTCACACAGTCTGTTTTCTCACAGTTCTTGGGGGCTGGAAATCTCCATTGACCCAATTTCTGGTAGATTTGGTGAGGCCCCTTCTGGGCTGAGAGCCCCACCTTGCTGGGCCCCCTGGGGACTTCTTGGTATGTGTAGGCTGGAAAAGAGAACTGAGTTTCCTCATGGAATTCCATCATGACCCACCCTTATGAAGGCCCCCTTCACATTGGAGGGCAGGGCTTCCACTGGGGAGTGGGTGGCAGTGGGGGGCTTGGGACACACACATGTGCACCCCGAGAGGCATGCAGATAAACAGCATGAATCCTCCACAGTGTTAGGAAGCAAATTGTCATCCCAAGTGGATTAAGGCTCACCGAAGATGTGGCTTTTTCAGTTATGTCCAGATCTAGGAGATGAAAAGGTAGATTAAATACTTTAAAAAAAAAAAAAAAAGACCTGGGGACCTTTGGAAATCTGCCAGCTTGAACTGACAGTCACCTCTACTGCCTTCTTGGTAACTGCACACCAGCCCCTGTCACAGGGCTTCAAGTTCAAGTTTCAAAGATAAGAGGCCAGGTCCTCCTGTTTCTCAATTACAACAGGTGTGTGAACCAAGCAGCTAGTCTTCCAACGGCCAGCCCTAAGACCCCTGGTGTGGGCTCAGTGTTTGGACCAACAGATGCCCCGAACTTGAAGCTCATCACCAGCTCTCCCCTTCATTTTGTGTTTTCCCTACATTGATTTCATCTCCAAGGCCTCTCTTGGATCTGCTTGCTTTTCTCCCTCCCTGTCAGCACCTCTGTGCTTCTGGGGCCGTGATGCCACTTCCTTCACGGCTTAAGTCTCTCTTTTCAAGAAGCCTTTTGGAAACACAACATTTACACATGTTAAATGCCTCATATTTCCTGCTAAGGCTAGTCCAAAAGTCTCGCGTTTGGCCCATTCCAGATGGCCAAATTCTGGTTTCAAATTCATGTTGGTCATTGGCTTCTACAGATCCCAACCTTCATTTGAATGTGGAAGCATTAAACAAAGAATTTATGGCCAAAAGTGAAGAACTCTACGATCTCCTCATGAACTGTCACTGGCAGCCTCTGGACTCGGTTGAGTCGAACATCCCGGACAACAGCCTGGAGTGAATTCGGGCATTCATTAAACTCCCCAGTGGTTGGATTCTTTTTTTTTTTTTTTTTTTTTTGAGGGGGAGGGAGTTGTCCCAGGAATATTCTGGATTCTGCAAATAAATATAAACTTCCTAGACTCAAATGTGATTGACATGATAAAATAGTATGTGAAATATATTTTGTCACTTTTTTTTTAAGATTTTTTTTTATTACAAAGTCAGATATACAGAGAGGAGGAGAGACAGAGAGGAAGATCTTCCGTCCGATGATTCACTCCCCAAGTGACCGCAACAGCCGGTACTGATCTGAAGCCGGGAACCAGGAACCTCTTCTGGGTCTCCCACATGGATGCAGGGTCCCAAGGCTTTGGGCCATCCTCGACTGCCTTCCCAGGCCACAGGCAGGGATCTGGATGGGAAGTGGAGCTGCCGGGATTAGAACCGGCGCCCATATGGGATCCTGGGGCATTCAAGGCAAGGACCTTAGCTGCTAAGCCACGCCACCAGGTCCAGTAATTTTTTTTTTAAAGATTTATTTTATTGCAAAGTCTGATATACAGAGAGGAAGATCTTCTGTCCAATGATTCACTCCCTAAGGGGCCACAACGGCTGGACTTTAACCACTAGGCCGCCACGCTGTTTCACTGTTAGAAGTGTATTAAGTCAGTTCCAGAGCTCCTGTGACTCATGGGGAATGTGCTGGGCTGTAAGACATTAGAGGATATGTTGAGTGAGTTGGGTTTGAGCTGAGTCCACTCGGGCCTGAGCTACCCTGGTGTTCCTGTGGTCGGGTGACACAAGCTCGCACGTGTCCTATCTGGAAGATCCGAGAGCTTTCAAAGTTGAGAGCTGTAGTGCTCTCCTCTGTTTGCTCACTCCCCCAGTTGTCTCTAGGGACTGGAACTGGAGTCGGCCAAAGCTGGGAGCCAAGGCTACAGTCTCTCTCCCATGTGTGCATCAGGGCCAGGGACCTGAGCCATTGTTGCCTCCCAGGGTCCACATTAGCAGGAATCGGGAATTGAGCCGGGATTTGAACCCAGGTTTTCCAAGTGTGGATGGTGAGTGGTCCAAGTGGAAAATATTTGCCTGTTTTACATTTTGAAAAGACAGAGATGTTGATTTCCTGTCAGCTATAGCACTCTCCAGTTGCCGGCAACAGGTAGGGCTAGGCCAGGTCAAAGACAGAAGCTGAAAACTCCATCCATGTTCCCCTCATCCCCCCGGTGGCAGGAACTCAAGTGCTTGGACCATCCCTGGCTAGCTTCTACAGTGCCCGTTAGCAGAAAGCAGGACTGGAAGCAGGATACTTAGAACTTGAGCTAGCACCCAATATGGGATGTAGGTTCCCCAAGCGAGAACCCGACTCTTATACCAAATGTTTACCCTTGAACTGGAAGTTTGAGCTCCATTTTCTGACCCTCCAGTATGCTCTGTGAAGTAGCTCTGCAGGAGGGAAGAAGGGACAGTGAAGATGAATTGTCTGTACTGAATGTGAATCTTGTGACTTGAAGTCTAGAAGACCAGAAGTAGAGTTGATCGGACTGTGTACACTGAGAAAGCCAGCCTTCTCTTCTGAAGGTTGCCTGACCGATACTAACCCTTGGGCTAATGGGGCTCGAGCACCCACATTCCATGTCGAGGGCTAGGTGGCCTACGGCTGCCAGAAAGTGGCTTCCTCTGCCTGATGGCATGGACCAGGTCTCTGCCAGAAAGTGGCTTCCTCTGCCTGATGGCATGGACCAGGTCTCTGCTAGAAAGTGGCTTCCTCTGCCTGATGGCATGGACCAGGTCTCTGCCAGAAAGTGGCTTCCTCTGCCTGATGGCATGGACTAGGTCTCTGCCAGAAAGTGGCTTCCTCTGCCTGATGGCATGGACCAGGTCTCTGCCAGAAAGTGGCTTCCTCTGCCTGATGGCATGGACCAGGTCTCTGCCAGAAAGTGGCTTCCTTTGCCTGATGGCATGGACCAGGTCTCCCAGTCCCGGCACTAGTTGCTTTTTGGGGCCCAGCCAATGCCTTCCTCCCAGGACTGTCTTGAGCATGGTCCTGCTCTCTACCCACTAGATGTCAGTAGCATCCTTGTACCCCTGATGTGACAACTAGAATGTCTGTGGACAGTGCCCAGGTCCCCCGGAACCACTGGAGTAGGGTTAGATGTTTGGATGTTTTTCAAACTGGATCAGAATCTTTCGGAAACCTTGTGATGTGTATGTTTATTATACATTATAAATATATAAATAAACTTGTGTGTATGTGTGAGTATATGTGTATACCTATAGCTAGTTAGGGAAAGGCTGAGTTAGAGATCTTCCGACCACTGACTGACCTGCCTTGCATGACCACAGCAGCCAGAGCTGGGCCAGGCTGAAGGCAGGAAAGCCAGGAACACCGTGCAGGTTTCCTAATTGGGTGCCAGGTCCTAAGCCCTTAGGCCATCTTACCCTGCTTTCCCAGAAACAGATTCTTAAGCATCTTCCTGAAAATTAGATTCAACCGATGTGGGGTAGCACCCAAAGATTTTCAGTTCTCTAAAATGTTTCTGAGCAGTGATGCCGCTGTTGGTGTAGATACCGCACTGTGAAAACCACAGGCCCAGGGAAATCTTCGACTAGCTTCGTTTCGCTCTATCTAGGGCAGCAAGATGAACTTCCTGTTTCATGTTGCCATCCCTGACGTACAGTGTGCAAGCACCCCCTTTCCCCAACAGCACCCCAAAGCTCTGACTTACCAGGGATCCACCCCCCTGCTCCAGCCATGTGTGTGCTTGGAACCCAGGCCCAGCCCAGGCTGTTCCTCTTCGCAGGGTCTGAGCTCTGCTGCTGGTGATCAACATAGAGAAAAGATACTGGCTATGAACTTGGAGGAGAAATTTTCCCCCTTGGCTTTCAAGGAAGAAACGAGACAGTTGTGTTCTATTCTGAGGATTGAGTTTAAATGTGAAACCTGGCGATGTGGTGGCTAGTTTATGATTTTAAAATGCCAGCGCTGCAGGTGTGGCAGGAGAGAAAGGTGGAAAGGACCTGAATTTACCACATCGGCGTTGAGCTGTGGAATTAGCCAACTTTGGGGGCTTTCTGCATCTCGACTTGTTAACACACAGATGTTCCTCAATTCACAACAGGGTTCCATCTCCAAAAACCCTTCGGTACATTAAAAATACAAGTTGGGAAGGAGCTCCATGTAGCTGACTTACAGACCACCACAGCTCAGCAGGTCCCACACATGCTCAGATCTCCTAGCCTGCCCATGGGAGAACTTGTTGAGTAGTTCACTGACACACAGATGGGCAGACATGGGCAAGAGTTTGCAGGGCAGGACTGTTTTCAGAAAAACAGCGGCAGCACCACATGCTGCAGAGCAGGGGTTGTTGCTATCCCTGGTGACCCTGGGGACTGACTGGGAGCCATGGTCACTGCCACTGCCCCACGGGGTTACGGAGGGTCAGACTGCCTGGCGCTGACAGCCCTGGGAAAGATCGCAAGTCTGACCTAGCTGGGCTGGGCTGGGCTGGGCCTAGCAGTTGAAATTCCTGCATTGTACATCAGAGTGCCAGCGGTCCATGCCCGCCTCTGGCTCCTGACTCCAGCTTCCTGCTAATTCAGACCCCAGGGAAGCAACAATTGACAGCTCAAGTGACTGAGGCCCCCCCACCCCCCCATGTGGGATGCCTGGACTGAGTTTCTGCCTCCCAGCTTTGACTAGCGCAGGCCTGCTTGCACGGAGGGCAGGGGGAGGCATCAGTGGATAGGAACTCTGTCTCTTTGCTTCCCAATAAATAAAGCTTTAAATTCAACATTCTAAGCCTAGCTTCTACATCCTAGTCAAGCGGAAAGATTGTAAGTCAGATCATCCTCATTTGGGCACGGTTTCTATTACCTTTTTAAACTCTTAATTTTTGTTCCTGGTAGCAAAAACGTCCCAACAGACATACATAGCATGTGTACAAAGGGGTTCGTGCCCTTAAGAGAGCTGTCTCTGTCTGGGGCTGTGAATGAATTAAGCCTTTTTTAAGTTACTTCCTGTCTTACATCAGACACATTTCAAACGCTTAATCCCAGAAGCAAAAAGGAACTACCAAATTAGGACACACGCTGCACCAGTATTTCTGTTGTAGCAGCCTTGAGTCGCACTAATAGATCAGGACATGGGGTCAGGTTAGTTTCTTATCCTTTACCCAGTCACTTTTTCCCCCATCCTCTCCTCCATGACCTTTTAAAGTTCATTTGCATCTATCTGAAGTGCAGAATGCGGGGGAGAGAGAGATCTTCCATTTTGCGTTTCACTCCTCAAATGGCCACAACACTCAGGCATGAATTAGGCGGGAGCCATGGGCTTCATCGGGGTCTGCATGTGGGACGCAAGTCCTTGGGTCACCTCGTGCTGCCCGCCAGGGTGCATGTCGGTAGGGAGCTGGACCAGAGGTAGTGGAGCTAGGCAGCTGCTTAACCCACACGCCTGCACTGCCCATACATAAATATATAGATGCTTATATATTTATTTGTATAAATATATATTTATGTAAGTAGATATTGTATAATCTGTATGAGTATACTTGTATGAATATATACATATATACTTATGCAAATATACACACTTATTGAAATTATGCTATACCTTCCCTGTCCGCTCCGACTCAGCTGAGTAGCTGGGCTGTTGAACCACGTTCCAATACGGTCCCATATGGGATGCTGGGTGTGCAAGTGGCAGCCTCGCCTACTGTGCCACAACGCGTTACTCTGTCACAAGCCCACCCTCACCCTCACCAGGCTTTTCTGCTGTCTGATCGGACCCCCAGGCTCTCTTGTTGATATTACCCTTTCCATTAGCCCTGCCCCCTCACCTCACCAAAAAAGAAGAAATTCTCTAACTGCCGTGGCCTGAGTGCGCCCGAATGAATCGCCTGAGCGGCCACGTCCTTGCACAGCCCGCTGGTGCCAGGGCTGAGGCTGGCTCCCGCAGCTGGGAGGCCAGCAGAAGCCCACGCAGGAGTTTTGCCATGGGCTGAGTGGCTCATCACAGCATTTCCAAAGTCAGTGATGTTCTCAGAGCGAGAGGGAAGCTGAGGCAGGGCACTGTAGGAGATCAGCGTGGTCGCCTCCCCCAGGGGCTCCAGAAGTTCATGGAAAACTATGAGAAACCAACAAAACCTCTGTGGAGCTCCTTCCGTTTCTTTTCTCCCGAAGCTGCTGAAGTCCCCTTGTATTTTTCAGTTTTGCCAGCTGAAACTTGCAAACTTGTGGCAATAGCAGACCCAGGGGGCGCTCTGCCGTACTTCACTGTTGTTGGTTTTTCATAGTACTCAGTGACTGTGCCTTTCAGATAGACACCGTCAAAGCTTAAGTGAAGTTCTGCTTTTCTCTTTCCTCAGAGGCGGTAAAGGGATAGCAATCTTTCCTGCCCTGCGGAACTGTCGGGGGGCCTCTAGACCTCACAGGGATCCCAGGAGAAACCTGCCACTGCCCAGGCTCACCCCGAGCGTGTTGCCGATCCTACTGAACCCATCTTCAACATGGTTACGCTAGGATTTGGCAGTCAAATGGAGGCAGCAGAACCAAAGCAGCAGGGAAAACATTTGAATCTAGTAAAGCAAATATTAGAGAAATGTTTTCTTGCGTACTTAAACAGCCAGTGTAATGTGCGTTAACGTTCTCAGCTCTTCTCCTAGCGTGCAGAAACAGCCATAGGCAATGGAGAAATGAATGAACTTCACTGAGTTCGAACAAATTTTTATTTACAATAATAAGAAACAGATTTGGCCTGGACGGTCTTTTTTTTTTTTTTTTTTTTTTTGCCGATCCTTGGTCTACTGGGATGCCCTTGAAAAGTTTCAAATAAAAATTGTAGTTGTAGAAAAACTTAGTCAAAACTTAGCCAAATTATGAGTATTTCTTAGTGCACAAAAAACCTAGAGGGCACGGTCAGTGGTCTTTCTAGAGTCAATAAAATATATAGATTTATAAGGGACATGCATTCTGAATGAATACTTACAAGTTGGTTGATGAGTGATGGTGCTTCCAAAATTTTAGGCAATATTGTAATTTAAGTTTGGTGAGGCAGCAGTATACAGGAATGCTTTCAGAAGTTCATGGAAAAGGGAGATAAAGGATAAATTTACAAGCCAGTGTGGTGGTGCCCCCGGCTGCAGCACTGGCTGTTCCACTTTCAACCCAGCTTCCTGCTGATACCTGGGATGGCAACAGTGGGTGACCCAAGTCCTTGTGCCTCTGCCACTCACGCGGGAGACTAGAATGCAGTTTCAGGCTCCTGGTCTGGCTGATTGAGAAGCAAACCAACAGACAAAAGTTCAATCTCTCTCTCTTTCTCGCTTCCTCTCTCTTTCCACTCCTTCCCTCCCTCTGCTCTCTGTCCCTCTGTCTTTCAAACAAATAAATAGATCTTTTGTTTAAAATATCTGAATGGGTCAGACTCATGCACCAGCCCACATGGCAATCTGGAGTTAGATTTGTTAGCATGGAACATGGCTGACCACCTCACGCCAGTCCTAGACCTTATGGAGCTGTACCATAAAATTCAAATAAATAAATAAAGAAAGAAGGGTAGGGAAATCCCAAATACTATAGAATTATACCATAAAATTCAAAATAAAATAGAAAAACCTTATATATACTAAAAAAAAAAAAAAAAAAAACCCTGCCTTTGCTTCTAATCCAACTTCCTGCAAATGCACCAGGCAGGAGCAGGTGGTGCCTAACTGCCTGGGTTCCTGCTCCCCATGGGAGAGGCCCAGGTGGAGCTCTAGGTTCTTGGCTTTGGCTGGCATAGACCCAACTGTTGCATAGACCCAACTGTTGGGAAGTGAGCCAGCAGAGAGAAGACTCTTTCTCTGTGTGTCACTTTGCCCTTCAGATATGTACATATATAACTACATATTTCTAAATGCAAAAGCAACCTTGTATTCATCACAATGGATGACTTATGCCCAGAAAAATGTATTTCTGGTGGAGATCAATTTTACTGTATTAAGAATGAGAAAAACCATTGAGCCAATAGGATTCAATCCCACTTCTTAGGAGGTGAATTTAGGATTGTGTGAACCAGTAGTTAATAGACACTTGCTTATGGCTGAGTAACCATTGGAGAGGCGGCTGGGAGGATTAAGCTGTTATGATTAAAGAGATCGAGCAGATGCTGGGGTGTAGCCGGTTAAACCCTAACCGTAACCCTATAGCACCAACAGCCCATTTGAGTCCTGAGTTTGAGCACTACTGCTGTACTTCCAATCCAGCTCCCTGCTGGTGTACCTGGGAAAGCAGTAGAGCATGACCCAAGTGCTTGAGCCCCTGTACCTACGTGGGAAATCCAGGCCAAGTTCCAGGTTCCTGGCTTCGACTTGGCCCAGAACCAGCCATTGTGGAGTGAACCAGCAGATGGAAGATTTCTCTCTGTGCATAACTCTTTCAAATCCATGAATAAATCATTTAAAAATAAGAAGAAAAAGTGCCGAGAACGAATCCACTGCGTCCTTCAGGCAGTGCGCTGTAGTGTACGCACACTGACGATGCAGGATGTTTTGGGATCCATCGATGATATACTTCTGGTCCTGCCTGGATTTTAGCTGGCATCTGAGCAGCATCCATCCTGGCCTAGCAGGAGCCCTGAGATGGGATCAGGTTTAGAGACAGAGTAGGGGGGTGTGTGCGTGAGACATGGTATCATGGGTTAAGCTGTTGTCTGCAATGCCAGCATCCCATATGAGCACCAGTTCAAGTCCCAGCTGCTCCACTTCTGATCCCACTCCCTGCTGATGTGCCTGGGAAAATAGCAGAAGATTGCCCGAGGGCTTGGGTCCCACTCCTATGTGGAAGATAAAGAATGGAGCTACAAGGTGGTGAAAGCAGCTGCTCTCTACAGAGAAGGTCTAGTCCAGGTAGGGTGTCGTAGGCCCACCCTGCCCCCTGCTGTGGTTACCCATATCGGGCTTGGAAAAGCACGCTTTTGAAGCAACTTGATCGTTTACATTTCTTGTGTTGGTAAAATAACATGAAACTGGTCATTCCGACTGCCACCGAGTGTACGGTTGCGTGGCTTGCTGTGTTTTCACGTGACCGTGCATCCTTCGTCACCATCCCATCTCCCCAACTCTGTCCCCTTCACATGGTGACACCGCATTCTCGTTCCCCCAACCTCAGTAAGTTTGAGTAAGCATTCCATAGACGCAGAACCTTGTATCATTTACCTGACTGTGAGGGGCTTATTTCACTTAGCACCACATTGTGGAGGTTCATCCGTGTTAGATTATGTGTAAGCTCCCTTCATCTTTCAGGATCAATCGTCTTGCCTTGAACGCATCTACCACATTGCGTGCATTCATTCATCTGATGGTGGAGGCTGGGGTGATGGCAACCTCATGATTATTGCAAGAAAGGATGCTGGGCTCGAGCCCCAAGCACTCTAAGCCATTACTGCTGTCACTCATCAAGGTGCCAGTTGGTCATGCGCAAGGCCAGACCTTCACCAGCCCAGAAGCCAGCTCCTCTGTTTCTTTCTACTCTGGTGACCACAAAGCCAGACTTATTTCCAGAGATTTCTCAAGATTTCAAGTGTTTGGGCCAAGCATGGTAGCCAGGTGCCTAAGGTCCTAGCCTTGCTTGCACTGTGATCCCATATGGGCAGTTTGTATACTGGCTGCTCCACTTCCTGTCCAGCTCCCTGCCTGTGACCTGGGAAAGCAGTGCAAGATGGCCCAATGCCCTGGGACCTTGACTTGCCTGGGAAACACAGAAGATGATCCTGGCTCCTGACTTCAGATCAGCTTAGCTCCAGCCATTTTAGCCACTTAGGGAGTGAATCAGCAGATGGAAGATCTGTCTGTCTCTCCTCTGTAAATCTGACTTTCCAATAAAAATAAATAAATCTTGGGCCTGGCATGGTGGCCTAACAGCTAAAGTCCTTGCCTTGAATGCTCCAGGAACCCATATGGGTGCCGGTTCTAATCCCGGCAGTTCCACTTCCCATCCAGCTCCCTGCTTGTGGCCTGAGAAAGTAGTCGAGGACGACCCAAAGCCTTGGGGTCCTGCACCCATGTGGGAGAACTGGAGGAAAGTTCCTGGCTCCTGGCTTTGGATTGGCATAGCATCGGCCGTTGTGCTCACTTGGGGAGTGAATCATTGGATGGAAGATCTTTTTCTCTGTCCCTCCTCTCTGTATATCTGAGTTTGCAATAAAAATAAATAAATCTTAGGAAAAAAAGTCTTAAAAAAATTTTTTTTCAAGTGTTTGGTTTAATCTTTCTCACAGGATAAGGTTCTAAGCATTCCATCCTTTTGTGGCTTTTGGATTTTAAGGTACTTACGTGTCTTTACCTACTTATGAAGTAGCTGGACTCCTCACTGGAGGGACACTCCTTTATTGAAATGCTGCACAGGAGATGCGTGTGCCTACCTCTCATTGGGTTCTATGAAGCAGCCACTGTGGATTGAAAGTGCCAACTACAGCAAACTGAGCTTTATTCTAAAGTCATTTATCAAGTAGATTTTGGGGACACACTGCGTTATGCCTGCGATGCCTGGCTCCTGACCCCGTCCGTCCTGGCTGTTGTGGCAAGTCAGAGAGTAAATCAGCTGATGAAAGATCTCCTCTCCTCACTTCGTAGCTTGGCCTTCCAAAGAACAGAGTTTAAAGCATGTCATTTCTCTTCCAGTGACCTGACATGCGCACTGAGAGTTCACAGGCTGCTCACGGTTCCGCAACGTGTCCTACGTGACATTTATGAGTGCATACTCCAGAGTAAGAGTCACCGGGGTCTTTTATTGTTGACTGTTTGTACCGGTCTTCCCAAAGCAGCTCTTACTTTGGCAGCAGATACCAGTCTAGCTGCACTGGGACCTCGCTCTGATTGAGCATTCGCTCTCGAATCCTTATTTCCAGGCATTCCACTGTAAGTGGGTATGCCTCCAGCTGAAGCTTGTTAGCAAACATGCTGGGAGACTCGTACAGCCACTTGAGGTCCCCAGGTCCGTAGACACACATACCCTGCCAATAATGGCCTGCAGGAAAGATAAGATATCAAGTAAAACGAAGGAAAACAATAAGCAAAACCCAACACATCTGACATCCTTGGGAAACAAGCCCCTTTAGATCTTCTCGGTATTTGAACTCTCAAAGCACGAATGCTTACTGTGTAAGTCATGTGGCTTCAATTTTCCAGGAAAAGATTATTTCTTAGCAACAGCAACAAGGTGAGTCAAACAGAGTTTGGTGGGAGAACGAAAGTTTTTCAAGCTGAGAAACTATAGATATTTTTTTTTAAAGCACGGCTTCATTTGATAAACAAATGCAACCGCAATAGGGCAGACTTGCAAGATGAGCCAGGCGTCTGCTAGCTCATTGAGAGGCTCACAAGCTAAGGAGAGCTGCTTAAAGTACGAGAAGAAACACTGCAGACTCTAGCGCCTGGGACTGTGGAAGTTAGGAGGCCAAGAGAGGGATAAATCCATATGTGAGGTAGTCACTTTTCTTAATTGCCTCAAACAACAACTTAGTTGGATCCACCTGCTTGTCTGAGCAGCCGCCCGGGGGGAGTCCGGATGGCCTGTGCATGCTGCGAGGGACTTTGCTTCCGGCCATTGGTGATTTCTGCATCTTCCACAGAACACAGCACTACGTGGGGAGTTGAGGACTCACACTTCTCCCCGAGGGGGTCTCCTCCTCGACTCACAGTCCCTCCCCCAGGGTGCAACACCCAGAAGCCAAGCGCTTCTCACTTCATGGCTTCCATGCCCTCCCCAGCGCACCCAGAGACCATGCTGGGGAAGCCTAATCAGGAAGTTTCTTCCTGTTCTGTTTCTATTATCATCTCTCTTGCAGCTTTAGCTGCCAAGCTGCCTTGGGGAAGGAGGGGGCAGGGTGAGACACAAGGGATGCGTGGAGCTAGCTGTGCCAGTGGGGAGTGATTCGGGGGCACAGGATCTGGAGGCACAGGGCTGGAGAGGGACTCTGTCTTAGAAGGATCTTTTACTCGCATATACACAGAGACCAACTTGAATCATTTAGCTAAAGACTTCCATTCTCACTTCTCTGCTAGAGGCTAACGTGGAGTTGTCAGCAGTATTACGGCAAGGTCACCTGTGACGTTCAAAAAGGGTTGAGGGGCTGGGGCCGCACAAATGGCTCCATTGGCTAATCTTTCATCTGCAAGCGCTGACATTCCCTGTGGCACTGGTTCATGTCCAAGCTGCTCCATTTCCCACACAGCTTTCTCCTTGTGGCTTGGGAAAGCAGTGGAGGACGGCCCAAAGTCTTGGGACCTGGCATCCATATTGGAGACCCGGAAGAAGCTCCTGGTTCTTGCCTTTGGATCGGCTCAACTCTGGCTGTTGTAGCCACATAGGGAGTGAAGCAACGGATGAAAGATCTTCCTCTCTGTCTTCCCTCTCTCTGTAAATCTGGTCTGTCTTTCCAATAAAAACAAATCTTTTTAAAAAACCCACAAGAAGGAAATACCATCTCATGCCCTGTGTTCATTCCCATGGTGAAAATATCATCCCGACAAGGGGAGAGGGAAATGAGAAATGAAGGGGGCCAGCACCACGGCAGGTAAAGCCACCAGTTGTAGTGCTGGCATTCCATAGAGGTACTGGTTCAAGTCCTGGCAACTCCACTTCTAATCCAGCTCCCTGCTAATGGCCTGGGAAGGCAGCAGAGGATGGGTCAAGTCTTTGGGCATCTGCATGCATGTGGGAGACCTGGGGGAAGCTCCTGGCTCCTGGCTTTTGACTGAGGCAGCTCCAGCCATTTCAGCCATTTGGAGTAAACCAGCACATGCATGATTTCTCTCTCTCTCTCTCTCTCTCCTCCCTCCATCCCTTTCCCTTTCTACCTCTCTCCCTTTCTCTTTCTCTCTCTGTAAATATGCCTCTCAAACAAAAATAAATAAAACTTGCAAAAAAATATTACCATGGCAACCTTTGTGCGTCTCTTCCTGGAACATCCACTTGACAGCTCTAAGGCTTGCAGCTGGGACTTCTTGGGCCATGGATCCTGGGGCGTCTGCGGAGTTGAGGAGAAAGAGACAAGGCACAGAAATCAGTCCCCAGACTTACATGCTGCCCGCACCCGGACCTAGGAATCGCGAGCTGCCTTAGCTGCTGCCCTCCGTGGACTCTCTTTCACGGTGGCATTGTGCTGTAGCGTGACTCCACATCCCCTCTCAAGGTTGCAGTTCTCAGACCAGCCACCTCTGGTAGGCAGAGCCTCTGATGGAGCATCCTGCAGTGCACCTGCGAGGCAGCAGACACAGCACAATTCTACCGTCACACAGGAGACCCAGACGGAGCTCTGGCCTCCTGACCGAGCCCTGCCCTGGCTGCTCTGCCTTTAAAATAAATCTTTCTTGTTTCTGTGTTCTGTTTGCTTGTTTTTAAGGCAGATTTACAGAGGAGCTAGTGAAAGAGCAAGATCTTTCATCAGCTGGTTCATGTTCCCAATGCCTGCAATGGCCAGAGCTGAGCCGATCTGAAGCCAGGAGCCAGGAGGTGTGGGACCCTGCACCTGCATGGGAGACCCAGAGGAAGCTCTTGGCTTTAAATCAGTTCAACTCTGGCAGCTGTGGCCACTTGGGAAGTGAATCAGTAGATGGAAAATTTCTGTCTCTCCTTCTCTCTGTAAATCTGGCATTCCAATAAAAATAAATAAATCTTTAAAAAAATATGTTGGGCATGGTGCAGTAGCCTAATGGCTAAAGTCCTCACCTTGCACACACCAGGATCCCTATGGGTGCCAGTTCATATACTGGCGGCCCCACTTCCCATCCAGTCCCTGCCTAAGGCCAGGAAAAGCAGTCGAGGATGGCTCAAAGCCTTGGGACGCTGACCCTCATGGGAGACCCAGGAGAATCTCCTGGCTGCTGGCTTCAGATGAGATCAGCTCCGGTCATTGTGGCTGCTTAGGGATTGAATCAGTGGGTGGAAGATCTTCCTCTTTGACTCTCCTCCTCTCTGCATATCTGACTTCCCAATAAAAATAAATTACATATATAAATATATGTTTACATAAATATAAAATATATAATATATATAATCAAGTATATGTATGTTCCTTGTATGCATTTGGACGTGCTATGCACAGTACAGACATCAGCAAACGAGGAGGCCGAGTCCCAGTATTTGCACTCCAAGATAGGTCATCATATCCTATCATTTTTCATTGTGGCCAGGGTCTGAGTCCAGCAGTCTAGTTGGTAAGTCCCTAAGATACCTCACATGGGGTGACCTCCAACTTGACTCTTGTGCCCCAGCCAGTGTAGGGTCAGGTGGGGTCTGTCATCTGCACCAGCCAGTGCACATACAGGTGGATTCAGCTGCCTCGTCAGTTTCACCCCAGCCCCATACCTCATACATACCAGACCATGTCATGGCCTAGTTAACCCATATCCCATCCAGCTCCCATGCACACCCATGGGTACAATGGCTTAACTCAGTCCACCATTGCCTCATTCCTGACTGTCACGTGTCAGGTGCTACTGCCTTGTCCAGCCTGGCCCACCCGTACTGGTTCTTGGGCTCACCAGTGATAGATACGGGGGAGTGCCCATAGGTCCCATGCCAGGCCTATTCCCAGTCCCAGATCTTGTGCCCGCCAGAGGGTATTACAGGCAAGCCTTACCTGACTCGCACCCAGTTCTGACACTTGCCAGCTGGTGCTGCATCCTACCCCGGCTGGCCCACACCCACTCTGGCTGTCGTGACTGCCAGAGGGTGAAACAGCCTAGCCCAGCACATTCTCACACTCACCTCTGGAAGCAGCGGCGCAGCAGGAAAGTCCTAAAAATTGCCTACTAGACTCTCTCGCTGCTCCGTGTCATGCACGTACCAGCTGGCGCTACAGCCGTGTCTAAGATGGCCTGCTCCCAAGTCTTGGCATTCAGTAACAGGTACTGCAGTCTGACTCAGCCCAGCTCAACTCTTGCCAGCAGGTGCAGCAGCCTAGCACAGACTGGTCCACTCACAGAGCCAGCCCTCATGTGAACTGGCAGGTGCTGCAGTCCAGCACGGCCTGACCTGCACCATGTCCTGATTCTCATTCATGATAATGTGTGCTGTGAACTGGTCCCACTCGCCCTATCTCCAGATCTGGCTCACACATATGCCCATGGGTACTGCAGCCCAGTCTAGTGTGGGCTGCATGCAGTCCGGCTCTTGTGCTTACTAGTGGAAGCTGCACTGGTAGAGGAGTTACCCTGCAGGTCCACTCCCAGCGATGGATCTTGTATGTGTTATTGGGTGCTGCCGTCAAGACTGACAAGACTGGCCCTTGGCACTCAGCAGCTGGTACTATGACCTAGCCCCACTGATCCACACCCATTCTGGCTCTCTGGGTGCTGTAGCTGAGTCTGGCTGGTGCTCCCTCAGACCTGGGTTTCATGTGACCCAGCAGGTACCACAGCATAGTCTGGTGTGTCCCACACTCATTATTATGAGAACTACAGCTTGTTGAAACCTAGCCCAGTTTGGCCTGCTCCCAGACCCAATCCACATCCATGCTGATGCGTGCCGTAGCTTTGCCCAGCCTAGTCAGCTCACAGTCCTGGCTCTCGCAACATACTCACCAGTGGGAGCTTTAGTTCAGCAGAGGAGTCCCCAGAGTTCCCCTGCCAGGCCCACTCCCAGCCCCAGGTCTTGCATATGCTTATGGGTGCTCCAACCCAGCCTGGCATGGCCCACCTGCAGCCTCAGCTCCTGCTGGTGGGTGTTGTAGCTTAGCCTAGCTGGGCACAGCCCACACTCTGTCCTGGCTGCTTGTGCATGCCAATGCATGCTGAGACATAATAGAGGAGTTCTCCAAGTTCCCCCACCAGTCTGCTCTGAGCTCTGGCTCCCATTTGTACAGGTGTGTGCAGTGGCCTGCCCTCAGTCCCTGCCTTTGCATATGCTGGCAGCTTGTCCCACCTAGCCTCCTCCCATCCCCAGCTCCCACAAGTGTCAGGTAAAATCTGTGGTTTAGCATGCTCGGCCAGGTGAGTTCTGTGGCCCAGCTAGCTTCAGCCAGTCATTCTCTCCAGCTGTTTGCATAAGCTGGTAGGTGCTGCAATCCCAAAGAAGTGAATCCCCAAGTTCCCTACAGAAATCTGCTCCCATATCAGCTCCTTTGCATTCTTTGCAGCCTAGCCAGCCAGGCATGACCTCCAGTTTCTGCGAGCACTAGTAGGCCGCGGGAATGCTATTTAACCTGCCCATGTCTCCCACGTGCACAGGTGCTTGGCCTGACCCAGACATGCCCTCTGGTTCCCCCTACCCCCGTTTTAAACCACTCCATCTTAACCCCCTCGCCCATCTGCAGGTGCAGGGTCCAGTCTGTAGGAAACCCCGGAAGTCATTCCTCCCCTGTCAATCATGCCCTCAGCCACTCTCAGTCCAGTAAGTCGCCTGCCCCTTTCCCTGGGCAATCTGCAGGGTTGCCCCTACCGCCGACCTGGGGGCCAGGATGGCATATCCCAGCGGCATTCCCAGCCTTCTCCAAAAAGAGCAAGCACTTCAGTACAAAGTTAATATAAATGTGGCATTAACCAGGACCAGAATGCCCACCAGCCATTGGCTGCTTTTCTCCCAGCATTGTAACATTTGCCTAGGTACAAGGGAACCCAGGCAGTTGCCCACAGCTGAGGGTCTTTTCATTCTGTATTCAATGAGATTTTGAAGTTTTAGACATTAAAGTTTCAATTTCTTAAAGGTTAATTTTGCACATTTTTTTTTTTTTAAAAAAAGAGCTATTCATATGAGGGCCCGACGTGACAGTGTAACGGTTAAAGTCCTCGCCTTGCAAGCCCGGGATCCCATATGGGCGCCGGTTCTAATCCCAACAGCTCCACTTCCCATCCAGCTCCCTGCTTGTGGCCTGGGAAAGCAGTCGAGGATGGCCGAAAGCCTTGGGATCCTGCACCCGCGTGGGAGACCCGGAAGAAGCTCCTGGCTTCTGGTTTTGGATCAGTTCAACTCTGGCCGTTGTGGCCGCTTGGGAAGTGAACCACCAGACGGAAGATCTTTCTCTCTCTCTCCTCCTCTCTGCATATCTGTCTTTCCAATAAAAAATAAATAAATCTTAAAAAGCATAGAAAGAGCTATTCACGTGAAAGGGAGAGTTACAGAGAGAAAGTTTGGGAGAGAGAGAGACAGAGAGATCTCCATGTGCTGCTTACCCCCCAAATGGCCACAGCAGTCAGGGCTGGAAGAGGCCACAGCTAGGAGCCAGGGACTCCATCCAGGTCTCCTGCGTATGTGGCCCAAGCACCTGGCTCATCTTCCACTGCTTTCCCAAGTGCATCAGAAAAAATAAAAACTTGTTTATTTTTATTTGAAAGGCAGATGAAGAGAGACAGGAATAACAGAAATCTTGTATCTGCCGATTCACTGCCCAGAAGCCCACACTGGCCAAAGCCGGGCTTGGTCCTAACCTGGAAGCCAGGAGCTTCCTCCCAGTCTCTCACGCGGCTGCATGGGCCCAAGGACTGGGGCTGTTTTTGGCTACTTTGCCAGGCTCATTGCAGGAAGCCCGATTGGAAGCAGAGCAGCCGTGACTTATGGGAGGCCAGCACCTCAGGCAGCAGCTTTACCTACTGTGCCATGGCGTCAGCCCCTTTTGCAAATATAGTTTAACTGTGGTAGGCTGAGTCTCCAGAGAACAAGCTGCTGATATGCACAACAGACAGCATTAGCATTTGCATGTGATTTAGGATCTGTAGTGAGGATTCAAATAGATAAATTACTTCCCTGAATTTCTTTCTTAAAAAAAAATAAAGGTAGTGGTGGGGAAACGTGCAGGGTAGCCTAAAGGCTAAACTCTTTGCCTTGCACACGCCAGGATCCCATACAGGCGCTGGTTCTGATCCCGGCAGCCCAGCTTCCCACCCAGCTCCCTGCTTGTAGCCGGGGAATGCAGTTGAGGATGGCCCAAAGCTTTGGAATCCTGAACATGAGTGGGAGACATGGAAGAGACTCTGGGCTCCTAGCTCTGGATCAGCTCAGCTCCAGCCATGTGGTCACTTGGGGAGTTGA